TGCAAGATCCATAGGTGTCCTTTTTAGGTTAGCTTGATGAGAGATAGATGGGTTCCACTGGTTTAGGTGGGGTTTCTTCCATTTACCAGGGAAACCCATCGATTTTTCCAAAAGGCCACCTATGGCAAGATCTCTGTGAAGAAAGCTCCGCAAGATCTTTGTGCCAGATCTTTAGATCTTTGCACCAGTTCCCCGGACAGGACCTACCATGGATGGACTAAATTCCGCACTACGTTGAAACCATGATAAACCATTCTTTGTTGGAGATTTCCGGGGGAAAAAAACATTCCATGGCTTCTTGCGTGGTTCAGGATTTCGTCCATCCACAGTGTCACAGATCCTGCAACTATGAGCAAGGTCATGCAGAATGTTTTTATGCGAGATATCTTTGCACAACGGTGCGCTGCTGAAACTTCGTACCGGGCCGACGAACAGTTCACCTTTGGGTTGCCAAATTCGCATGCCGCAGCGCGAGCGATGCAACACAGTCGACGTTTGCGGAGGGTTCACTTTCGACATTCATGTTGTGCGTGCCTAAGCCAAGGCAATGGACACGGCCAAAGTTGCACATTCGTACCGTGCGACAGCAAGAGCTCTGTTGTACACCCAGAGTTTGCCAAAGGTTTGCTTTGAAGGCTCTACATTTGGAAATCGCCGCGGCAAGAGCGATTCCCTCACGAAACAATGAAAAATGGTAATGTCAGCTGGAGACACCCTCGGCCCTTTTGCAAGCGAATCGGCTGGTTTCCATGGCAGGCGGGTCAGGGATACCGAGCACCTCCCTGAGCGCTGGAGCGTTTCACTCTCGATTCGCGCGAGTTGCGCAAAGAGTATGCGAGCACCCTGTAGTGGTTCCTGCTGCAGCGCGCGGTTTGGAAAACCTGAAAGCAAAAATGCAGTTACTTGCAATAGTGGAAGCCAGCAGCACTATCACCCTCAACATCACCAAAACCAGGGCAGATTTTAAGTGGGACTCTTTTTTGGGGGCATCACCATGGGGAAAAGTGGCCAAGCCGACTTCATCCAGGCTCCCATAACCACCACCTAACTGATAGAAAGTTCCTTTGACAATGGTCTTTTGACAAGATTCCCTCTGATTTGTTGATAGGCGGGATTTGAGCTAAAAGCTCGCTCCCAGCAAACCAAGAGGCCAAACGACTGTGTCAAAATGGCAATGGAAGGCGTTTCAGCCACAACAAGTTCCAGACCTCTGGCACTTTCTTTTGTTTGGGAGGGGTTTCCCCGAAAAGACACATCAACCGTTGGCTGAAAGCACTCTGGCCCCATCTGAGTTGTCTTATTTTGACTTACCATACAAGAATGTGCGCCGTCTACTTTCACCCTAGTGTTCCCCCAAAAGCGGTGTCCTTTTTCCTATGTTCCTCTTTTTCCCCACATCCACCGCAAGTCTGAGATACCGCCTGGGATTTTCAACTTCTGTTTTCCTGAGGAACAGAGTAGCTGGGGTCATCATTTTGACTGTTTCTGGGGGGTATCAAAGTCAGAAACTGGTGTGGTTTCCCTGTAACCCACCAACTTAACCTACCACTTGGGGTGACTTTGATCATGGTGAAACAAAAAGAGGCCAGTTCTTCACAGATGGGCACTGACCAGGCGTCCTTTTGCCATCGGCCTCAAAAGGACGCTTAGATGACTTATGGTAGAAGAATGCGACACCCCAGACATTGTTTCACGGGGGCGACCACTGACCGGGGCCGGCGTTTTGTGGTAGAAGAGTGAGGCCAAGAGTGACACCTCAGACATCGGTTTTTCACTTGGCGCGACTTTGATACTGGTAGAACGGCAGAGGCCAGGAGAAGTGGCTGTGGGTCAAAACCAATGGTACCATATTGGGGTAGGTGAATTCACCACCCATTGTCGATCCTATTTTAGTCGGGATTGGTTGATCACTGGGGGTACGATTCGGATTTTGACCCATGGCAAGGTGTCACGCCAACTTCCGCCGTCAACTCAGCCAACTCAAGATGCCCGGCGCGGCCCCTCCGCGGCGCCGCCAGGCTCGCTCCGGGCGCCGGGCCATGCGCGCGTCCGACTTTCGGGGCCATGCGCCTGTTGGCTCGTTGTTTCTCTCTTTTTCAGGTGCCTCCCCCCCAAAAATGGCGCAAAGGTGTCCCCGTTTTTTCCCTTTAACGCCACAGAAAAAGGGGCACCCTCAAAAAAGACACCCGTATATATGTCCTTTGTTGGTGGTTTTGAACGTCAGCTGGTTATGAATTTTAAGAGTTGGAAGAAACGCCAAAGTGGCTGGACATGAACCCCCACCCAAATGATGTCCACCAAAGGGTCCCCTATAGAATAAGACCCACCGTGTGGGCCCTTTGGATGGGGTGATGTTTGAAGGCGAAATATCGGGGCCCCAAGTGCCCCTGTTTGGCGGGGGATGAGCCCAATGACTCGCTATGCTCTACCCATGCTTGGACATTCTTTTGAGGAAGGTTGGTTTGAGGGAACCTTTTGTTTCTTTTCGGGGAATGGAGGGGGACACAGCCCCAAGTTGGCTGTGTCTGCCTGTCGACTCCAAGAATCGGACCCCAAAAGCACTAGCCATTCGCCCGCCCCCAAAGAAGCCGCGGACCAATATCTAGAAAATGCCGCAGCGAAGGCTGCGGTTCCCGCGGTGACCTCAATCAGAATTCCCTTCCCTCTTATTTCACCACTGGGCCCAACAAAAACATGTGGTTTAGTTTGTTGTGCTTGTTTTGACTCTGATCCTTTGCAGTGCCGCGGGGGGGGGGGCTTGCAAACAAATTCCAATTTTAAAACTGACCTGCAAAGGTTGGACAGGGTAGCTGGGTCCGCATTTCTGAAGGTTGATCCAATTTCCACCCTGCGCTCTTTTGAGACATCGCGAGTTAAGGTCTTCTAGTGGCAATTCCTCGCCGTTTTCTGAGAAGGATTCCTGGAAGAATGAACCTTTGTGCCATTGCTCCGTGTGGAGTGCCGCTGGAGAAGAAGCTTTCACAGGTTGGAATGACTCGGCAAGTTCCTCAACGTCTCAGCCTCTGCTTGTTTGTTTTCCTCGGCAGCCGGCACAAGATTGCAGCGCAAAACCATTCTTGTTGCCATTATGGCCATGTAATTCCGTGGCGTTGCCTGGTTCATGCAGCATGGGGACCTAGTTCGCGGTATGCTTAAAGGGGCAGGGCGGCAGGGTACCTATTAGGGTGGGTAATAAGCATGGGTACAACTCACAAGTCTCCGTACTCTCACCGCTTACCTGACGTACTGATTCGATCGCCCTTTGAAGTAGAGGCGCCCTTGCATTGCAACATGGCTGTGTAGAGAGCCCTCAGAAGGGTTGGCTTTTGGATGGTGCCCTGGTATTCATCCCTCATTTCATACACATGCGTGTGACAGCCCATGTATAGATCCCGCATACAATGGCTGTGATATTTTCAGTAGATCCAAGCATTGCCTTCCAATCGAACAGCTCGACGGGATGGTTCTTGCCCGGGAGGAGGGCAATGATCTCCCCAATGGCGTGCACCTCAGCTTGGCCGGGTCGTAGACGGAACGAGAACTTGAGAGGCGCAGGATCGTGCCCTCGGGTTTGGGGATTTGGGGTTTTGGGGTTTTGGGGTTTGGCCTGCTGACATTTTGGATCTTGGCGAGTAGCCACCAGTTCCGAGTGGTCCGTGCCAATGTCATTCCCTTGAAAGATGACTTGGCGATTTCGTGCTGATGTGAGACATCGGAGCAACTGAGTGAAGTGAGATGGGGATTGAGTGATTCAAAGAAGTGAACTCCGCTCGCCGCTTTCTTGATGCTTCTTCCTAAGGCATGAGACTTGCCATGGCTTTGCTCGAAGCTCCGAGACTGCAAGGTGCACTATCGCACGGTGCGCATGCCGGATGCGACTGCCGCATATGCAGCCCACGCATATGCGGCTCCGGCGGCTCCGGCTGCCTGTGCTGCACCGTGCCTCGACTGGAAGAATCAGAAAACGGGCTTGGGACATTCAGCGCTGATTTGGGTATGGGTCAAAATTAAGCCGCCAGGATATGGACCGCAGGCTTTAGTCCACGGTTCCATTTGCCAAGGTTCCATTTCGGGTACCCATTTTTGACCCACAGCCATTTTGGGACGGTAGGCTGAGGGACAAGTTCTGTGAACGCACTTTTGTGACATGAAGCGCCAAGCTTTCTTTTGGATTCAACGACTCGGTCACCGCCATTCAGCATTGACGCCTTACTTGCGACTCACTTCTCATCGACTCATTTCCGAGGTGCTTTGTGCAGCACGTGTACAGCCGGAGTCTCGGAAGCGTCCGCACCTACCCGAGGAACTCGTTGGCCTCAGTTAGAATCCATGTTGGTACGTGTTTGGGTGGTTTTCTTTTGGTCTCCCTTTAAACCAACCTGAAAACAGTACCCTCAAAACAACAGACTCAACCTATATGGATTTCCCCAGATGGGTTTTATTCCCAAGAGGGGCGACTTGACATGGAACCTAAGGAGCCCTCGGGGTTTCCATGGACCTGTGGAGCACAAACCAGCTGTTCTGGGATGTGATTCGCCCCTTGCGAACAATATGGGTGTGTCTGTGTTTGGGGGAACCCCCTTTTGTTGTTTTTTAGTGGAAGCCAAAAGGAACATCATGTTTTGGGGCTCCCAAATTTTAAGACACGCGTATATGGGTCTCGGACCCTAAACCCCTGGATTGCTTTTCTCCGATGCACTACAAAAAAGGGCGCCGGAAAGGTGGTGGGGGGGGGAGGGGTTGGCGTGAAGGTTCTATTCTTCGATGGCTCATGAACTTCTCAAAGGAGCACCCTGGGTCTACTCCCCTTGGTGGCAACCAAATCAGAGAACCCCAGGATTGTGGGATCAAGGGGTTTCTCCAACCACTCCTGTGATACAAGGGAATCCCCTCTTTAAATGGCAGGGTAGTCTTTGCGGGACCTTTTTGTTGTACCCTGCTCAGCGCTTTTTTTATTTCAACCCAGCGGTGCATTGAACCCTCGAGGCCCGCAGCGGCCCATGGTGGCACAGCGATCGCCATCCCAGGCAAGTGCGGTTGACTGCGGTTCGGTGGCGCAAATTTGTCTGGGTGAATTATAACGACCTCACACGACCGAATTCGCTCCAAATGGTGGTTTATGTGGGGAGTAGCCCCCAACCACCTTATTTCAGGATGGTGAAATATGTTGAAATATTAGAACTCACCCAGATGTGTGTGTGTGTGTGGATTTGCTTGTTTTCGAGGGTAACCTTGTTACCTTGTTTTTCAGGGAGACCAAGAGGCTCAGGGCTTTTTCTGGTCCCCCTGTTTCGACTCATAGCCATATGGATGGCATTCCCCTTTCGTGTTTTTTTGCTTCACTGCTATCCGCATGTGTGTGGCTGGTTGTTTTTTCTCTTTATTTCTGTGGCGGGCTGCAACACTGCAACCAACGACTCTTTTGCAAACACACCACACCTAGGGTTGGCCAGCTTGACAAAAGTAGACCGGTTTCCCCCAACCCCTCCCCCCCGCACGCTTACTGCAACCTGGACATCAATTTCAACAGGCAAACCTTTCCTAGCAGTGGTGGCTGGCGTTCACCAAAGGGTCGTCAAGCAAGTTTAATACCCACCCATGTTTTCTCAGCGGCACATCGGTGGCAACATCCTCAAAAGATACCAAGGGAGCGGTACATTCAGGTTGAAAACCATTATTTTTTGGGGTCCCTGAGGATGGATAGGCCAAATTGAATGGGTTCTATTCAATGAGTTCCGATCGCTTGCGCAGGACACGGAATAGAGCGTTTTAGTGCAGTACACCCAACTGCCCAGCATGGTGGAGGAAGCATGGTTCAAGAACACGCTCGGTAGCCCTATGAAGTCAGGGTTTAGGACCCAAACAGGGTTGCCTTTTTAAGGGCCATGGAAGGGTAATTACTTGGTTGGCCTTGCGAACAAAGCAGCAAGCCCGAAACCGATGCCTGGGCGGACCGGTAGGGTATAGGGTTGCTTGTCCAGGCAGTGGCCGTGGATGACTGGGTGCTGATGTGGGGTTTGCAAGGGCCACTTCTAAGTTTCGCCTTGCCCTTGCTTCAGCCTTGCTTTACAGGGTAAGCTCCACAAGGTCTACTCAGGCGGCCTGGCCTCCAGCATGTCGTGGCATCAACACCATGCGACCTCCCCAGCTTGGCAACACCAGCATGGCATCACCAGCATGTCTTGGCAACAACACAAGGCGTCCTCCCCAGCCCCAGCATAGCTTTTGGCATCAACACCCGCATGTCTTGGCAACAACACAAGGCGTCCTCCCCAGCATGGCTTTTGGCATCAACACCCGCATGTCTTCACAACAACGCCAGGCGGCCTGCCGAGCATGTCTTGGCACGCACATTAGCATGTCTTGGCAACAAATTATGGCATTGTTGAATTTCCACTTGAATTTTATTGCCTGTAGAATCTAATTGGACATGAACAAAAAGCAAGAACCTTCCTTTAAACCAAACGTATCTAAATTATCGCAAAAACTAAGAACTTTGCTAGAATTGTTTCCTAATTAAATGCTATTTACATTCTGATCAAGACATAAACATAGAAACCATCAAAAACAAAAAAATAAGACGTTCAATAAATTGAATGAATTACACATCTTCTTTGAACAGGAAAACGTACTCGTACTAGGGTGGTTTCAACATTCCCTTTCGGGGAAGCGGCAAAAGAGGCGCATTTCTAAAGACAATCTGCAAGCTGCAGGCTCAGAACTATTCCAGGCATTCTTGAATCCAGAATGAAATTTCAATCGGTTTGGATCTACCCCTGCCCGAGAGCATAGTTTTGCCAAGGCAGGCAGATGCCTGCCTTCACGGTTCCTCTTTCCCTGGGTGTAAATCGCATGGCCTTGCCTGCAAGGCATTTTCCGTGAGAGATGCAGATGGCGCGCGGCCCATTTTAATAGCCTTGGGATGGTGTGCGTGGCGTGCGACGCTGAAGGGCTTTGGCCTGGAGGAAGCAGAAGATCAAGAAGGGATGCCTCAAAACGCGGAGATGTTCAAGGACCGCAACTGGGACATTCATGACAAGTGTTTCGGTCCCTCGTTTTTTGCGGAACCCCCTCCGCCTCGCAACCACAGCAGTGTGCGCAACCCCGATCCTTAAAGGTGTGCACCCTTAAAAAGGGCCGGCCATGTACAGGGAACTAGAAAAGTACCCTGAGGACTTCGCCGATGGTGAGGAACCAACGTGGTGGGTGATGGGCTCGTCAAAGACTGAGCCACCGCAGAAGACAGAGCGACAGCGGAGATCATCATTTCGTTCTGGACATGGACAGCAAACTGCTGGCGGGTCATACCCACAGCAGGGAGCGTCGAGTGGATGGACGTCTGCCGATGATCCCAACAAGATTGACAACGAGATCATCGACTCCATCTTCAGAATGAACTCTGGTGGAGACGACGACAGGTGGGAGATCGCCGACGTCACGGCTGGGTACGAGACGTATACCTCGTTCGAAGGGGGTGTCACCCTGGGTGGCGCAACCGTGAGCGTGAAGTTCAACATCAACGCCAACACCGGGTATCCAATCGTAACAACCAGTGTTCGGGCCATGTCTCATCAAGGGGAAGAATGCGACATTCTCGGCCCCAAGATATAAAATGTAGTTTTTGTTTACTCCCCTTGTTTGTTGTATTGATTTCCCCTTAAAAACCATACAAAAAACAAACGGAATCGAACAACATACGTGGTTTCGAAATTTTGCCCAAACGGGTGTCGATTTTCTAAAAAAAGTCTTTGTTTTTCCGTTTCCGTTTGTTTCCGTCCTGTTTTTGAGGGACAGACAGACGGACGGACAGACAGACGGACAGACAGACGGACAGACAGACAGACAGACAGACAGACAGACAGACATAGACAGACACAGACACAAGACAGAGACAGACAGAGACAGACAGAGACAGACAGAGACAGACAGAGACAGACAGACAGAGACAGACAGAGGCAGACATAGGCAGACAGAGACAGACAGAGACAGACAGAGACAGACAGAGACAGACAGAGACAGACAGAGACAGACAGAGACAAACACAGGCAGACAGAGACAAACAGAGGCAGACAGAGACAGACAGAGACAGACAGAGGCAGACAGAGACAGACAGAGGCAGACAGAGACAGACAGAGACAGACAGAGACAGACAGAGATAGACACGCAGACACACAGACACACAGACACACAGACAGCGGTTCTGAATCTTTCTCGTCGCTTGGCACGCTAAGTTTTGCAGGACCATGCGAGCTGCGAAGGCCAAGGCAGTTCCCAAAGCGGTGGTTTCATAGGCTGGATGCAAATGACCATCCTTCCATTCTCCTCTTGTTGCCAGTTTTTGCAGAGCCACAGCAGTTTTCACCGCAAGTGCTGGAAAATGCCCGATTGCCCAACAAGAAGGACTCGAAAGACCCACGATAGGTCGCGAAGAACATGGTGCGCCTGGCAACCGCAGAGACCTTGGCCATGTGCGGAGGTGAAGTTTGATGAAGGTGCCAAGTGTCGCACCAGCGAGATGCTTGAAGCATTCCTCACCACCTTTTTCCACGCGGCAAATTTGTTGGCGGACCAGGCGGGCCGCGGTTTTCTTCCGACACGATGAGAGCCTTGCGAGGTCAACGTAATGCCCTTGGCTCACGTGATCTGGAGCCTCCACTCTGCGCATATTGCGTGCTCACAGCCTGGAGCCTTGCGCGCCTGCAAATCTTCGCCTTGCCAAACGCGGTTTTTTGGGAGCCCCCCACTTCGATGATGCTGTTCCGGAGCCCCTCTCCCATGACTGTTGCTTTTGGGAGCTGGGCTGGCTCGAGTTTGGGCTTGTCTTAAGTTCTGTTTCCCTTTCCGTGGTCTGGATGGTTCGGAGCGCTTGAACTAATTTTGTCTGCCTGTCAGACCGCCTGCCCATCCTCATGTCGTCATGATGGCTAAACTTAATTTGCGCGCTGCCGTTTTATGTGTGCTGCTGGTGCTTTCCCACGCCTTAAAGTTCCTTTTGGGCAGTTTTATCTTTGCCTTGACGTTCTTGCGCGGAGTTTGTATATTGAATGTCGTCGTGCGCCCTTCTCAGAATTTCTCTGACTCACTCAACTTAGACTTACTTAGACTTACACTGGCTGATTTACACATCCTACATCCTTACTCTTAGTCACTCAACTTACCCTCACTAACCTACACTCGCTTACTCAGCTTTCGCGCCCTAACTTACACATACTTACGCTCATTCTTTCTTTCACTTACTCAACTTACACCCACTGACTTACACATGCTTACTCTCGCTCACTTTAACTGACACTCACTAACTTACACATACTCTCGCTCATTCAACTTACACTCACTAAACCACACATACTTGCCGTCACTCACTCAACTTACAACCGCTCACTTGCACATGCTTTCTTTCACTTACTCAATTTACACTGGTTATCTTTCGCATGCTTGCTCCCACACACTCAACTTGCTCAACATACACTGCTAGCTTGCGCACGCTTTGTTTCACTCGCTCAACTTTCACTCACTCAAGTTACGCGCGCCGACGTTGAGTTGCGTGGCAGGCACGACACTTACACGCGCTGTTTAACAGAGCAGGTGCAATAATTACAGCGCTTTAGACTGGTTTGCGTGGACCGGGTGCCGCACTTGAAGGGGCAGGGCACTTACTAAGTGGTTAGTAAGCCTAATCATTATACAATTACCAGGAACGCTCGCTGTTTGCGTGGCAGTGTTGCTGATGCTGTTTTGCGTGGCAGTCGCAGCACTTGCATGCGCCGATGCTGTTTTGCGGGGCAGGCGTCAGTGCTGTAGACCGGTCTGCGCAGACCGAGTGCCGCGGGGCCGAGCGCTGTGGCACAGCGCATTTTCGCACGGTGATGCAGCTTTGCGCGGCAGGCGCAGTACTTCAGACTGCTCTGCGCGGACTGGGTGCTGCGTGGGGATGCGCGGTGTGTGTGGAGGCTTTTTGGCATGGCAGACGCAGTACTTTGCGCATGCTGATGCTGCCTTGCGCGGCGAAGCAATTGCATTCAGCACGTTACGCGCGCGCGGATTTTGATGCTGGGTTGCTCTTAAAGTTTTATGATTCACCCCAGTCGAACGTGTCTAACATTTATGTCTAACACACTAACATGAATTATCCACCTTGGGGCACATCAAGTCACGCTTTTTCAATCAACTGGGCATGTGGAGTTAAGTTATCCTGTCCTGAAACACTTTAGAGCCTGCTTGTCAGTCCGCCGACATTGTCCTCTCCCTTTTCTCCTTCTTCCTCTCTCTCTTGTCTGCTCCTCCGTGTGTTCCGTTGTGAACTGAAAGGGACATGAAAGGGACAGAAATGAAAGCAAGGGGAGCGCAAGGGAATGAAACCAATCGACGCGACGGGAGACGGGGAAATGACTGGCAACAAAAGAACGGGAGACACATGCAAAATGAAGCGGACATACCGAGAAAATGACAGGGACATGAAGGGGGAGTTGACAGGAATGGAAGGGACATGAGCAGGACATCATGGGAAGCGTGAAAAGGACACGAAGGGGAAACCAAGAAGGGGATGAAGGGGCAGCGCCCGGAGATTGAGGCAACTGAGGGGGGACGCGACGCTGCAATGCAGAGAGAGAGAGAGAGAGAGAGAGAGAGAGAGAGAGAGAGAGAGAGAGAGAGAGAGAGAGAGAGAGGGACAAAGGGAGACAAATGAGCAGCGCCAGAAACCCTGACAATACAAAGTAGTACAGGGGGGTGTCCTATAGAATCCCCGCGAAAGCCAAAACGCAGGCCGCGAAAGCTTGCGAAAGCTTATCGCGAAAGTAGCCAAAGAAGGTCCCGCCGCGAAAGACCCGCGAAAGCCTGCATGCTGTGTGACGCTCCGCCGCGAAAGCGTCGCGAAAGCAATTCTAAAGAAGCCAAAGCCCGCGAAAGCAAAACATGGGTTCGCGAAAGCATCGCAAAAGGGTCCGCGAAAGCAAGTTTATAGGACCGCTTTTTACACAAGAGTATTTGGCACGGCTCAAATGAACCCGTCACCCAGAGAGCCGTGCCAGGCATCCAGGCCGGGAGACAACGGGAGACAAATGACTCCCCGAAGACTACGTTTAGTGGAACATCATCAAGTTACCGCGCGCTACATGGGGGACCCCCCCTTCGCGATGTGTAAACCCTACGGGGGGTTAGGGGGGGGGGGGTTATCCTCTATCCAATCCTTGCATGTCGGCGGATTTTGTTCTTCACCCGTGAGGCAAGGCTGACGCAAGGATGATTAGGTTTTGCAACACGACGTCAGTACCTACCAACCAAAGCGCAGATCAAGCAGATGGCGGTTAGCGAGGAGGGTTTCGAACAGGCTAGAATCTGACATCCGGCTTCTTCCAGCCCATTTCTCCCAACCCATTTCTTCCAACCCATTCATCACCCAATTTGTTTCCCCCTTTCACGAGCTGCGATTTCAGGCGCGCTCGCCCACGCCGTGCCACGACTTCCGGCAGATGCCGCGCACACCTGCGGTGGGCCACCGGGAGGCCGCTCTCTGTGCGCAGTGGCGTCTCTCTACATATTTTGGGTTGGTCCTCAGGGAAGCCAGGCGAAAACTCACAGGTTCTGGAGGCTCCCCAACTTGTTCAAACAAACCTCTGTGGGGCTCAAGAAATACGAATGGTGTATTGGAGCCTATGATGACAAATGTTGGTTCTAAAGTGCACCACCAGATTTCAATGTGTTTGTCCCTTATGAGCAATCATTGTTGGGCTGTGGGGTCAAGGGCCGGCTGAACTCGGAACACGCCCTGCGGGCACCGGGGGGGGGAGATAGCCCAATGTATCGAAAGGACCAAAGCTCCGTTTAGGCCCCTTGCAAAGAACCAGGGGGCATGTTGGTATGATATGGGCGTGTTCTTTTCAAGGATCCTTCCTCCTACGTTGGTTTACAGGGCAACTGAAAATAACTCACAATTCTTTTGTTGGAGTCCCCATACTTTGAAACAGCCAGCGCATGTTACATAGTGGCTATGAGTTGGGGGTAGGAGTCTTGGACTGAGAATGCCTGGCTGCCAGCAGCAACCAGTGACCCTTCCTCCCACTAGCATCCTGTGGATGGACGAACTCCTGCACCACTTTGAAACCACAGGGCACCATTCTTTGCTTGGTATCTACACAGAAGTCGAATCAATCCAGGGTTTCTGAGGTGGTGCAAGAATTTCGCCCATACAAAGTCGCCTTTTCTTGCTCGCCTTTCCGGAGGTCCGTATGGAGCCGTGCACCCCGGCCCTGGTGCACCGAGAGGTGTGGAATCCCCAATTGCGCCGGGGGCGGTTGCGGCGCCTTTTTTGTTTTTGGCCCGAAACACCGCGGGACATAAATCACCCGAGCTGAGACGTGGCCGCCCCCCCCCCCTTTTTCCAGCTTGCAAGGGAACCTCCAACAGTGGCAGTTTCAATGGACACCCGCCTGTAAGTTGCAACTTTTCAAGCAGCGAAAACGAGACCCCCCCCGCCCTTGGGAGAGCTCGACTGACGAGTCGTCGGGGATGAGCCGAGCACATTGATTGTCTGCCGGAGAACCCTAGGCCCCGAGGGTCAAGCAAGACAGAATCAAGACATCTGGCGGGCAACCCCACGTTGTGTGACTATTTGGCCTTAATTGTTTTATAGCTAAAGCAAACACTGGTGTTAATTAAATAGAGCGACCCTGGAAGCAGTCGCAGGAATCCAAAATTAAAAGACATGTGCGTTACAATAGCGACCCCGGGATTTTTCGAGCAACTCTAGCGATGCCATTTGTTGAGAATCCAACTGGATGTCCCCGAGCGAGTTCCATTGGACACATTGCGCTTTAGGCCCAAGTTGAGGGACCCCAAAGATGGGAAGGGCAGTTCGGCTTCGTTTTGACTCAAAAATCCCCCAGAACGGGTGTCTCCCTCCCATCCATCCCTCCCTCCATCCATCCATCCCTCCCTCCATCCATCCCTCCCTCCCTCCATCCATGCATTTTTGGAAGCACCCGGATTTTCGCATGCGTGAATACCTCCTTGGTCATGTACCCTGAACGGTTGGGGGTTGTCTCAGGTGCGGCGTGAGACGCCGGCAACTCCTGCCACAATGTCGCGGGAGGCAGTCAGAGCGCATTTGTGGGTTTGATGGGAGCAGGTGAACCACCAGCCAATCATGGTTACTTGACACTCCAACCACCATGAAAGCGCATGAACATGGGATATCGACGACCACATGTCCACGCTTTAAAGGTGGGCTTGAGGGCCCAGAAACCGGCTGGCCATCAATCGTGGTGTATCATGGGGATGGTTTCGGAAGACTGCCATCCTTTGCAAAGGCCGCACACCTCCGGCTTTCAGATTGGACAAAGGATAGAAGGGTAGAGCCAAGCCTTCCTACTGTTTTTTTTCTCCTTTTTTTTTTTTTTCGGAAGAATGAAATCGGGATAGCGGCAGGCTTGTAGGGGACTTTCTATCATATCAGCTCATTTTTTTTAAGCGTGGGTTAAAAGTCTTGCAGAGACTTCAAAACAACATTTCAATGACCCTACTGCAGATCAAGGCGGAACCACAAAACGTAGATCCCTCAAAGGCAGTTTCCTCTACAAGTGCGTGATTTCTGACTCAGCAAACGGGCTCATCCGGGGCGAGCCGAGCTGACCCACAGCTGTTTTTCTGGGGGCTCCATTATTTTCAGCTCCGGAATTTCTCTAGGTCCCCCGGCCCCAGTAGTCCCCTTTTTACCCTTTTTGGGGGGAGGGTTCCCCTTCTAAAATAGCCTTATTCTATCCTCTCTGCTGGAGGACCTAGAGTAGTTTGCGGCGAGGTCGAATTTTCAGGAGAATGACTCAGGTACGGACCTTCAAAGAGATGCCCACACCTGGGCAGAACTACCGAGAGGCCGGCGGGGGTTCAGCGTCGCGTACCTGAGTCTCAATGGCCCACTAAGGCTGTTGAGGCATGGGGCTATGCACTTAAGGCTTCTCAAGGCAAGTGTTTCGTGAGTGTTCACGAAGCCCTCAGGCCCCAGTCCCGGTCTCAACATGGCACATGAAGCCTTTTGGTTTCCCTGATTTGGTCAAAAGGTGAACCTTTTATGCCCAGGTCCATTGGAAATCAGAGACGAAGCCATGGGGAAATCGCGGCTTTGTTTGCCTTGGTCAAACCACCCTTTCTATATCCCCGAAAAAGGCACGAGGAACTCTGTTCAAGGCTTGCTTAAAAGGAATGGTTTTCCTTCTGGTTTCCCTTTGGAAACCACAACAAAGGGACAAACTCAAAAAACAAGCACCCATTTGGGCACGGGCCAAAATGACACCACCAGGATGTGGACCGCAGGTTGTAGCGCCCGGTCCCCCCCCACCAGGGTTCCATTTACCGGGCAAATTATTTTGGGGTTACCGCAGCCGCTTGGTTTTCGGTACCCTCTGGTTCACTGGCATGGCAACTGTAGGCGTGTACCAAGATCAGGACCGTTTGACCGTCAGGTGCCATGCTAGTTAACAGGAGGGCAGTCATTACCACCATACCAAGAGCTGCGGTAACTTTGTGAATAGGATCACACTCTTCTACACATAAACTTACAATACCATGTCCTCCTTCACGATATGCCGTCAAACATTTGTCCTCTTCAGACATTGCCTCTCGATCGGGAAACGCCTCGGGACCCGGCTCTGGCGAGAGGAAGGGGCCGCGCCATGTGAGGTGCGGATCTTTACGCCGGTGGTGCCGCACCGAGCGGTGCGCACCACGCCGGCCGGGGGCCCCGAAAGGTTTTTCGCCGGTGGTGCCGCACCGGGCGCGTTCCTGCTCCGATTGGGGACACCCCCAAAGTGTTTTTTTGTTTTTTAAGGGGGGAGGACCCCCAAAATTTGGGGTTTAAGGGGAAGCCGTTTTTTTTCTTCTTTTTTTATATTATTATTATTAAAGGGGACACTTCAAGTTGGATATGCCCGAAATGGGCATGTCACGGATGAGCCCAAACATGGCTTCGGTCTCCAAGAAACACGGAGCTCTCGCGTGCCTCGAGGTGTCCACACCCTCGACGGTATACCGAACGGCGGGGTGCTCGAGGGTCTTGGGGTTCTGTTCAAAGTTGGGGTTCCTGTTTCTGGAGTTTAACCCAAGTCAGACTCGGGGTTTGTCTTCTTTGAGCCCATGACTTGAGGCGACTTTGAAAAAGTGGCCAAAACTGCTTGGATTTGGTTCCTTTGAAAGCTGGTCCTTGATTCCTCTTGAAAAAGGGTCACACCCACACGGTCCATTTTAATGGTGGCTAAACATGGAGTTGCATCATTGTTGCCTGATTATGGGTTTATTGTCAGCTTGCAGTTCCACTTGGATGTTCGGCCAAGTTAGTATGTGGTTAGCCATAGGTGACAAGTTATCACCCACCAATAACACTGTGAACTCCACTTATGCTAGTGTACCAGCAAGTTACGAAGCTCAGTTGTCCAAAGCCAACCTTTTGACCTTTCGATTTCCCTGATTTGGTCCATAGTCAAGGTTCCACAAGGCGATCCTCTGATTTCAATCCCGGTCCTTTGCGCAACGAGTAAGTCGTGGCCTTGGGTTGTGCAAAACCCGTAACCCGCTTAGGAGATTTGTAACCATGGTAAGTGGGTTATAGTTAGGCTTACTAACCACTTAGTAAGTGCTTTGCCCCTTCAAGTGGGGAGCCCTCCGGGTGCTCGGCAAAAAAAAACCGGCAGGTGCGGCAGGTGCGACCATCGGCTCCGCCGCAGGCGCGGGGGGCGTGTGACCCTTTGTTGCGAGCCTTGGGTTCGTGGTGTTTGGGAGATGGTCCCTTTTGAGTCCATCAAGAAGGTCTGGTTTTGGAAATCCAGTTTGGGACCCGGTTTAGGATCGGGTGACCCAAGCGAGCATGTTCTTGAAGGTGTTTCCTCTCGAATGAATTCTTGTTATGAAACTATTCAAGGCAGTCGCCGCTTTGAGACATACCCAATCATCAACCCGTACAGCCGCGCCGGGTCCTCAACCCATGACATCCTCCAACCTTGGGTTGCCGAAATTATCCAACCAGGTACCCTCGTTTGTTTTCTGTTCTTCGAAAGGGACACCAAAGGACATCGTTAGTTTCGGTCCCTCATTCCGAGACAAGCCCACAAATAGGGAATACAAAATCCAAGCGAAGATCTGGAAGTGTCATGTGTGCAACACAAGGTTCCCTCTTCTTCAACTATCATGGAAGTGGACGGAAGAAGTCTACCATCCTCTTAAGGCCCCTTGTGCGTCTGTCCGTCCACTATGGCCACCCTCAAACTTTCAAACTATTTTAAAGGCAAGAGGAGTGACTTCCTAAAAATGGTTTGAGGGTCCAGGAGTCCATTACATTAAAAGGAATCTCAAGGGGCACTTCTTGACTTGACGCAAACTATGAACAGCAAGCTCTGGCTCTTTTGGTCATAGATCGGGAGCCCAACCCCCCCCCCCCCTGCCACTCTAAAGGGATCTTAACTGTTGCAAGCCCCACACCTCAAACCTATTATGGGTTTCATTGGTCCCTATTCTCGATTACATTCGTCCCCCATTCCATGAAGAAACCACGCCTCAACCCCCCACACCCAAACCCGCGGTGGACCAACCCCCAAGGGCTGTGGCACGGCCTCGAAGCGAAAGGTCGGTGAAACCATTTGACAGCCATGGGGTGCTGGACCATGTGTGCGTCTGACTTTTTTTCGGCGGGTCGAAGCGGGTCCCAGTAGGAATGAGGGAATGAACCTGGTCTCCTTAAAGGAAGCCACAAGAAGTTGTTAAGAGTCATTCCCTCATTCCCTGCTGAGCATGAGTAAGTTATTAATAGGAGGTGGGGGTTTGCCCCCACAAAAGTGGTCTGATTTCCTACACCCAGAGACACCCTCTGGTTTATAAGGGTCATTCCATTTCTCATTCCCTGGCGATCGCACCAGCAAGGACCCAACCCAAAACCCGGATGGAGCCCAGGCGACCACCTCACCTTCCGTGCAGTACCGCGCAGTGAGGCGCCGAAATTGGATTGGCAAATGGGAGGCCGTGCAATCAGAACCTGTTTGGGGCAGAGTACTTAGTAAGTCAGCGTGGTTGTAACCCACTTGTGAGACTTCTAGCCGTGGCAAATGGGTTATTGCCATGGGTATTACGCAGCTGCTAAGTAGCCTGCCCCTTTAAGCCAGGCTACAACCAGGTCGCAACCAGCCAATCAGAGAGAAGACACCTCTTAGACGTTTTGACCTGGAGTTTCATTTGTTGGACTTAAGCCAAGGGGGGAGCTCTTTTGGGAGCACCAACCAGCCTTCGGGGGGTCGTATTACCGAGAAACGGCCAGGTCCGGCTATCCGGCGCTGTGCTCCTCGTGCCCTTGGGACTGGGCGATTTTTTGGGGGTTGAAGGGAAGCCAAGACATGGTAGTTCCCAGCCGTCCCCTTAGTATTTTCTTATAATATATATATATAGTGTTTTTTTTCGGGTTTACTGGGGGTTTCCATTTCACCCACTAAAAGTCAGGGGATCTGAGGACAGCCTAGACAAGACATGGGTGTTGCTTTTGAGTTGGAAACCCAAAAGGGGAACGAGTAAAACCACCTATGATGGGGTCAATATGCAAACTTTTGACTCATACCCACATTTGATGTGTGGATGTGAGCACCGGTAAATGACATGGGGCTCGCTCACCACGAGCCGGTGCCAGTTGGGCACACGATGAAAATTGACCGTGGTCCATGTGTCTTTCTTCGTGCGCTAGAAGGACACCCACCCATGGGTTGGGAGGAACAATGGAGCTACTTGGGCACTGGGTCCGTTTTAGTATTGCACGGGCACCCCCGAATTGGTGGGTTTTTGGTTTTTCTTCAATACCACAAAAAATGGTACCCTCCAAAAGAGACACACCCAAATGACGGTTTAAGTTGAAACCCGAAAGGGATCAAATGAGAACCAGCGACTTCACTTTAAGGGCCCCCCTTTTCCCCTTTTGGTTGCCTTTGAAAGGAAACCGAAACGGACACCAACCCAGCTTTAAAGAAGACTACCCCCCCATGTCCACCCGAAACACCACCCCACCGGAAGGAGAGATGTTGAAATCGAACAACAAAGTACATCTAGCCAATCCCGTGCCAACAAAGTCTGCGCAAGACGGACAAAAAGAAGTTCGGCCGAGCTTCTGTTGGTTTCTCCCAAAATGGAGCAGCCCCGCCTCCCAACTATATGGATCGTGACCAGGGTTGAAATTCCGAGTCCTGACTCCAGAGTTGCCTTCGATTTGCCTAGGTCCCCCAGTAGTGCCCTGCAGCATGTTATCCCTTTTTCGGTTGGGAGGGTTCCCCTACTAAAATAGACTACAGAAAACAGGGTACCCTTACTCTAACCTCTCAAATCTGGAGGACCTAGTTTCGCAATGCGCGCGATGCCTCGGGCCTTTTGCATCTCCTGTCGAGGTACCCGTCACAGATGCCCCACGTCGGAGGCGCGAAGAGGATATTTTGGTGGTGGTACTTCGAGGTGGGAAATTTGGGGCCTGAATTTACCACCAGGGGGCTAATTAGGCTTGCGCAACTGGTTGCTAGTCTCACGTCAATCGACCGGTGAGTAATCCTGCTCCAAAGTGACGCATGGCGAACGCCCAAATGTTCCTCAGTTGTTTTTCTTCAAATATCGTCATTTATATGTTTTTGTTAATCATTATTATTATTGTTATTATTATTATTATTACAGCGGACTTTGGGATGGGTTTCATAAAAACCCAATAGGGTTTCCACAAAAAGCTCACCCGCCTTCCTCGTGTCTTGGCCCGAGCTCGCCGCTTTTTCTCCGCTAGGCGGCTCGCCCCCGCATCCTGCGGCCAGCGCCACGGGCCTCGCCGGGCCCTTGGGGGTGCATTGGGTCTTTACGTAGAGGACACCGGAAAAAAATGGGGGAAGTAGTTTGTGCGCCTGGTGATCAGGAGTCTTATAATATAATTAACCATGGCGTTCGTGGTTACGACCATGGTTATTTCTCACTTTACTACGTACCCTGCCCCTTTAAGCAGCTCTAGTTGCGGGGTGTTTCGTTTTGAGGGCACCGTTTGGGGTTGATTCCCATTGATAAGTCTATTTGGGGGGTCATTACTCACTTTACTTCTAGGGCTACCTTCCCCATGTCGAGGGAGCCTTCTTTCTGGAAAACCTCCGGAAATTCAGGGAAAATGGCCGGTGTTTGGAAAGAACGATGGTTGAAAAGAATGGAGAATCAACCCCTAGATTCATACGGGTCTTTCCCCAGCTGAAAGCTATGGGGTCTCTGCCCAAATCAGCTCTGGGGTGGTTGGGGCAGCTTTCAGGAAGCGTTCAAAAGGAGGGTTCTTGGAGAGTTCATACCGCACGGGCTTATTCCTCTTGGACAACTCCCCCATATTATATGAGTTCCCCCTTTGAAGTGGTAGTGGGAACCCAGGATTTTTGGACTGAACAGAGAACTAACAGAGAACTGACAAATGGTTCATATTGGATGGTTGCCACCTGGATTAAATACCACAAATATCAACGCTAACTCTACTTCGGGAGACTTATACGCAGGATGTAGCTTGGGGTACCAACAACTTGCTAACTTGGCCGAACACCCAAGTACGGAATTGTCCTATGGTTTTCCTGGGACCGAGTGATTCTGTTGAGGCGTAAACATGTCCAATTGTCATGGCCCATTAGATTCGGGCATGGCAGGACTCACTCAATTTGAGCCGCAAAAACCAGGGGACTCGCTCATTTTCCCTTCACGGCAACAGCACATTCCTCATACTTTGATCGCCCCAAAAAATGTCAACTTGTCACTGTGGTTTGTTAGAAAATATGTGTGGTGACAGCCTTTTTGGAATTTCATGTTTTGATATGCCACCCTCCAGAAAGGGTAGCAACCCCAAACCAGTGTCTTTTTGTTCTCATGTTTGTACGAAGCTTTTGTGCTGCCAGGCCTTCAGTGTCTTTCTTCAGGATCTCCCCTTTTGACGTGGGTTTTAACGGGAAGCCAAATCGGGTGTTGAAGGGAAGCCTCTTTTTGTTGAGAGCCAAGAAACATCCAGTTTCGGGCGACTTCCATTTTCAGGGATCCTTCCCGCCAAACACCAGGGAGAGGATGGTTGAAGCGAATTGGGAATCGACGAACCCAGAGATTTGAACCCAGACAAACCTCTTCCTCTCGCACTCAGGTGGCAACAAGGACTCTGATAGATCGCTGGTTTGGGCTGCTTGCGTGTAGTCGGGTACTGTGGGTGGACAATTCCTGCACCATTGGCGGCTATTCTGATTTACAGGGTGTCTTCCATCCTATCGTAGCTGGTGCCTGGCGCAGATTTTGTCCATCCTTGATTTTGATTGGGTTTGTCTCAAAATTGGTTGAACCCCCCCAAAATAACTGGACTCGTTGGTTTCCCGTGACATCCACCCAAACAGGGTACTGCGACTCAACAAAACTATGCACCCACCATGGCAGAGGTTTCACATGCCCGGCAGATTTGCATGAGTATGCATCTGATCTTGGAGGCGACTTGTCGTCATTTCACATCATATCTTTTCCAAACCCCCACAATTGGACAGTGTTTCCTTTGACGTCCCTTTAACACAAACCCAGAAAGGGTACAGACTCCAAAAGTAAGACCATGTATATAAGAAAACGGAAGGTCAGAATTCCTTTTGATGGGCCACATCCAAGAAAAGATCTGCTAGGGTGAGGCGACCGCTGAACGGGTTCTAACATGCACGTGTTTAGAAGGCTCGCAGCAAGGACGTTCTCATGTGCATAGCATCCTGGAGCCCACTTGTGGTCGAACCCACTCAGCGGCAGTTTTCCGCATTCGATTTCGGAACGCATTTGTGATTGAACCCGTTTAGAATTTGACACTACCTGGAGTCTCCATGACCCTCTAGAAATGGGTCAATGACCCAATGTTTTGGGGTAATGACCTCATTTTTCAAGGGTCATGGAGACTCCCTCGCCTGTGCCTCCGCTCTGTCGGGCCAAAGCAGGACCATCGAGCCGAGCGCAGCCACAGGCAAGCTGTCGCCTGGGCAATTTGATTTCGGAAAAAGGTCCAGTCAGGGGCCATGTTTTTGACAACTCCCTGAGTTCTCAAGATGTTGGACCTCCTTCTGGTTTCGATTTAAAGGAAACCAAAAGGCAACTCACCGTCGATTCCTATTTGGACAACTCCCCATCTCCCCCTTTCAAGGGTTATAGTGGGAACCCAGGATGATTTTTCCCCTGGCTGAACAGAGGGTTGTCCCTTAAGACAGCCCTGCACTTTCGGCGGGAGACAGGTCCTTGGTCCGTGAGGTATAGCCTTTCCAGGGCGACAATTCGGCATTTTTGTCGCGGCCTCTTTTTTTGTTGAAAAGCGCAAGCACTGAGAATCGTCAAGTTTGTGACATCGACCTTTCCAGCGATCAGTATCTGACAACATCATGGGTAGTCTACGTGGTGTGCAGATCTAGGGCAAAGACTGGTTACTGCAAGTGTTGTTGCAGCGATGAGGTTTCAACTTTCTGTTTCAACTTTCTGCAGCTGTTTGCCAGACGAGTCCCTTGATACCAGGTCTGCAGATGTTAGAACTCCAGTCCCAGGTTTTAAAGGGTAGTCTCAATGCATCCGAACGTCGCCAATTTTCTCAAACCTCCCAACATGGGCTCCGGATCCCTCTCCGTTTCCCCCAGAAAACCAACCCAAAAAGGGCACCAACTCCCAAAGGGACTGGACTCCACAGGTCGGCTTAACCCCGCGAGCTGTGGCTCAGGACAAGTCGTCTGGGCTGACCAAAGGCCGGGCTGCTGGGGTGCTGGGAGGTGACCGGGCAGAGAAACGCCATATGTTTTTCTTCTACCAAGTGGTCCCTCTTTCTTAAAGGCAAGGCAACAGGACACGACCCATCTGTTCTTTTCTTTTTAAGAATGGTTTTAAAGGGACGCCTAAAGGAAGCAAACCGTTGAGTTTGGGGTCTCTGCCTTGAGAAACTCAGACAAATCTATTTGCTGCAGCGGAGGTCACATGGGACCCGTACACTTGCCAAAGTGCCAGCACAAGGGGAAACCTTGTCCAATTTCCAGGAGGACACAAAGGAAATATGTGCGTCTATGTTCTTGTGTGTTTGTATGTGTGTGCCCTTACAAGGGTACCCTTTGCAGCTTGCTTTGGGCAACGAATAGACGTAAACCCACAACTCTTGGGGGTAAAATCACAAATCGTTGTGGTACAACGGCCATTCTTTGGGATAGCACCATTTGGCTGTGGCTCAAATAAATGTACCAAAATGACACCTTGGTAAATGGAGCCAAAGACTGCCACCGCGTAACCCTAGCTCTTGAATTTTGAGCCACAGCCATTTGGGGTCGCCATTGTCTTCCACCTGCCCGTGACCCAAAGCTCCTAGCTGCTCGCCTCCTCTCTTGCCAGGATGCCCAAAGACGCAGGACAGAAGCCTTGCAGCGAAAAATCGCGCGGAGATGGGCAGGGCTCCTTAAAAGATCTCTATTGTGCGAAACCATTTGAAACATGTGGCTTTTTACACCAAAATAAAGTTGGAAACCACCATTTACAAGGCAATGTTCAGGTGTATAGTGTAAGGATCCCGGATGGGTATGCGTTTTTTTTTGGGGGGGTTGGCCAAGGGTCCTCATATTTCGATCTCCCCTTTTCGGCGGGTTTAAACACCAGTTTGGCCCATTCCAGCCAAGATTTTCTTGGTGCAGCTCTCCGTTTGGCTTTTCCCTTCGGGACAGGACAAGCAAGCCCTCTTTTTTGAGGCGCGAGCTCGAAATCGCGCGCGTTGTTGAGGACATGCTTCGGTGGAGCGGATCCGAAGTGCGGCCGGGGACTTGGGTTTAGCCTCGATTCGTATCATATGGCCGTGGGTCAACACCAATGGCACCATTTTGCGGTAGGTGCACCGCCCATGTTAGTCTATTTTAGTGGGGATTGGGATGTTCACTGGGCTTTTGACCCATGGCCATATGCGAAGAAAGAGGCGAATGGTTTTCGCAGAGTATCTAGAAAACGCTTGGGATGCGCTTCTTGTGGATTTCACCTGTTCTTCCCCCTGCAGGTTCCTTTTTGGTACTCGCTTAGTACTCTTTTACTATGCTACCGGGGTGCATCCGCAGAAGCCGCATCCCAACCGTTTTTTTGGAGAGTAAGCATCATACGTGTGTATAACATCAATGTGTATATTGTATATATACATATAACAATATGCATATGCAGTATATAAGTGTGTATCTGTAGAGATAGGTGTACCTCACTGAAACAGTGTTCGATCAACCTAGTCTACTTGAACATAACAAAACCCGTGCAGAAACTCCAGAGGAAAGGAGTCCAAGTGATTCCGAGGTGGACTTCTTGCCCCACACGCCTCCCAATGCCGGGCACTCAGAGCTGACTCGGAGCTAAGCCCGAGAGTTGGTCCTTGGCGTTTGACGAGACCTAGGTCCCCCAGTGGTGCCCTTTCTCACCAACTTTTTGGGGAGGGCTCCCCTACTAAAATAGACTACAGGAAAAAGGGGTGCCCTTATTATATAGACTAGGCTGTAGGCGTTTTTTTTTTTTTTTTTTTTTTTTTTTTTTTTTTTTTTTTTTTTTTTTTTTTTTTTTTTTTTTTTTTTTTTCGGGGAAAAGTCGATGGGCCTGGTAAATGGAACCCAGTCTTTCAAGTCCTGGGAGCTTCCATGTTAGTCTGGGGGAGGGTAGGTGGTTTTTGGAGAAGTCGATGGGTTTCCCTGGTCAATGGAGTAAAACCAATCCAAACCAGTGGAACACATCTATTTCCAACCAAACTAAGTATACAAAGCCCGCACATGGTTTTCACCATGTCTGGGGTTTATCAAAAGCTGCAAACACTGGGGGTTGGTGAAGTGTCCAAAATTTACAACCTTTCACGATGGTGACTTTCACGATGGTAAAAAAGGGGGCCGGTTAATTAGTCCCTGAGAAATGTCACTAGATGGGCTGCTGCGGTTCGCCTTGCCATGGCTCTGAGTGCTTCTTTGCTTGGCTTCGGTTGAGGGATGTTGATTGGTTGGAACAACTCCCATTTTTTTGTATCATGAGAATTTAGTGCTTCACAAAGCTAGCGGGCACTGCCCTCGGACAGCAGCAGAGAGACAGAGTTTGCTAAGGCGTGCTCTTGTTTGGGAGGAGTTGAGAATGACCCCAATGACCCTGTCAACCATTCCCTTCAAGCACCCAATACTGCTTGGAGAAGGGCATTTCGCAAATGACCTATTAGGATCAAGGAAGATGGCTGGTGGTTCCTTGAGCACAAGTGCCATGCTGGACGATGTTGATCTTTGAGCGCTTGCGCGGATGAAGAGCGGACTGAGTCCGCTGTCTGATGCACGCCCCACGTTTGTACCGGGTCGGGTGGTAAAACCCACGACCCCCTCGCGGGGTTGCTACCTTGATTTTTCTTGAGGGAGGGGTGGAGGGTTGTCTTCCATTTGTTTACGAATATTTTTTACGTTCCCGTGTTGGTTTTAAAAGGAATCGATTTCACTACTGGACATATATTTTCATTTTTTCCAGGGGGCAAAAACGCAAAAGGTTCTGGTGACATGGGCCCCCGAAGACTAGTCGGTTTCAGTTTGGTCCCCTTCGAGTTCCGAAGGCGCCTCTTGGCTCGGCAAGGCTCTGCTGGACTGGCTCAAGTACCTGGTCTCAGGGCACATGGAGCCGGTGGGGCGACGCGTCGGGTTCGTCGCGTCGGTTTGCTTTGCGTCCTACGGTGAATGCCGGTGCCTGGCCTCAGTTGTTCAGTGGCACCAATGTTTGTTCCTTTTTTTGCTGGCTCCCCTACTAAAAATGGTCTTCCCCAAAAAGGGTTCCCTTTTTTTGCCAGGGTCACTGAACAACTGAGTGCCGTAGTGCGTGTAAACCAACCACACAACCACAAAACCATGGCGAATGACTTGGGCGCATCTGCTTTGAGGGTAGCGTTTTCTTGGCTTTGTTGAATGGACACAGGAACACCGCCATTTTCGACCGTTTTCTGTAAAACGAGACACACTCACTTGCGTCCCCAGTAAGTTCTTAACGTAAACGTGGGGTAAATTTCTGTGACCAGCCGTGCGGTGGATCCCGGGGCGCTTCCCTGTCTCAGGTCCAAGGGTAGCCGACGGCTCTGAAACCATGGCCTCTTCTAGGTCCAGCGAAAGGGTGCCCTTTCTTTGTCAGCCCTTTTTTGGTTGGGAGTTTACCCACTTTTTTGGTTGGGAGGGTTCGGGACCCTACTAAAATAGACAGAAAAAAGTGGGTACCCTTATTCTAACCTCTCTACTGGAGGACCTAGTCTTGGAACCGGGCGGGTGTTTCCCTCTGCCAGAGTAACAAAAAGCTTCACCGGTACCAGGGAAAAACAAATCGGTCAGCTTGAACTTGTGACGTTCCAACTAACACCACCTGAAACCCTCTAATTAAGCCCCCAAAACCCTGAACCGTGCCCCTGGAATCCCCTAAGCCCCCTAAACCTCCAAATCCCTCGAACAACTTCCAGGATCAAGAAATATGGGTTTCATGCTTCTAGCAACATGGTGAACTGCCCCAAATGTTTGTCCGGTAGAGTAAACAAAGACCAGGTGGGTTGGTGGCGAACAAACAGCTCAGGCTTCGGTGTACACTCAGGAAGTGAAGTCCCTTGTTTGTTTGGGTTGCTAGGGGAAGACCAAGAGGAAAGCTGTGGCTCTTCTTTTGTCGGAAGGTACCCACAGGAAAACGGCCAGCGGGCTGACGCATTCGCCGAAAAGAAGTTGCCAGGGAGAGCCGCCCCCGGACGGCGGCAAGTACTGGGACAAGCGTAGGGCCTTGGGCCCAGGAGTTGGCATCGGATCCCGCATTTGCCCGTAGGAAATACATGCAGATGGATATACCCGTGCCTAAGTTTAACATTTACAGCTACGTATATATATATATATATACACATATATATATATATAGCCTGGACATTCTTGTGGTAGACAATTTTCGCCGCTTCATGAAACAGCGAAATAAAACAGCGCTTTGCGCAAAATTAGGCGGTTTCTTCAAGAATTGCCGCTTCAGAAAAGCCACATAGAAAACCGCCGGTTCAAGCGTACATTAACCTCTCGGTTTTGCCCTTCATCTCTGCTCTGGCTCCTACTTTGCCCGCAGCGGCTTTTGGCTGGCCTGGGCCTTGGCTCGATACCTCCGGTGAAGGGGTCGAGCTTTCACGAGGTAGACCCGCTTGGACAGGTGCTTTTGATGGCATTGCCTGCTGGTCCTTGAAATCTTGCCAACTAGGTCTTCGTTTTGCTCACAGCTGTAGTATGAGCAGGTTTGCTATTTTGAAGGCACCCTGCCTCAGGAAGGCTTTGAATTCAACAAGCGTGTGGCTGAAATAACGCATTTTTGGCTTCATGGCCGACCCTGCAAGTTTGAGTTCCCGAAGAACGACACCTGCCAGTCGCGCATGAGGCTGCTGGAACTCATAGCCTGCGTAGACCCCTGCAGCGCAGGCTTGGTCTGACCAAAGCCCATGCTGATATAGAGCACTTGCAAGGATTTAACAGCAATCTCGCTTCCACAGCGCATCATGCGCGAGAGTGGGACGTGGGCTTGATCGAGTGGCGCTTGAATATAGCCGCCAATGATGGCAACCAACCATTCCAACGCGAGCATAACATCAGAGCCCTGGACATTAAACCATGCATAGCTATCCTTCGATTCAGATGGCGCACAAGGCGAGGGGAGAAGCAAAGTGGGGCAAACACAAACTTGTGATACTCAGCCATCACGCGGGCCCATGTCTCAGCTGGGTCACTTCAAAGTAGGGTGTGAGGGCCCAAGCAAACGCTTACGGACGGTGTCAATTGAACTGGCTGCATAGTTGACCTTACTATTCCTCAGGGAACTTGCGCAGATCAATTTTGGGGACTGTGGGGGCAACGGAATCCCGTACTCATTTTTTGAGACACTCAATTTCTTTTTGAAGGGGAAATCAGTACTCAATTTCTGAGACAGTACTAGACCGTCAGCACTTAATTTCTGAGGGGAGTTCTGAGGGGGGTCAGTAATAGAATCCTGAGGGGGGGTACCAAAAACCCCTACTTGAGTCCCCCGAAGCCGCATGAGAAACTGCTCAGGAAGCAATAGGGCCAACCATCAAATAATTGACAATTGGTCTTCGTGTCTCCTTGAAGCTCCCTTTCAAAGCAATTAATTTACAAATCCCCGATAGGGCCAAGTATCAGGTAGCTATGTATACTATTTTTGTTCTTTCGTTTTCTTGGCCACGAAACTCCCTTTTGCAAAGCGCCGGAGAAAGAATCGTATTGTGACATTGGGAGCGCAAGTTCTGAGGGGAGTTCTGCGGGGGGGTCAGCACTAAAGTCCTGAGGGGGGGGGGGGGGTGAGCATAGAAAAGTGAGGGCGATTGCTCACAGTTGGTCTTTGAGGGTCCAAAGAGTTTAAACACAAGCATGAACTTCCTCATGATCCTTGTGAATCCGAGGAGACTGATTAACGAAACTTTTTCCGCCCTGGTTATTTGCAAGCAGCTTTTTGGGCATCCAAGAAAACAAGGAAAAAGGGAAGCGCATCATGGTTGACCTTACTGTTTTTGCACAGCATAAGGTCTTTTGCTGGTCATTGTCGGCAACTTGAAGGCGGCTAACATGCACCAAGTGGCTGGTTCCGACCCCACTGATTGAGCATTGTGTCAAACGACACAAACTCTCCTTCAATGATCAACTCATTCGATTCCATTTCCATACGGAGTGGCTCGCATGCCTGCTGGAAGGACCCTAAGATCAGGCGTTTCAGGCTACGGCTAATGACAGCAAGGGGTCTCTCAGAATCCACCTCACAGATCTTCTCAATGTTTTCTTTTTTTGTGCCCCCTGCCACGCAAAAAAAGAAAGATGGCTTCGCTTCTTTGAAGCCTTGATCGCCTCGCCAATGCCGACAAGTGCAATTTTCCCGGCTTTGGCTTTCCCGGCTTTGGCTTATTCTTGTTGGCAACAGCATCGTCCACGTAAGGGATTTCATCGTTGGTTTCTTCAGGTTCCTGAGAGTTCCCTTCATCATCCTCGCCCAACTGCAGGGTGGCTGCGCGATCGAGTTTCCTTCTGAGATCAACCACACCCACCTCAGCAAGAGAAGTGGGAGACGCTTGTTTGGCCAAAGGCGTGGGCTCTGCAGGCCAGGAACCTTTGCCCAAGGGAGTCTCTTTGGCAGGGGCAGTGTGGGCAAGGTGTTGACGGCCTGGGAAGGGCATACCCGTAGACCATAATCGCTTAACTGTTTATACCATCATGTTGCTTTTGCTCCGGGGCCTTTCTCTTTCTTGTTCTTCCGATTCTTGAGTTCCTGGTGTTCTTTCTGGATAGCCTGTTGGTCTTGCAGGCCAGCAGGGAAAAGGCAAGGCGCTTGGAGTTCCATCAGCGTGGCACTGCTCCGCCGAAGTTGGACTTTCCTGCGCAGCTGGCTCCGCCGTTTGGCCGTTTGGCCCTTTCTGACTGGCTTTGGTGGCTCGAACGGCTTCGCGCACAGCGCGCCGATGATCCGCTAGACCCCCCAAAGACGGCCAGAAAGGGCAAAAGGGCAAACGGGCAAAGCCACGGCCTAAAATGTTGCGAATTTCTGGTTCGGGAAAGATCGCCGTTTGGCCGCGAAAGATCGCCGGTTGGTCGCCAAAAATCGCCGTTTCATTCTTCGCACTTTTGAAAAGTTATTTTTCGCACTTTTTGAAAAGTTGCGTCAAAACACTCTCACTTCTCTTGCTGAGGCGGATGTGGTTGATCTCACAAGAAAACTCGATCGCGCAGCCACCCTGCAGTTGGGCGAGGATGATGAGTGTGAGTCTGAACTTGATGAAGGGAACTCTCAGGAACCTGAAGAAACCAACGATGAAATCCCTTACGTGGACGATGCTGTTGCCAACAAGAATAAGCCAAAGCCGGGAAAGCCAAAGCCAGGAAAATTGCACTTGTCGGCATCGGCGAGGCGATCAGGGCTTCGAAGGCGGTAAACGGGACCTTCAAAGAAGCGAAGCCATCATTGCTGACTGCATGGCAGGGTTCACCCAAAAAAACGAGGTGGATTCTGCAGAGACCCCTTGCTTTCATTAGCCGTAGCCTGAAACGCCTGATCTTAGGGTCCTTCCAGCAGGAATGCGAGCCACTCCGTATGGAAATGGAATCGAATGAGTTGATCATTGAAGGAGAGTTTGTGTCGTTTGACACAATGCTCAATCAGTGGGGTCGGAACCAGCCACTTGGTGCATGTTAGCCGCCTTCAAGTTGCCGACAATGACCAGCAAAAGACCTTATGCTGTGCAGAAACAGTAAGGTCAACCATGATGCGCTTCCCTTTTTCCTTGTTTTCTTGGATGCCCAAAAAGCTGCTTGCAAATAACCAGGGCGGAAAAAGTTTCATTAATCAGTCTCCTCGGATTCACAAGGATCATGAGGAAGTTCATGCTTGTGTTTAAACTCTTTGGACCCTCAAAGACCAACTGTGAGCAATCGCCCTCACTTTTCTATGCTCACCCCCCCCCCCCTCAGGACTTTAGTGCTGACCCCCCCGCAGAACTCCCCTCAGAACTTGCGCTCCCAATGTCACAATACGATTCTTTCTCCGGCGCTTTGCAAAGGGAGTTTCGTGGCCAAGAAAACGAAAGAACAAAAATAGTATACATAGCTACCTGATACTTGGCCCTATCGGGGATTTGTAAATTAATTGCTTTGAAAGGGAGCTTCAAGGAGACACGAAAACCAATTGTCAATTATTTGATGGTTGGCCCTATTGCTTCCTGATCAGTTTCTCATTCGGCTTCGGGGGACTCAAGTAGGGGTTTTTGGTACCCCCTCAGGATTCTATTGCTGACCCCCTCAGAACTCCCCTCAGAAATTTAAGCGCTGACGGTCTAGTACTGTCTCAGAAATTGAGTACTGATTTCCCCTTCAAAAAGAAACTGAGTGTCTCAAACAATGGAGCACTGACCCCAGAAATGGAGTACGGGATTCCGTTGCCCCCACAGTTCCCAAAATTGTTCTGCGCAAGTTCCCTGACAACTAGCAAGGCCAACTATGCAGCCAGTTCAATTGACACTGTCCGAAAGCGTTCGCTTGGGCCCTCACGCCCTACCTTGAAGTGACGCAGCTGAGACATGGGCCCGCGTGATGGTTGAGTATTATAAGTTTGTGTTTGCCCCACTTCGCTTCTCCCCTCGCCTTGTGCGCCGTCTGAATCGAAGGATAGCTATCCATGGTTTAATGTCCAGGGCTCTGATGTTATGCTCACTTTGGAATGGTTGGTTGCCATCATTGGCGGCTATATTCAAGCGCCACTTGATCAAGCCCACGCCCCACTCTTGCGCATGATGCGCCGTGGAAGCGAGATTGCTGTTAAATTCTCGCAAGTGCTCTATATGATCGTGGGCTTTGGTCAGACCAAGCCTGCGCTGCGTAGACCCTTGCAGGCTATGAGGTCCAGCAGACTTACGCACGACTGCCAGGTGTCGCTCTTCGGGAACTCAAATTTGCAAAATGGGCCATGAAGCCAAAAATGCATTCTTTCAACCACACACCGCTCATACACAGCTGTGAGCAAAACGAAGACCTACTTGGCAAGATTTCAAGGACCAGCAGGCGATGCCATCAAAAGCAATTGTTGAAGCGGGTGTTGCAACTCTACCTCGTGAACGCTCGAGCCCTTCACCGGAGGTATCGAGCCAAGGCCCAGGCCAGCCAAAAGCCGCTGCGCCGCCAGTAGGAGCCAGAGCAGCGATGAAGGGCAAAACCGAGAGGTTAATGTACGCTTGAACCGGCGGTTTTCTATGTGGCTTTTCTGAAGCAGCAGTTCTTGAAGAAACCGCCCAATTTTGTGCAAGGCGCTGTTTTATTTCGCTGTTTCATGAAGTGGCAAAAATTATGGTCCATGGTCACTCGGCCACGTACTTGTAGTGCTAGGAGCGAAAACGGGCAGGAGGGTGGGAGAGGCGCATGCAGGGGCGGAAATGATGCCGTCAAAAGGAACGGGCCCGGGCCATGACAGCTGAGAGCATCTGATGTGACATGTCACGCCCAGCGCTTCCCAATCAAGAATCGCCGCCTCCCTGACAAGATCGCCGTTCCAAAGCAAAACCTACTTGTGCTTAAACAGGCGGTTTTTGTTGCACCCTTTGGAAGGTGGAGAGTAGCTGTTTCATCCATTCCCCACATCCCCCCCTTCCAATCAGATTCGGTTTAGTACGACTGACTTAGATACACCAAAGCTGGGATCCGTGTGCTTGGGTACTCGTACAAGTCTGTGACCAAAACCAAGGGCCGCTGAAATGAAGTTCCAGGGGTTGATTCCTTGTCCATTCTGTTCACCCATCGTTCTTAAACCAAAAACCGGAGCCGTTTTCTGTGGGTTTCAAAGGAGGTTTTCTGGAAAGAAGGATCCCTAGAAAGAATGGAGATGGAAGGTACCAATAGAGAAGTCGCTCATTTGGAGCCTAGCGGCTTAGCAATTCCCAGGCCATGGACTTTGCGCTGAGGTGCAAACCTCCTTGAGAAGACTATTAGAGTCTTTGCAGGCCGTCCGCCGTCGGGTTCCGTTCTTTGTGAAGAAGACGTAGACCCAGAGGATCCCTTTTTGGGAGAGATCCACCGCCCGGAGTTTGGGCAATCGAAAATGGAACCCAAGTGCTTTTCTTGCACCTATGGACTTGCAACCCACTTCTCAGCCTTCCGACTCCAGCCGTTTGGTTCCCGATGTGACCGAATCGCCCCTTAGACCTGTTTCCTTTGCATCCGAAAAGCCCTCAAACCCTAGAAAAGGTTATCAACCTTGTGCGTAGGGCGGAGGGGCCAACCGAGGGTGTTGGGACCCCTTTTGTGTTTCTCTTGTCGGCCCAAATCCGCTGCCTTGTGACCATCGGGTTCTTGAAGGCCCTTTTTGTGCGGCAAGGAGTGGGCAGAGCAGCGGCAGAAGGAGACTCTCCCGTCTGCCACGGCGCACCGGGTTTCCTTTTGGGGTCTGGAGTCTCCATTGAGCGAGATGGTGAGCGTGCAGACTCGCTCAGAATCTTCAAAGATTCTACCGGAGAGTTGAGGCCATGGAGACCTGACTGGCCTATCAAGTGCAGGTTTTCTCTGTCAGGTATGCCCAATCGATCCCGAAAAATCACCTGAGAAACACCCGAATCCGGTCCCTCTCAACGATGGTGCATATACATATATATAATATATATATATATATAGGGCTTCCCAAGAGTTGAAGGGATCCGCTGTTTGGTTGGATTTTACGTTGGAAATCATTCAACCAACATGTGCCTTGGCCAAAGCGCCTTTGGGATTCTTCCATTTGCATAAGAATATGGTTTATTTTCCCTTGTTGGTTTTGGAAGGAATGTATCACTACTGGACATTTTATTCCCAGGGGTCTTAACCAAATGGAAGGATTGGTAAGGATGTTGACTGGAGACTTTACCATCCCATGCCCAAGACCGTACAGGGACTCATGGTAGACGGCTTCGAACAAACCGGGCCCAATCGGTCGCTTGAGGACGTTTCTTTGTTTTTGGTTTTCGGATGCGAATTGTTGTCGCCCAATATCAAAATAAATAAATCTAGAACGATATTCATGTTAAGATATCACATATCGTGCAAATTTATGATTATTCATATTCCTTAGATTTACTAAAGTAAATGATGTAAATAAATTGCTCCTCGTGGCCCATTCTTGGACGACCCCTCAGGACGGCTTCAATGGCGCCGCTTTGGCCCGCGAGGTCGGGTTCGCAAAATGGGGTCGCGTTGGGTTCGACGTTGGGTCAGTTCCTGATGTGACGGTCCATTTGGCAGTGGCTCAAAATTAAAGAGCCAGGGTTACGCAGGTTTTGGTCCATGTTTCCACTTACCAGGGTTCCATGTTGGTACCGGTTTTGAGCCACAGCCATTTGGGAAAAAAATGAGAAGGGGACTCAATCAATCGTCCCGCAAAAACCTGGGCAACTGGAAGATGCCGTCGAGGCCGCGCATGTGGTCCTAGCCCCTTGGGGAAATGGCAAGCTGTGGCGGGCAAACGGCCATTGGAATGAGACAACGAAAGGGTGCCCCAAGCATCGCAACTGGACATAGCTCAGGTGCCCCGGAAACCAGGTGAAACGAGGTTGCGAGCTTCAAACCCATTCTGACTAATTTTGACCACCCCAAAACTTGGCGGTTCCCATGTCCAACCATACCCTTACACCTTTTGCTTTAGAGTTTTTAGAGATCTCTGACATATCCCGCTAAGAAATCATTTTAAGCGAGGAATCAATGAACCACCAATAGATGATGTTTCACTAGGTCCCCCAGTAGTGGCCTTTTACCCTTTTTTTGGGGAGGGTTCCCCTACTAAAATAGACGTCCTGAAAAGAAATGGTACCCTTATTCTAACCTCTCTACTGGAGGACCTAGTTCACAATGGCACCACTTTTGGGTAGGTGCACCACCCATTTTAGAACCGATTATAGTGGTTGGATTCGGATGTTCACTGGGGGTACGATTTGGGTATTGACTCATGGCCATATAGCCCATCATAGGAACATTATTTGAAACAATGGAAACCGTTGTTGGTTGGTATTTGCAGGGGAATCATCATTCCATGGTGCCCTAGGTGGTGCAGGATTTCGTGCATCCACAGTAGGAACCCGAGGCCTCCATGTTTTTTTTGCAGAGCCAAGGAGACGCGTCGAGCCTCGCGCCCGCAAAAAACAAAAACAAGATCTCAGGTGCTGCGGGGCATTCGCCAGGTGGCGCCAGGGCAGAGCAGGAGACGTCGGCTCCGGCGCCCCTCGAAACCTGGTAGCTGCCCTGGTGTTTCCACTACATGGGTGGGTTTTCTTTTTTGAGGGTCCCCTTTTTTTTTGAAGGGTTTATAGAGAAACCAACAATGGAATCCGCCCGCCGTCTGGCAGCCATCCTTTTAGCTTTTTAGCTTTTTAGTGTTTAGTGGTACCCACTAAAAGTTAGTCACTTTTAGTAGGGGATCAGAAATCGGGCAGCCCAGTAAAGAAGCCATCGTTAAACGGATTTGCTCCATTTCTTTTGTGGAATCCCGGTGGGTAGTTGAGAGCCCCAGGGTTTCTTGGGGCCCCGTCGGGTTTCTTAGGCGTCCTTACGCAGCCCTCCAAACAAGTTCAAAATAATTGCTGCATCGAGCAAAGATTGCTGCGGGGATGCTGTCCCAGCAGAATTGTGCACAGCCGTCGGACACTTGCGGGGGTGTTGGCGCCCAAAAGTGATCTGGTTCTTGGGTTGCAGCCCCGTTACTTGAAGACTTGTTTATTTGCCCCTCTCAATTTGAAGTGAATCTATCTCTATAACAAGACACATTTTTTTCCAGGGGAATTCAGCAAATGGAGGCCACGGGCTGCTTAAAGGGGCAGTCCACTTCGTAAGTGGTTAGTAAGCCTGGTTATAACCCACTTGCCCATAGATAGACGACTTCTAAGTGTGTTATAAGTTATAGCCAGGTTTACTAACTAATAGGTAGTGAATCCTAGGTCTCTTTCCAGGCTTTTGCATTACCCAGTGCAAACACCGAGGTACCCACTGCAGTGGTTTGGCCTTACTCGGTTGTATAACCCGTTGGTCTTGACCAACCTTAGTGGTAAAAAACCCGGGTTGCCATGAACAACCTACACATGACCGGACTAAGCTCACCTTTTTGCCCTTTTGCCCTTTTGGGGTTTTCTTGATTCTCCCACCACTTGTTTTTTGCAGGGGTCGAAGTCTTCGCCCTCCAAGGATCATGGAAGCTGACAAAGGCTGCTAGAAGACTACTCTCCTTTTGGGGATGGCCTTTGTCCACTTGGCCGTGGTTCAAAACAACTGGAACAGTTTCGGGATAGGTGCACCACCCATTTTAGAACCGATTTTAGTGGTTGGATTCGGATGTTCACTGGGGGTACGGCATTTTGACCCATGGCCACTTGGTTTCCTTTGAGGGTTTTTTCAGGTTCATTCCCCAACCCCGGGTCCCTCCGCGCCGCTACGTTGGTCTTGAGGAGTTTCAAGGAGGACGCCGTCCGGATGACGGAGCAGGATCACGGGATACGCCCCAGCGCAGTTGTTTCAGCGAGCCACGTGATTCCAAGGACCCAGGACCCAGGGATCTCGGAAGCCTCAAGGGAAACAAGCCAGACCTCGAGTTTTTGAGAGTTAAGAGTTGGGCTGGTGGCATGTCCCAGCTGAACCAAGACTAGGTCCCCCAGCTAGGTGCCCTTTTACCTTTTCTTTTTTGGGGGGAGGGTTCCCCTACTCAAATAGACGTCCTGAAGAAAAATGGTACCCTTATTCTACCCTCTCAAATCTGGAGGACCTAGAAGAGCTAAACCTATGCTCAAGGGATCAAGGAGCGCGGCAAACTCTGCGAGTTGTGTGGCCCAGCTGAAAGCCATGGGCTGAGTAAATTCGAAGCTCTGGGCTTTGGATTTGGGCCCATTGCCTCCCTCATTCTGCAAATTGGTCCAGATGTTTTGTTGTTGTTGTCTTTTTCATCAGGGTTGATGGTTCTTATCTTTTTTTTTTTTGGGGGAGGTCAAGGTTGATTGTGCTTGTTTGTTGTTGTCTTTTTCGTAAAGGTTGATTGGGGCTTTTCGGGTCATTTCCGTTTTGACAAGTGAAACGGCGCGATTCAAGCCTCCAGGAATGACAGCAATGCAAATGATACGTCACGTTCCGGGGGTTGCAGCGTCATGAAGGTTCCTTCAAGGTTCCCGTATGTTCGGTCTGCAAGTCGTAATTTGCCCACATATGGCCATGGTTCAAAACCAATGGTACCATTTTGGGATAGTTGCACCACCCATTTTAGAACCGATTTTAGTGGTTGGACTGGGATTTTCACTGGGGGTACGATTAGGGTTTTGACCCATGGCCATATGGCTGCGAGTCAATTTATAAGGTCCGGAACAGGGTCCGGAACCCACATGCGATCCAGACCTCCGTTCCAGACCTCCGTTCCAGACCTTGCCTAGAAACATGATCCAGACCTTCCGTTCCAGACCTTGTTTGTATATTTATGTCTAGTTTAGAGTATTTACGGTAAGGTGATTTGGTAGGTCATTGACTCCCCCCTTTGTTTTGCCAAATGCTACGCGTTAAGGCTGGTGTTCGAGAGAAGCCTGAGGTGCTAACGATGGGGTTTGCTTGTCGAGCTTTGGTGGTTGGGGCTGCGTGGCTTGTAATCACTGGGACTTGGATGGAATTAAGCAGCGGTCCTGTTGACAGATGTGTTTTTGGAACGGCCTGTGAATGTTAAGGGTCAACCCCGCCGCAATCTGTTCGATACGATACGGTAACGGTTCGATACCGCTCTCGGTCGTCACATTGTTGAAACGACCATGTTTACATGCAGCTTGCTACCAAGTGCAAGCCACTCGCGTAACCGTTCCAGACCCCGTTCCAGACCCGTTCCAGACGTGTTCCAGACACAGCGGAGCAATTTGCCACCAAGTCCACATGCACAGTAGCTACGCTTCTTACGCGGCCCGCCATGCCGCCGAAGAAGCCTTCAAGGAGGTGCCGTATCGTACGGCCGCGCGCCCCTGATCGCTTCATCCATCCATCTACCCATTCATTCATTCATTCATTCATTCATCCATCCATCCATCTATCCATCTTACACTAAATGAACCAGCAGAAGGCTAAACTCTCTCGTCGTAAAATATGTCTTCGGCGATTTCGCGTTGCTTGTTTTGTATTTTTCCTCAGGAACGATATAGCGAAGCCCCAAAAACGATAACGTCGCATGACGTGCAACTGGCGCTTCGCGCTTCTATTTTGCACTGTGTGAGCCTTTTTTTGCCCCAAGCTATAAGTTGCCATGACAGCTCCTGTCAATGCTCCTCGGCAATGCATGGTGGGCACATGTGTGCACGAGATGGGCCCACCCAGATGGATCGCTAACGCGCCCGCGCACACGCACACGCACAGGCGCCCGCAGGCACCGGCGCCCGCTGCGACCTTCGAGCTGGAGCTGCCAAAGTGTAACTTGCGTACTGCGCCGGTACTGAAAGTTGCGACTTGCGACCTGGAAGTTGCAGCCAGCAAGCAAAGCCGCCAATGCTTGGGAGCCAGAAGCATAGTCTAGTCCGCTGATCACATGACTACCGCAAGGTAGAGAAGGCTCTTGTGCGCTTGCTTGGCTCTAGCTTATAGCAAGTTTGTTTTTTTCGTGACACTACACGCGCCCAGAACGATACCCAAAACGACACCCCATCGATACTCCGAGAACGTCCCGGAGCAGCCAAAGTGAGGCCTACCTAGTGCGTTTGCTTTTTCAACCACACAGCGCACATCCTTCCGCGCACACAAAGGGCCCGCAACGGGCCAGGCCGCGGACGCCTTGGCGGGCTTGCGCTTGCTCCTCAGAGATCTGCTGCTGCAGGAGGATGGGAAGGCCTGACTTGCCCGAGCAGATCTGTGATCCGGAAGGCTTTGGAGAAGAGCCCGAGCTCCAAGAGTGCTGCCGCAGAAATTGCTCACTGCAGGGGGTTCGCCGGGCACTTTCCAAATCCGCACGGCGTCGCTGGGAGGGCGCTTTGACACGCGCAATTCTCGCAGAGGGTTCATTGAGCGCTTTGCGCGCTCGCGAGACCCGAACAGAGGGTTCTTCGGGCACTGCGCGAAACGCGGAGAACCATAGGGGACTCGTTTAAAGTAGAATGAATACAGCCCGCGCAGCAAATATTGACGCTGGCTCATGAGTCACGGTCAAAATATGCGTCGATCACTTTATCAAGGCCGGGTTGGTCTTTGGGTTCCGGAACTGCACGCCTTGTTTTTGTGGTTGCCGGAAGGGCCAAACCATACCCACAAGCCAGCCAAACCATACCCACAAGCCACTGGACACTCAAGATGCGCCTATTGGGTGCTTTTGACCAAAGCCACACTCCCCGGCTTGTTACTCAAAACTGCGTTCCCCGGCTTGCTATTTGGAGGTTGCTGGAAGGGCCAAACCATACCCAAAAGTAATTTTGGAGCGTCGAAAACACATTTTCGGATCATTCGCGGGGTGTGAACTGCATTCTGGGCCACCGATTGCGGCTCATGCTTCTTGCTTGCACCCGCAGGCGCCACAGTCGGCATGCCAAACCATACCCAACAGTAATTTTGGAGCGTCGAAAACACCTTTTCGGATCACTCGAGGATCGAGGAGTGTGAGCTGCATTCTGGGCCACCTTGCACCCGCAGGCGCCACAGTCGGCGCGCCAAACCATACCCAAAAGTAATTTTGGAGCGTCGAAAACACCTTTTCGGATCACTCGGGGGGTGTGAACTGCATTCTGGGCCACCGATTGCTCTCCTTCCTACTGCTCATGCTTCTTGCTTGCACCCGCAGGCGCCACAGTCGGCACGCCAAACCATACCCAAAAGTAATTTTAGAGCGTCGAAAACACCTTTTCGGATCATTCGGGGGGTGTGAACTGCATTCTGGGCCACCGATTGCTCTCCTTCCTACTGCTCATGCTTCTTGCTTGCACCCGCAGGCGCCACAGTCGGCGCGCCAAACCATACCCAAAAGTAATTTTGGAGCGTCGAAAACACCTTTTCGGATCATTCGGGGAGTGTGAACTGCATTTTTGGCCACCGAAGTACTGCTTGCTCAAAACGATACTCAAAACGACACCGAAACCACACCCCTCGTGCTCGCATGGTGCTGCTGCGCTTCAAGTTGTTTATAAGTCTCGCTTGCAACTACCAAGTCACCGGACAGCAGTCCGGGCTGCGAGGCGCACGCACGCAACGTGTAGCTGGCCCTGGACTGAGAGAATATTGGCAAAATTTTCTGGTTTTGGAGGGCTGTCGGCGGGCCACCGCTTACCCATAATCAGTGGCGGTCAGCGTGTGGGCCCCTGCTCCACCTCCCATGCCTGTGGGCGGTCTGGAACCAGCGTCAAAAAGCATGTCACGGAGCTTGTGGGGAGGCGCAGCATCTACACCCTTCCTGCCTTCCTGCCTTCCTGCCTTCCTGCCTTCCTGCCTTCCTGCCTTCCTGCCTTCTTCCCTTGCTCCCTTCCTTCTTCTTCTGCCCTGCCTCCCTTCCTCTTCTGCCCTGCCTCCCTTCCTCTTCCTCCCTTCCTCTTCCTCCCTTCCTCTTCCTCCCTTCCTCTTCCTCCCTTCCTTCCTCCCTTCCCTTCCACCCTCCTTTTTCCCTTGCCCCATCCTTCCTTGCTCCCTTACTCCCTGGATTCCTTTATCCCTTCCTCCCCATCCTTCTTCCCTTCGTCCTTTCTCCTCCTGCTTTCTCTTCCTCCCAGTTTCTCTTCCTCTGCTCTCTTCCTCCATTCTTTCTCTTTCCCCCTTCCACTCTTCCTTGACATAAACACACCAGTGTCTGAAACATTGCAGAACGATATAGCGAAGCCCCAAAAACGATAACGTGTTGCTCGAAATCGCCTCTCGCTCACGTGTGCTTGAGGACTCCACACATGTCTTCCCAGGTCCGCGTCACCGCGGAACGTTCCACACCAGAATATTGACCCACACCCATATATCAACCTCATGGTTGCACCCCCCTTGTTGGTAAGGTCACCCAACATGACCAAAATCCCATGGCCTCCTGCAAGGAGTTCATCAATGGCATCCAGGTCTTAGGCGTGTGGCCGCTGGGCCCTTGGGATGTGGCAGTGCAAGCGAGCAAGGAAGGTCTCCAAGAGCAGAGTGTCACTCATCAAAAACTGGGTACGTGTAAAAATAGGGGAACCCCTCCAAAGCAAAAATTGAAACTTACAAAAAAAAAGCAAAAAACATGTGGCTGTCCTTCTGGCTTCAAGCCAAACACCAAGCTGGAAAGGGTAGAAAGGGTTGGTGATACAACCCATGAAAAGTTGATCACTTGTCGCGAGGGATCAAAGAACCACAAAGATACGTGTGAGGTTTTACTTTGCCCAGGTTTTACTGCTTTTTGTAGAGCTAAGTATACCGACCCATTTGAATCTTGAGCTAAGGCCGGAGCTTACCGCGAATGACCGGAAAGAGGTGGGGCTCAAAACGTCGGCCAGACGTGTTGTTGACCACTTGTTGGTTTCCTTTGGGTTTTTCTACACAATTGGGGAGCCCAATTCCTCCTTTGGGTTAAAGCTACACTATAAAACTGCGGGGCCCAATATTTTTTCACTGCGAAGAGGATCTCTATATGTCCTCAACCAGGGCCTGGGTGTAACGCGGAGGGACCGGGTCTTTTCTGCTGTAGAACCCCTCAAATGGGGTCCAAGTCTTAAATCAGTGCGGGAAGGTGCAAGCAACCACCCGCCTTTTTTCTTTCCCTTTTTTTTCGTGGGGGGTAGTTTTTGGATTGGATTGGGTATGGTCATGGACCCCCTTACGGGTTCCAGACAGGTTCCTTTTGAAGGGAGCTACAATCCATGGTCCAGAGCTAGCAAAGTTTTGACCATGGCACACGAGCAACTCTCAAAATCTTTACGGTCATCTATCGTAGTAGAAGGGATGAGTGGGGTTCTCGCCAAATTGGCATTCGGGAATGGGGGTTGCTCATCAAATTCCCCTGTCAACTTGGGGGCACAATGAATTGTCAAAATTGGACCCCACAATTTTAGTGTAGAACTTAAGGGAAGAAGTCCAACGCTTTGTTCCCAGCCAACAACGGAAGGATCCAAATTTTGTTTGACTTGAGACGCAGTGAATATTGACTGCTCACATCGGCCAGGTCTTCGCAGCTCTCCTAGTTCCCTCACAGCACTCGGTGCGACTTCTCAAAGAAGGCGGGGAATCCCAGCGCCGAAGTTAGATCCCACTAACTCTTCGGTGCTTATACCTCTTAATTTTGCATGGTTTCCTTTGGCGGCCTACAATCAGCTTGGTTTGGATTGGTGGGGGTGTAACCCCCAGTTCCTTTGCCCTTCTATCCAAACCACCACACCTTTCACATATTGTGCCACGGCTTGATTTGCCTAAGCACTGGGAACCATTTCTTTGGCTTCCTGATGGCTTCCTGGCGGTTAGTGAGGCTGCATGGAGCTGCCGTCGGCGCTGACCTGCCGTTTGCTGGCTGAGGGCTTGAGCACTGCCGCGCACTCGGCTCAGCAGCTCGATGCCACCTGGATGTACTTGCGATCGGTGCGAGAGGTAGGGAGTGTGGGAATGGACCCAGGGGCTTTGTAGGAAACCACAAGGGGTTGTTTAGAGTCATTCCCTCATTCCCTGACCCAGAGACACCCCCCCCGATGAATAAACTGGGCTCGATTTATCCGGGTTCCCATGAGGCCCCACAAAACCGTCCTTTTCAGAGGAATCTCCTTTTGGTCTGACACGGTCCCCAAAAAGGCGATCCATGTTAGTCGAGGGAACCCCACCTGCCTTCCTTCGGTGTTCCCTGAAACAAACCCCAGCAAAGGATCCATGAAAAACCCACGCAGCTTGCCAAATTTGAGACGTAGCTGACTTTGTACCTCCTCGTTTCATGTTCACTCCGCCTTCTTCTGTTTTTTTTTGCGAAGGTACCATATGTCTTGCCAGACTTCCCAGTACCTGTTCACCTGCTGGAGGCTCCGGGCGCATGGGCTTCCCGAAACCCCTGCTGACGGGGACTTGGCAAGCGGGTTATGAGCCAGGCTACCAACTGCTCACCAAGTTGGCCGACCACCCAAGTAATGTCAACCCCGGATTAAAAAAAACAAAACCTGGTTGATTAATAGGGGGTGTCCCCTTTTAGTGGGGATTCATCACTTTTGGAGGGAACACCCCCCTAATGAGACGGGTTTATTAGTCCCGGGTCAACATTAGTGATTCCCTGAGAAGCAAGAGCCATGAGTGCAGGCAAGTGCGCATGGCACGAAGCCGCCAGGCGAGTGTCTTGAAGCCGGCCCAAATCGCGAAGGCGTACGAGTTCCGAAGCGCTTGGATCTTCAGATTTGAAAGTTGGAAGGGAGTTCACGTAAGATACCCTCAAAAAAGAGACATGCAGTTGCAGAGATCTGCAGAAAGGATGGGCTTCCTCTTGGTTTCCCTTACAGCACCCTTTTTTTCAGGGGGTACCCTGAAAAAAGAGACATGCAGTTGCGGAGATCTTCAGAAAGCATGGGCTTCCTCTTGGTTTCCCTTCAAAGCACGCCCTTTGGGGGGGTACCCTCACGAAAAGGAGAGACCCAGTTGCAGCCCGACTGGACACCTAGCAAGGAAAAGGGAGGGGAGAGAGAGGAGTTTCATGGAGTTCCCGTGAATTCGACTCCCTCTTATCCCTGGAAACTGCTCCTCGTTAGTTGCATTATTTGCTGTCTTGTTTATTGTTTTGTTTCAGGGGGGGAGGAAAGCTCGCAAGCTGTGTGCTGACATAGCAAGGTTTCGGAGCTTGGACTTGATTCAGCTTGGGGACTTCTGGGTGTGTTTTCGCTGCCCGGCTCCCCTTTTCAGCTTGCTTCAATCGCACGCCAAACGGATTGCCACATTGTCCACCTATTTGGACGCATAGCCTAGCAATGGTCAATTTAGTTCTTTAGTTCTTTAGTTCTTTGGCTCTCCCCACCAAACCCAGGGACACCCCCAAATTAATAACCAGGGGTTGATTAATACGGGGTCAACAGTCCACTTCTTGCAGGTTGCACCTCACCGCCCGCAAGTCTTGCAGGACATCTCGGCACGCTTCAGCAGCAACAGCGGCGTTGACCGCATCAAGGACGCATGCCCCTTTCGTATGGTAAGGAAAACCACAAGAACGGAAACCGGGAGGGGTGCCTAGTTTTGAGAGACTCTCCCGGAATTTCGGGAATTGCCGGACAACAGGCTTTCCTTTTGATTTTCCCCCTGTCAGGTTTCCATCATGTTCCCCTGAACCAGCAACAAAACAACGTTCTGGGATCTAGGTCTAGCCAAGGTTCTAGCTTTGCCACTGTTAGTGATATCACTGGAGGTGAGGCAGTCCGAAGTGTGAGAATCCCCACTTTGTCCCTGAAAAAGAATCCACTTTGTCCCCACAATCATAGGTGTCCTTTTTTAGTTTAATTTTTGATCAAACATCGATCACTGAGGGCTGGATGGGTTTCATTCCATTTAATCCAGGGCCATCCATTTTTTCCACAAGGGCCACCTAGGTCCCCCAGCTAGGTGCCCTTTCTCACCCCTTTTTTGGTTGGGAGGGTTCCCCTACCAAAATAGACTACCTAAAAAAGTCGGTACCCTTATTCTACCCTCTCAAATCTGGAGGACCTAGCCACCTATGCCAATGCCCACAATGCTTCGGGCTTCGGGCTTCGGGGTTTCGGGGTTTGGGAGCGCGAAGGACTTCTACATCAGCGGCCTGGTCTCCATGGAGGAGCTGCAGATTGCGCCCCTCGGAGCGGCGCTTCGGGGTTCGACGCTCCGCGCGAATTTTGGGTGTGGGTTCGATGGGCGACTTCTTGGAGGCTTGCGAACCAAAAGGATCGAGACCAAAAGGAGACCAGCGAATTTGGGGGTCCCTAGAAAAGACACGCTGGTTAGATAGGCGCGCTTTTTTTTTGGAGGCGAGCGAACCAGAAGGAGACCAGTCCCTAAAACAAAGACACTCTCAAATAGGAAGGGACCCCTTTTGGGGCAGTTCTAATTGGAAACCGAATCCCCTATTTTGAGAAGCGGATGTCCTACTCTTTGAAAGTTCGCGTGGAAACCTAAGACTCTTAGACCCTAGGTTGGTATCCTACAAGAGTTGGAGCGTGCGAGGCATGTGACGAGTCACGAGCGCTTGCCCGAGGTTGCCGTATTTGGTGCAGATCAGAAGGCTTGAAGAGGCAGCGGCCTTAGGGCCTTATTTCCTTTGCGCGTGCCCCGATTTCTGACGGCTCGATTCGTTGGAACCCTTGAGTCGTTTCAAAGCGCAACCATTGCCCTCCAAAACGGGGTCCCCCTACAAACGAGGGCTTTTTGAGGTTCCAGGGAAGCAAGCTCAAAACCCTGGCAAGGGAACCCAGCATTTGGTAAGGGGTTGATCTGGCAAAAAAGCTAAAAGGAATTGAATCCCTATGGTTCAGTCTACCTTGGAGTACTCAAACATGGGAGCCCTGAAGCAAGCTCACCTCCCCAGTAGTGCCCTTCTCTCCCCATTTTTTGCGGGAGGCTTCCCCTACTAAAATAGACGTCCAGAAAAAAAAGAAAAGAAAAGAAAGAAACAAAGGGGGGAAAAAACGGGTACCAACTGATTTGAACCTCTCAAATCTGGAGGACGCCGCAAGCTCACCCAGCCATTCCGTTTTTTGAGCTTTGGGTAGACTTAAACCCAGGGGTTTCCCTTTTGTGGGAATCAACCTGTGGGTTTCTGCCTTGGGGTAGCTGGAGGAGCTAGCTTATTCCCTCGGTTTTTTGGGTTCAGGTATATATTATAATTATATTGAATATGCATTCCTTGCGGGTGTATTCGTTGGTTGGTTGGTTGGTTGGTTGGTTGGTTGCAAGCTCACCCAGCCACCTCGCCCCCCTGCGTTCGTGCCTGCCGTGCAAACGCGGAGGCTGTGGAGCTGATCCTCCGTTCTTCCCGGATGTTCAGCCCCCACGAGTGGCAGAAGTATGCGGCGACCTCGGACGAGTCACCGGTCACCGGTGAGAGCAGCTCTAACAGGATGTTGGCTCGTTGTTTTTGGGTGGAAACCCCCATGTTCTGGTTTGGCCTCTTTTTGTTTGATCCGAAATTCCATTCCCAGCCAGATTCCACTGACTGTTTGACCAATTTCAGGGACTTGGAACATATCCGACTAAAAGTTTGATATGATAGGTATCCGATTTTGCTTTGGATGTTTGTGGATAATGTGGGAGGACTCACGGATGTCCCTAAAAATTAACTTTCTGCGGGGAGCAAGTAATTTTGACCCTGGCTCATTTTTTGCGACGCCACACTTCTTTTATACTCTTTAGGGTGGAAGAACTGTGCACCGAATCTGAACCTTTTGCAGTATTTTTGTGTACCGCATAGGGGGGGGGGGTGGGCTCCCGACGCAACCCTACAGAACCCTACCCTGCGTAACGTACCTACCCCCCTTTAGGAATGTAAAGGAAACGTGGGCTTGACACATGGCCGTGGTTCAAAACCAGTGGTACCATTTTGGGATAGGTGCACCACCCATTTCAGAACCGGTTCACTGGGGGTACGATTCGGGTTTTGACTTTTGGGCCATGGCCACATGCCTCAGTTGCCCAAACGGACCACTGCGATTTGAGGTGTACAGCATTCGCGGAGAGGACCAGGCGCCTTGCTCCTTTGTTTTTGTTTTTGTGTCCTTGCCACGACTGCGGGGAGGATGGTATGAATGGTGCCCCTGAATTATAGATCCCACAAAACATAAGCCTGCGTATTTGTCTAGGTGTTTGTGTTTCGGCGGGCGTCCGGCTCTGATTTATATACACATAAACTCCAGCTCGGACTTAGGCAGGCAGTGGAGGCAATGAGATTGTATCGTGGCCAAGCCGCGAGGCGAAAGAAGAGCCGGAGGCCTGCGAAAGCAGAAGCAGAAGCGAGATTCGCAGGACATTTGGTGCTGGATTGCCGGTTTTGGTTGAGTTAACTAGGTCCCCCAGCTAGGTGCCCGTTTACCCTTTTTTGGGGGAGGGTTCCCCTACTACTAAAATAGACTACGGAAAAAAAGGGTACCCTTATTCGAACCTCTCTACTGGAGGACCTAGATTCAACATCGCCCCATTGCCCATGTGGAACATTGCCTAGGTTCTACGAGATTCCTTTCCGGCCTGTGGATTGTAGACATTCGGGGGTGGTCGATATCGGGGGTCCTTTTTGGGGGCCACCCTTTCCAAAAAAGGGCCATATTTTTGACCACCCCTCAGTTTTAGTTGAATGCAGCATCACTCAATTTGGGAGACTGGCGATCGTCCTTCAGGGGCTTTCTTTTCAGCGTGATTGTAGAAATTCGGACTGCAGGGTTGTGGAACATATAAGTTGCAAGGCCGCTTTCTGCGATACCACAAGATTTGTTTCAAAGTGATAACATGGTCATAGGAATGACCCATGTCGGCATCATAAAAAGGGAATTTCCCACAGCCATACATCACTTTGGGTTGCCATGAGTTTTCTTTGGGGGGTGATGTTTAAAGGGGATACACAAGCACCATTAAGCACCCGTTTTGGTTTGACTCAAGTAGCTCTTTATTTGTGCACAGCGTGAGTATGCCTTTGCACGGAGTTCCAAGACCAACAGATATTGATGTCAAGTTTTCTCACGCCGCAAATAGGTTCTGTCTCCAAGTAGGATGCAAACGTTTCTACATGGGGACCGCTTTCCCTTTTCTTGGTTTCCATTTTAGAACACCCCTTCAGAAGGAGTACCATCCAAAGACTCGCACACAAAACCAATAGTCTGTCAGAAGTGCTTGGACATGTCTTTAGTGCGGTTCCTCGAATGAACCAAACAGAAGCCTTTGGGTCTTCACATATCGCCCATCCATGAGATGAGGTCCCTTCAACCACCTCGAAAGGTATGTTTTTTAGCTGGTGAGTGGTCCCAGCCAAATCCGAATTTCGAGAGCAATGCCTTGCCAAAGGGAAACTTTGGTTCCCCGAATTGAGGGAATTCCCTCTAAGAATGAATCGATTTTGTGGGGTACCTTCCTCTCATTTGCCTTTTTCATCCCCAAGTGTTTCTTTGGTATATCTTCCCTAGACTGGGGATTTTGAACTCCATTCTCAGATTCGGTTCCAACATCGCAGTCTGTCCATGACGAGAAGGGGGAGCTGGTTTCAAAACTGGGACTCAGGAGTCGTCCACGCGAGTCAGTTGCTCAAAATCCGGATAATCGGAGGGCAGCAAAGGGACAATCCCAGCCATAAAAAGGGCGCGGATATCCGCCTTTTCAATTCTCTACAGGGTTCTCATTTTACTACCAGGTTTGACTCATGGGAAACATTCGATGTGGCAGGTCCGCTCGTGTGGGGCTTACTTCGCAGATCGAGCTGTCCGGCTTTGGATGCGCCAGCGGAACTCTGGTGGGTTTGTAGGTTCAGTGAGAAGAAAAACGGGTTTGGGAGTGGTCAAATGGCCCGTGTTCCCGGCGACTCGCTTGGAACCTGGGGTTCTCGTTTCCCTTCGGAAGGCAATGTGCCTCACATTGTAAGCACCTGAGAGTCTCGAAAATGGGGTCATGGCCCAAAACTATTGGGGCATCCTATGTTTTCAATTGTCATAGTGTGGAAGGACGAATTGCATTTCGCACCACCTGGGAAACCGTGGATTCATGATTTCCCTGTAAATACTAACCAAGAATGGTTTCCCATGGTTTCTTAGGTGGTGCGAAATGGATTTCGCAACCATCCACAGTAGAGACCTGCGATGCAAAGCAGCGCATCTTCGCGCATTTTTGGGAAACGACACTCTCCGTGTCGGCCGAGGCAAGCCGGTGGTCTCCTTGCACCAGGTCCGCATCCTGCAGGTATGTGAAGGTTTGTCAACGGGCCCCTTGAAAAGGCGGCACAAGGCGGCACCAGGTCCCAAAAAGGGTCCTTATGTTTTTGGCAACGTCCCATGTGCAACAGTCAGGGGGATCACTGGGGTCGGGGTCAGTGCTACTGGGGATGTGGTCAGTGGGTATGAGGGTTCTCAGACCCATGATTGAGCCTATGGGTTGGCTATGTTCATGTTTCCATGCATGTTTTGCGTAGTGCACTCGCAGAGTTGCAATGTAACGCTTAGATACCCTTCCTCCCACTAACATGGCACCTGTGGGAGGGTACCCGGAAGATCAGTTTCCTCTTGGAGGGACCCCTTGTCAGGTGCCATGTTAGTGGGAAAGAGGGTATCCAGCTTTGCTTTTGAGGCCATGAGTTTGACATGGCCCAGTTGACATCCGCAGGCGGAGAGGAGGAGGCAGGAGACACGGAATCAGCCAGAGATGCCCTCGGTGCAAGCCGAGGGAAGGGATTTGGACCAGTTTCCTTGCACTCGGAACCTTCTGGCAGCTATGTGGAAGACAGACCGGGAAAACACGAGAGAGAAAGAGAGAGCAATGCGTTGTCAGGGTTCGAATAAATGGGTTCCGATCGCTTGCGCCGAAGGAGAATAATTATAATAATGGTATCCTTCTAGCCCCTCGTTAGAATCCATGCTCCCATTTGCTGCTTAAGATCTTTTTGACTTTCCCTTGCTGGTTTTAAAGGGAACCTATCGCTACTGGAAATTGAGCTATAGAATGTGCAGAACATATAAAGATCTATCATAGTTTCCCACAGCTTGGATGGACGAAATCCTGCACCAGCGGAGAAACCCTGGAATGATGATTCCCCTCTAAATACCAACCAACAATGGTTTTCCATGGTTTCTTAGGTGCGAAATGGATTTCGCAACCATCCACAGTAGCTTGTTTATTGTGTTTTTGTTTCTCCATGGAAGCTTGAGTCACCCGAGAGAGAGAGAGAGAGAGAGAGAGAGAGAGAGAGAGAGAGAGAGAGCGAGAGAGAGAGAGAGGGGCGGAGAGGCCCGCCTTGGTTTCGCCTGTGCCAGGCGAAACCGGAGAGGCAGGGTGTATTGCATGCAGACCTGAACCGGCTTGGTTACCTGCCATATTGGTAGCTGACTGCTGGTTCCAGGAACCACCAAAAAAGGGCCCGGAACCGTGAAATTGTGGCCCGGAACCGTGGAAAGAGGCCCGGAACCGTGAAAACCGATAGACAGGAATCTGGTTCCCACTTTTTTGGGAACCAAGCCTGGCTCCCCAAAAAACAGTCGCCAACGGCCAGTTACTAGCTATACAGGTTACTAGGAGTCGCTGGGACATGGAACAGGCAGTTTTAGATCCACCGGTGAGAACAAGGGAAGTAGTTACAGGGATGAAAGTGTGTGTGTGTGTGTGGTGTGTGTGTGTGTGTGTTGTGTGTGTGTGTGTGTTTTTCCCAAACCATGCTTAACCATGCAGAATCGGCAAATGTGTGGTACTCGAAGCATGTTCAAGGGTGGTTGGGTTGATTTCACATGTCAGAAGAACGGATTGCTTGGTTTGGGTTCTTAAACGCCACGAAGAATCGCAATCCAACCCTGGCAAGCACCGTCATGGCACGCATTGAAGTGGTGTCTCTTTTTGGGTGGATTGCAATGCATGCGGACCATCTGCATGCGCCCAGTTGCAGCGCCACCCAGAAGTTCATGCAGGAGTGGGCATTCGCCAATTCCGAGTGATTTGCAGATCAGCACGGAGCCCCAAGACCATCCATCTTTAGAGTCTATCTATCTTTAGAGAATTCTGCTTTTTGGGTGATATCCTTGGGATCCAGCTTCGTCTTGCAGAATAGGTTGAATAGGGTAGCTCTGCCTGAGAATGGAAGGGGGTTGATCGGGTTTCGAGGTCGCCGCTCTGGCGTGCAGCCGTGGATGACACATGTGGCTGGCCTTTGAGGTTGGGGTTCCGCCTTTGGGTTTCCCCATAATGTCAACCCCGGATGAAGTCAAACTCCTGGTTGATTTTAGTGGGGATTCATCGCTTTTGGAGGGAACACCCCCCTAATAGTGGGACGGGTTTATTAATCCTGGGTCAACATTAACACCAAACAGGGGGGTTCCGGCTCAAAAAAGGGACATCCAAATAGTCGGAAAGACTGGCACAAACAGCCACCAGGTCGCTATGGCTCCCCCTATGGCTCCACATGTGACATGCCCACAATGCAATCCAAAAGATTAGCCCCGGTCAGCTGCAAAGCCTCTCTCCCCAGGAGGGTTTGCGCACAGGCACGGTCGCTGCTTCGCGAGTTTGCTGAGCCAATCAGCAGGGCTCCCTGTACCCAGGATGAATATACCCCTGTTTATTCATATTGGGAGTGTCCAATTCTTCTAGTGTGGGCTGCTTTCCCCCCCCACCCCTTATTCATAAGTCCCCTTTTGGAATTGGACGCTTGTTGGAACAACCTGAAATGTGGACACTTTCAAATGACTCGTTTCCCTGCACCCTATTAAAGCAACCCCACAGCTCCTTTGGCTGTCCAATGGCAACCGCTCACTTCGCAGCCCGCCCGGCGTCGTCGTCGTCCGCGCGCTCCGCTCGCGCCAGTCGTCGACTGGAGCACGACCAAAGCCAAGCGCCGCAGCCACCAGGCCCGGCCTGGGCAGCGACACGCATGAAATCTGGGGTCAACGCAGGGTTCTCTACTGGAGTCAATGCAGGATTCTGGATATTCATGGTTTCAACATCACCTTCGGGATGGTTTCAACATCACCTTGAGGTTGCCAATTCGGATTGAGCTGTCTTGTGGTGGGCTGATGTTCAAAGGTGACATGCAAGGATTTGTTTGTGACCATACTGCACTGTGTGTGTGTGCGCGTGCCAGTAGATTCAGTGGATTCTAGGAGTCCTCGGACAGTGATTTGCTGTTGTATTGGCTTAATATTTGAAAAGGGTGTTTTTCCCTTGTTGGTTTTAAAAGGAATTTATCACCACTGGACATATTTTTATTTTTTCCATCTGGTATTAACCAAATGGAAGTATACACCCGCCTCTTCAAGAAACCTGGAAAGAGGATGTCCTCAGGCTGACGAGGGCGCTGGCGTTGCTGATAAGCCCTCCTTCATGGAGCAGGCCAGTCGGTGCTGGGCGAGCCAAACTTCAACGCCCCCTGCCATGTTGCAGGGTAGGCCACCACACCAGGCTAAAATTACAGGTATATAAACTAGGTCCCCCAGTAGTGCCCTTTCTCTCCCCTTTTTTTGGGGAATGTTCCCCTACTAAAATAGACTACATAAAAAGGAAAGTTGGTACCCTGATTCTAACCTCTCTACTGGAGGACCTAGATTACGTTAAATTTCAGAAATGCCTTCCTGGTTCTATTGAGTTGGCGTCCGCTGTACCTGCGTCGTTTCCTCAAACCACCAATAAGCCAATAAAAGGGCCAAGCGAGAGATGAACAAAATGTGATCTCAAGGAGGCAAGGGGATAATTACAAACTGTTTTTGAGTCCGACTCTTAGAATGTTTGGGGCACCCAAGAAAACAACAACCAACCACCAACCAAGACGGCTCAGAAGCCCAAAGGAAAAGCAGACGCACCCCCTTTTTGTTAGATGCTTTTGAAGGTGTCAATGAGCCAAGTGAATTCAGAGCTCCACACGCAATTGAGGTGCACGTTTCAGGTGAAGGTGCATTTGACAGGTTGGTTGCAACTGGGAGGGGCCTCACCGTGCTTTTTGGCATGGCCAGCCGGAAGTGGGGACTGCTAAGCTTCACTTTGCGGGGCAGCAAACTTCAATGAAAGCGGAGTGAGGGCCAGGGATAATTTGTGGGTCCAGGTTTCCACTTTAAACACCAGACTTGTTTGTCTTTTTGTGTTTGTTTTGTTTTCTTTTTTCGGAGGGCCCTTCCTGGTTGGGGGTTGGATTTGTGGTTTGGAGATTTATCCCTGAGTTGTTTTCTCCTAAACCCAATTGGGAAGGTAGCCCCTCACCTCCGCTCCACGAAACCAACAGCCATCAAATCAACTGCTACTCAGGGAGGAAAGTGAATAGGTGACCAACATGCATCAAAACTTTCCCAATCCCAGGGTATCAACTCCAAAGCACCAATCTACATTCGCTAGAAAGACTTATCCTGGATGACCTGCCCGCCGGTGCAGTAGGGAATGACCCCTTTCAACCATCCAACTGGCGGTTTCCTTTAAAGGGACCAATTCCTGGGTTCCTTCAGTGTCTCATTCCCTACCAATCGCACCGATTGCAAGTTTTTCATCAGCGCGTTGACACAACTCAGGCGGAGCGTGACGAGGGCATCCGCCTGATCAGCTTGGCCCTGGGCCCAGTATGCCGTTTAACCGCCACTCGTGACTCGTGCGTGTTAAAGCCAACCATGCGGAAGAAGATAAAAAAGAAACATGGACACATACGGGGAAAAAAAACAAAAACACAACAGAAAAGCCAAAAGAAAGGCTTTCAAAGCCATGGTAGCTTGTTGGCTTGAAATTGTCTTGCTCCCTTGCTTGCACATGTTTCTGGCATCGGCAAGCCCTGGATAGCCTTAAGCCAAGGATACGCCCCTAGTAAGGCTTACAAGGGCCTAGTAGGTGGCAACCCCCATGACGAAACGGCCCAGACCAGTGGGTCGCTTGGCATGTTTAGAGTTTCTCAAACCAAATATGTTGGGGCACCACTCAGAGGCTAGGTCCCCCAGTAGTGCCCTTTTACCCTTTTTGGGGGGAGGGTTCCCCTACTAAAAGGGACCACAGAAAAGAATGGTACCCTTATTCTAACCTCTCTACTGGAAGACCTAGGAGGGTTTGGTTTGAGGATGTCACTTTGGAACCAGTGGTTTTCGGGCCTCAGCAGGTCTGGGAGCAATTCGCAAATAGGTCTGGTGCTTGTTCCAGGCCAGCTGAGTAAGAACTCTTTTGGAGGAACCGCACCCTCAATTTTCCACAGTTGAAAGTAGATGGCACGATTCCCTGTTTTGAAATCAAAGTGCGGTTCTACCAAAGCCAAGGCGAAGTCAGCCTTTCTTGATGGCCGATCTCCCCTTCAGCCGTGAATTTTGCCAGCTGTTCCGCCTCTCTGAGTAAAGCATGGGCGGCTGGTTTTGGAATATACGGCACGATTGAGCCCGCTTTTGATTGGCTGTTGGTCAGATTGGCCAATTTTCAGAGGGTAGTGAGGCCAGAAGCCTTTCATTTTGGTGACTCGTTGGCCTTTTCGATTGGGCTGGTTCGCATCCAAAAAGCCAAACTCACGTTTTTTGCACGTCCCTTTTAGAGTGCACCAATCTGAAAAAACAAACACGACCTGGAACCTGAAACCTGGAACCAACACTTTGGGACATCTGAGTAGAACCGCCAGCTAAGTCCCAAGCGGAAAGCCACTCTTAGGACTGGCATAACGAGTGCCTGGGTCCACTGCTGGCGGGCGCCTTCGTACGCTGCTGTCAGATCTATCAGGCCGGACTCCTCGGTGCCACGAGCCCAGCTTCCGAGGAATCTGTAATTGACGACTTTTCTGGAACCAAGCCCAAGATCGTAGATATGAGGTACCAAACAATCCTCTGGGTAAGCATGTAGAATAACTCAGTTGTTCAGTGGCAACATGTTTCCCTTTTTTTTGGTGGCTGCCCCACTAAAAATTGTCTTCCCCAAAAAGGGTCTCTTTTTGCCAGGGTCACTGAACAACTGGGATAAGTACCAAAATCAATGGTTTCTCCTGGCAAGTTTGGTCGAGCATGTATTTTGCCATGGTCAAAAGACATGTGGGTGTGAATTGTAGGGGACTCGAATAGTGGACATCATTTTGGTAGGGGAGATATGTCCACCCACCACTGACTTGTCATGTGGAGCTGAAAGTAGACAACCAACGTGGACCCGACATGGCAGACATCAGAAGTTGGGTGGGATTTATGTCCGCCGGGACCCCAAGTGGTTCCACTAGACCACGGTTGGCCCGAAAGCAGAACATCGCAAGCGAGGTCGGCCCAACGCTGCAGGATGCGTTCTTTTTCCCTACACGAAGCATTCGTGAAGCAAGCGCGAGACAGCACCAGGCAAGGTGCTCTGTGCAAGTTGCTCTGTGCAAGTTGCTCTGCGTAAGTTGCTCTGCGCAAGTTGCTCTGCGCAAGTTGCTCTAGGCAAGGCGCTCTGCGCAAACTGGTCGGTGCAAGTTGGTCTGCGCAAGTTGCTCTGTGCAACTTGCTCTGCGCAAGTTGCTCTGCGCAAGTTGCTTTAAAATGCAAGTTGCATCTTGCGACGCCCGCCCGCGGACCAGGGAGGAATCGAACCCGCGACCCGCCGGTTCCGGGAGCAGGCGCGCGAACCACGAGACAACTCCCGAGGACCAGGTCGAACAACAAAAGTCGCCAAAAACCTCGAGTTTTTGCACCTCGACCACGCCGATTCCCGCAAAGGGTTGCGCGAGCACCGCAGAAATCGCAAAAAAACCATGGGTTTTTTTTTGCACCTCGGCCACACCGATCCCCGCAGAGGGTTGCGCGAGCACCGCAGAAATCGCAAAAAACCTTGAGTTTTTGCACCTCGACCACGCCGATCCCCACAGAGGGTTGCGCGAGCACCGCAGAAATCTCAAAAAACCTCGAGTTTTTGCACCTCGACCACGCCGATCCCCGCAGAGGGTCGCGCGGGAACTTTAGAAATCGCAAAAAACCATGGGTTTTTGCACCTCGACCATGCCGATCCCCGCAGAGGGTCGCACGGGAACTTTTTAGAAATCGCAAAAAGCCATGGGTTTTTGCACCTCGACCACGCCGATCCCCGCAGAGGGTCGCGCGGAAACTTTAGAAATCGCAAAAAACAATGGTTTTTTGCACCTCGACCACGCCGATCCCCGCAGAGGGTCGATTTTCGTGTAGTGTCGTCGGCACTACCCCGCCGCCCTAAGAAGAGATTTTAACTCCTCGCAAGTCAATTGCACTTGACTCCTTGCACTTGCAACTTGCACTTGACTCCTTGCTTGTTTCAAGGAGTCATTGCAAGGAGTCATTGCAAGGAGTCATTGCAAGGACTTGATAGTAGCGCCTTGGTGCACCCACCAAGCCACCCCTTGCATGAACGGGAGGTTCCAACATTGCCCCAAAGGGTCGCCGAAAGATGTTGTGAGAAAGGCGCACATCTTGCTGATCTCGTTCTATGGTCAACGCACCCAACTTGGGATTGGCTGGGAGGGGCGCACCCTGGAACGATTGCCGTGGCCGACCTGAGTTAATACAGTACAACAATAATAAGTCGGCCCTTTTTTTCCACCCGCCCCCCTCCCCAGACTTTGGGACATGTTTTGGGGGTAGGACGGACCGTAAACGCAGGTGATGGAAGACTCCTGAGCCTGCCGCGAGAGCTTGTGAGGTTCCAGAGGGAGCCCGGGAACATTTCGACTGAAGAACTCCAGTTGGTTTGTGTTGTTTTAGGGGACCCCCAGAATGGTGGTTTTCCTCTTGGTTTCCTTGACAACCACCAAAATGGGATACCTCCAAACAAGACAGACCCATTCATGGTTCCATGTTCCCTTTGAAGACTAGACCAAAGGTTGACTGGGGCCCCCCACCCAGCTCATCTCAGCTCCATGCGGGGGTCAATAGCCAGTGGGCTGGCGGCGATGCCTACTCACTGACTGGGTGTTTCAGCCACTGGGCATTAGTGGCCAGAATTCGTGCGGGGTGAAGCCCCTTGCAATCGGATTTATGTGACGTGACTCGTCACTCGTCAGCGTCAGCACTTAGGAAGCAACGCCCGGGCAAGGCCTTGGCCAAAAGGGGCGGAATTTGTTTCTGGCCATGGGTCAAAAGAGTCCTTTCCATCAATTGTTGTTGGGAAAGCATGGTTTTTCCATTGTTGCTGATTGTGGTTTAGTGGTTGAAATCCAACCACTTAACTCTTAACTGCTAAAAATTAAACTGTTGCTCCCCTTCCAACGTCAATCAAGTTTCCTTGGGGTTGATATCGCTGGTCATCAACCTACGAGTTCAATGCAAAGGTTCCTAAGGGAATGGACGTGGCCATCAGTTTTGACCCTGCCCCATGGCACGTGCGGATGCGTTGTGAGAAACGCTAGGAGTACTGAGGTGTATATTAGAGACTCAGGCTTCACATTTGCTATCCGTCGGGGCTGCGTTTGGCCAAGGTAGGAAATTCCACGGGAGAAAAACAAAAAGCACCGCTTACTCAGGGTGTTTTGCGGCTTGTTCCTGTAGCGAACCTTTTGAAGATGGGAATCTCAGAGGTCAGGGCGCGAGATCCTCTCGGATCTCTCGTCTCCTTTGTCGCCTAGGACAAGAATTGGATTTTGGGTGTGGGGTATTTCATCATATTTCGACACAAGTCATCGTCACAACTGGAGTCTCCGAAACTATTTTGTAATTTTGGGTAGACTAAATATGACACATAATCTGGACAACAGTTTGCTTTGTGCACCCCAGATGAGGCAACCCTGAGTTACCTTAGCCGCTTGGAAATTTGAACCCCTGGCTCTTGTAGGCAATGGGTGCAAACCAGCAATCCAAACCACTAATCTCAGGGAAGCTGATGTCAACCCCTCCAAACAGCAAACAGCTGGAAAACATCAGCAAATGCGCAGGTCTACACCAAAGTGGCCAGTAGTGCCCTTTTACCAACTTTTTTTGGGGGAGGCTTCCCCTACTAAAAGAGACTACAGAAAAAGGTAGCCTTATTCCAACCTCTCAAATCTGGAGGACCGAGTGGTGATTTCGCTCCTTCCCTTCCTATGGTTGTCAAGGGCCTTTCACCAAGGGGCTCATCGCGTCCTGTTGGATGCCTTTTGGAGGTCCAATTCCTTTGTTAGTAAGTGGTTTGGTGAGCCTGGTCATAACCCACAAAAGCCATGGTTATAAGTCTTCGAAGTGGGTTATAACCAGGCTTACTCACCACTTTCCAAGCGCAATGCCCCTATAACTATGGGCAGTACTCACCTTTGTCAGGGTCCAAGTACCGAACATTTTCGAGGAATCTGTAATTGACGAATCCCCTTGAACCAAACATCGTATGATTCCATCGTAAATACCAAGCAAACAATGGTTCCCCGTGGTTTCAAAGTGGCGCGAAGTGGATTTTGCAACCATCCACAGTATGAGGCACCAAGGGAGGCCTCTGACGTCCTGAGCTCCACGCCCCCCGCGCGTCGCGAAAAACCGCAGCGGGCGGCTCGAGAGCGAAGCCGCCGGACGGCGCCGGGCGCGAGGCGCCATGGGCTGCGCGCAGTCGCGCGCGGCGGGGGCGGCGCTTCACCCGAAGCTGCTGGGCCGCTCTGAGTCTGGCAAGGCTGGAGGGGGTGGGGGGAGGACGGGGGTGGTGGGGTGGTGGGGGGAGTTGGTGCGGGTGTGGGGGAGAGAAAATGTTGCAGACTCAAACCCTAAAAAATGATGCCCGAAATGATGGAGGTTGCAACATAGACAACAGATCCAAAGTGTCCAGGGGGGGGAGGGGAAGCGGGGGAGTTGGGGTGGGGGGTGGGGGCGGGGGCGGAAGAGTATTGGGGGGGGGGCTGTCATGGACGCTTGGAGTATATAATGCCCCACGTGGCCACGTGAAGGTTGCAAAATAGACTCCTATAAGGTGTGTTGGTCAGTTGCCGGATATATGAGCGGAATATCGGTGTTCCGAGTTCGGTCCTGAATCAAATAGGCAGGGTTGACCCCAGGAACCAAGGTTCGAGTCCTCATTTCGAGACAAGCAAATTGTTAGAAAGGCTTTAGGCTGACCCACGCCAATCTTGACTCACTTGCCCAAAGCCGACCTTTTGACCTTTCAGTTTCCTCGTGTTCGACGATTTTTGGTCATACCTGGAGTCTCCATGACCCTTGAAACATGGGGTCAACGGGGTTAATCACCCATTTTTCAAGGGTCATGGAGACTCCAGGTAGCGCCAAAGGGTTCGCTTGGGATTTGTTGCTCCCAACCGAACTGCCAGGCCAAGGTCGTTTCGGAGTCCATCCCGGAAGCGCGGCTGGAAACCTTTCTGGTGCTCCGCGTGCTTCGCGCGGACCTGCTGAGGCGCAGCGAAAAAAAACACATCTATAGGGTTGATTATGGAAACCATGCGAAACCATTGTAGGTTGGCATTTGCAAGGGAATTATCATTCTTGGGTGGTGCGAAATGGACTTCGTCCATCGACAGTAGGGTTTGATTCCTTGTCCATTCTTTTCAACCATCGTTCTTTTCAAAAACCGGATCCGTTTTCCCTGGGTTTCAAAGGAGGTTTTCTAGAAAGAAGGATCCCTGGAAAGAATGGGGAAGGTAGCCCTAGAATTTTGAATTGCAACGACCTCACAGACCGAATTCACCCCAAATGGTGGTTTATGTGGGGAATATCCCCCCACCACCAAACATTTCAGGTTGGTGAAATAGTATCATTCACCCAGATTCGATAGGTGTGGGGTAAAAGAAGGGGTGGGGCAACATGAGGGCATGGGACAAAATCAAACCACCAAAAAAAACCACAGGGTTTAGTCCATGTTTCCATTTACCAGGGTTCCACTCTGGTCCGGTACCTATTTCTGACCAACAGCCATGTGCCCCAAAATGGCTTCGGTTGTCCTTTGGGGTTTCCCTTTAAGAAACCACTCCATCAGGGGTTCCCTCGAAGAAAGACACTCACTCCCATACGAGGTTTTGCCAAGAGTTCCGGTATATGGTCCACAGGGACATGGTGGATGTCACCAAAGTTCCTGCAAAGGCAGAAAGAGAGGCTGTGAGCCTCAAATGTTTCATGTTTGGGGAAGATTCGTAGTATTGACCGCGGCTATGTTGAGTGCGCCTGGGGAATCCCAACAAGACGGTTGTTTAATCCTCCAAAACGATGTTGTATTGTAGGGTAGAATAGGGTGGAATATGGCAGAATGAATTCGGAACATGTATTTTCCATGCACCCCAAGATCTTTAAACATCTGCAAACAGTCAGTTGGCCCCCTGAAAGGAAATCGTTGGGCCCATGTGTTCGGTCAGTTTTTGCCCTGGCTTCTTGTGGCTTGGCAGTTTGCAGAGGCATGTTTTCGGCATGAAAGCACTTTCTGTTTTTCTTTCTGAAGGCATTTCACAGCGTTGCATGGGAGAGGCAGTTCACGACCGTGTTGTGTATGGAGTTGCGTGACCTGGGTGGAGGTTTGGATACAAGGAAAACGGGGTATTGCCTCAAGCTATGGCTTACAATCCATTCCTCCAGAACCCCTCTGGAAATTTTCCCTTGCTGAAGGTCCTTCGGCAGCTGCATGAATGGCAGCAGCCCTTTAGGGGTTTTTAAGGGTACCTTCTGATGGTCTCAAGGCCCTGATTTGGGGTCACCTCCATCCAAAGGTAGAAGAGCGCCGCTTCTTGGGGATATGTTCGGTACATAATGCTGACCCCTGGTTAATAAAACCCCCAGTTCGGAAACTCCTTGGGTGCCCAGAGTGGGAATTCCTTTCCAGGAATCCCGGACTGGGGTGGCTTTAGACTCCTGCGATCTGCGAGGAGTTTCGATGCCTACGGCAAGATGGACCCCTTCACAGTGGTCGAGTGGCTGGATCGGAGAGGTTCTCGCAAGGAGAGGTCTGCCAAGCCGGCGCGTCTAACTCCCCCGTGGTTTCCCGTTGCAAACGGGAAAGCAACTCAGCAACTATTGATTTGTTGTTCAATGAGGCACCATTCTGGGTTGTGGGTAAGAAGCCCAAACAAGGAAGCACCCTCCCCTTTTGCCCACCGTATATTTTTGGGGGTAGTATGAAACAGGACCTGCGCTGATGAATCTAAATTTATTTGTGTACCCTATGTGCCAGGAGATCTCGCGCACGCGCATTGACTGGAATGCAGATCTGCATCCACACTGGGACCACACGTGTCGCGGCCAGCCCTTCAAGCTCGGATCTGAAGATGAGGTGGAGTTCCAGGCAGGAAGCCGCAAGCAGCGGTGGGAGGACGGTAGGTGCTGGAAGGAAGCCTGGAGCGAAGTAGAGCCTCTGGTTGATTCACAGAGGGGTGCCCCTTTTAGTGGGGGGTTCATGACTTTTGGAGGGGAGCACCATGGAGCACCCTAGGAGGGGTTCATGAATCCAAGGTTGGCATTAAACCGTTTTGGTAAAAGCAAAGCGGAATTCAGAGGACTCAGGAGACCAGCCATTTGGTGTCAATTTTGCTCGATGGTGGTTCAAAGATGTAAACGGAGCGGGTGTTCCGCTAGCCGGAAACTATAATATGTTGTCCCCGTATGTGCGGGTTGGAACCCAAAAGCCGGATGTGGGGTTTACCTGGGTTGGTAAGTCCCAGGGTTTACCCTGGGTTGGTAAGTCGCAGCCACTACTTAAAGGGGCAGGGTACTTGGCAAGTGGGTAGTAAGCCTGCTTACAATCCACTTAGGCGACTTATAACCACAATAAGTTGGCAATATCCATGGTGATAACCCACCAAAGCCATGGTCACAAGTTCACAAGTCTCCCACGTGGGATATAAGCAGGCTTACTAGCCACTTTACGTACCCTGTCCCTTTAAGCAACACGGGAATGAATGGCGGGGGGGCGGGGGGGGCGAGGGGGGGGGGGGTGCGGGGAGGGACTCCCAGCCATTCGGGGCCGAGTTCACCCCAGGCAGCTGGGCGACCACCCAGACTGTGGGTAGCCAGTGTCCCTTGTTTCCAGTCCTCTGGTTTTTGGCCGGCGCAGCGATCTCTGCCGGTCCGGCCGCTTCTTAAAAAAAGAAGAAGAAAAGACAATGGAGGATCTGAGTTCCACAGTGGTAAGAGGTTAATATGTTTCAAATCAGCTTCTTAAAATGTCTAAAAAACTGGATCTTAGTTTGAGTGTCGCCATTCTTCGAGGTCTTGGAGGGCAATGTCATCGGTCGCCCCACCTTCTGCGGCGCCGCGCGGGTCACGGTGGACGAGCTGCTGCCCACAAACTTCTCCATGGAGGGCACTTCCGCAGGGCCGGCGCCTTCGGCCAAACGATGCCCCCAGCCCATGCATGGTCAACCACAGGATTGGATATGGGGGGGGGGGGGGGGTGAAATGACCATGGATCACTTTTCCCCTGTGGTGGTGATTGTTTTTTGTGGTTTCCGTAGTGGTCACCCCATGTAAAGCAGCTTTTGATCAAGAACCACATGGTCAAAAGACCGGTTCCTTTAGTAATTCAGTGGTTGGATTTCAACCACATTCCAGCACAATAAGCAAAAATACATGAACAATGTTTCCCAACAACAAGCATGTCAAAAGGAAGCCTCAGGTTTGTCTGGAATCCTGAGGGTCCAGGAGTCCATGACCATACCAAAACGTAAACTTTTGCTCCCCTTCCAACGTCAACCAAGCAGCCCCTTAAACAGGGCTCCTGAATCAAAAGATGGCCAGTTTTGTTTCACCAGTTGAAGCATGTGGCATTTTTTTCCACAGCAAGATAAAGTGGGACACCACCAAAAAACAAGGCAGGCTCCTTAAAAGATGCATTTGGCTGCGGGTCACAACCAATGGTACCGTTTTGGGGTAGCCCAGTGTACTCTATTTTAGTGGGGAGTGGGATCTTCACTGGGGGTACGGTGTATTGACCCATAGCCACATTTTGCAACCATTTGACACATGTGGCTTTTTTCCACACACAGATAAAGTGGGAAACCACCAAAAAACAGGGCAATGTTCAGGTGTATTATGTAAGGATCCCTGTTAAACATTGGAATTGGGGGGGGAGGAGGGTACCCCTGGAGATCTCCATTTATGGTTCCGGTTTCCCATCTATGGGGAAGACTGGAGAAATGGAATTCCCCCTCCCCCTTAAGGCAGGGGGGATGGCAAAAGGTTCTCCAACTTGTGCGCTCGGCCCAGCTAGTTGTTAGTATCCTGGGTGTTGAGCCCACTAATAAAAGTCTTCACCAGGTAGAGTTAACCTTGTTATTTGCGGGTTATTTGGTAAAACCAATCACTGCGGCCGAAAGCTGAGCAGCTGAGCTTTTGGCCTTTGAAGTTCTCGATTTCTCGGACCTCCAAACTGGTTTTGTGGTCGTTGTTTGGTTCAGGGTTGTGGTTGATTACTCGGGGTTTATCCAACCATTGCTGCAGGGGGTTTACCTCCTCTTTTATATGGTTTAGGGGAATTATTCGCTGGGGAGGGGCCAACATGAAGAACTCATGCTTTGCCCTGCTAATAAAACGCACCAGGGTTGTGGGATCACTCGGGTTTATCCAACTGCTGTGATACAGGGGGTTTACCCGGTCTTTATGGGGGGTTAGTCTTTGGTAGACCCTTCTTGTATCACGGAAGTGGATTCCATCTCCCACACTGCTTTGCGATCCTTTTTTGTTGAGGCAACAGCTTCCCTACTTGGGCGCTCGGCCCACTTATAAGTCTCCATGACTCCATAAAGTAGAGTTAGCCTTGTTATTTTTGCGGGTTCTAACCCAGGTGGCTGACCACTTGCTAACTTGGCCGAACACCCAACTAAACAGCGGTTTAAAGGGAAAAGGACCACCGTCCATTGCAGTGGCATCCTCAAAGGGGTGGGGGTGTTGGTGCCTTTGACTAGTTGTGTGACGTTGGATGGCCAAAGAATTGCAAGGAAACCGACAATACACCAAAAACCATAGTGTACAATATGGCAAAATTAGAGATTTCCCGTTTCGGTTGCATGAAACATCACCTGGAACATGTGTGTATGTGTTTGTGTGTGTGTGTGTGCTTATGCGTTTTGTGCTGTGTGTGTGTGTGTGTGTGTGTGTGTGTGTGTGTGTGTGTGTGTGTGTGTGTGTGTGTGTGTGTGTGTGTGTGTGTGTGTGTGTGTGTGTGTGTGTGTGTGTGTGTGTGTGTGTGTGTGTGTGTGTGTGTGTGTGTGTGTGTTTGTTTGTTTGTTTGTTTGTTTGTTTGTTTGTTTGTTTGTTTGGTTGGTTTGTTTGTTTGTTTGTTTGTTTGTTTGTTTGTTTGTTTGTTTGTTTGTTTTGTTTGTTTGTTTGTTTTGTTTGTTTGTTTGTTTGTTTGTTTGTTTGCTTGTTTGTTTGTTTGTTTGTTTGTTTGTTTGTTTGTTTGTTTGTTTGTTTGTTTGTTTGTTTGTCCGTGTGTTTGTGTGTTTGTTGATTCGAAAAGGAAAGCTATCAGCTGTACTGAGTCCTCAAACTTAGCAGCTCTAAAATAGAGATTCAAAGGGAGGCCATCCGCCAAATGAGTCTTGAGGACCCCGCAAAACAACCATCTTGAGGGACCCAGTCACTAACTTGTACAAAATTGCTATTTGCCCCCCCGCCCCCCGCCCTGCCCCCCCAAGCACACCGATCCCCGTGTCGGTCGATCTTAGTTATTTGTCGGTAGATGTTGTAAGAATCGAAAAGCACCGCATGTTTTTGGGGTGAGATCCTGTCTTGGGAGGTTCCAAAGGGGAATCACGTCATGTTCTTGGTCCCGTGTGATAAAAGACCTTTTTGGGAATATGGGTTAGTAGTTTGTGCGTGTGGAGAAGCGCCTGGAAACGATCAGAAGCCGCAAAGTGTGGCATACAAGCAGCAACGCTGATCCGATCCGTTTGGATCGTCGTCATTGTTTCGAGGTCACGGAGCTGGAGCTGCGGCTCAGCGCGGAGCTCACGGGCCACGTCTTCGTGCCATGGTTCTTGTTAGAAAACATTTTGGCATTTTTGCCATCATTGTGGGTTTAGTGATTGAAATCCCCACTTAACTGCTAAAAAAATACATTGTTTCTGGGAATCACATTTCTGCCATTTTTGCTTCTGGTGGTTGAGTGGTTGAAATCCTATATATATATATATCAAACATTTTTATTGCTTATCGCAAAAATTGCTTAACCCATTTGTAGTAAGTTAAAAAATAAATAAAAATAAAACATATTTTTGCTCCCCCTGCCAACGTCAACCAAGGTGCAGGCGCTGCTGGTGGCCTCCGCGGATCGCAGCGACGAGCGCCTGAGGCTCACCAAGGCGCGGGCATCCGTCGACCGCGGGCGGTCCGAGTTGATTTCGGGGTAAAACAGCGGCAACCGCGGCGTTTATCAGCCAACAAACATGGGGCGTTTGTTCGGGAAACCATTGGTTTGAGGGTGTTGCTTGGTCGGCGAAATTGTTGGCGCAGAATGGGTGGGTGTCCAATTAGAGTCCACCACCAAGAGCATGTCATGTCTTCCTATGGGGCTGGGGCGACATGAGCTGATTGCAGTGTAAGTTGGGTTTGAAGCTCAAGCAAGACAATTGGTTTGATCAGGTTTGGTGAATCTTGGGTTGGGTTGAGTTTGGCCAAGTCAACTGGGACGAACAAACATGGTCTATCGCCACCAGTTCCACTCATCTGCAGTCTCCTTAACCTTCAAGAATGTGCCGATCCCGTTCTTGGCAATGACCCCATGTTTGACCGAAAGGACAGGGGGCTTTGCCACCCCCTGAGGTGGACCCCGTGATGTTCGAGGCGCGAGCCGCAGCGCCGAAGCGGGGGGGGACGGGGGCGATGATGGGATTGTCTCGTAGGGAGGGGGGGGGGCACCAAAAATATAAGCCTTCTAACCTACTCACACTTTATAAGCCAGCTCACTGGGCTATCCTGACCTGACTTGAGGGTCCTTTCTATGGTCCCTTATCGACATCAAGGCAAAGCGAGAAGCGGGAGAACGCAGCTCAGGGAACCCCTCACTCGAAACCCAGTGAATCAAAAAGCAGCTGCGGCGTGCCTATTTCAAAAGGAATCCTTCTCTTTTTGGGGTCATGTTGAATCATGATTCATCCGTGTCTTGCATTAAGACGTTCTTATAGTTCTTAGTCTTCCCCCGAACCAACCTTACAATTGGCCGGAAACCCGTTGCTTGGAAGCGCCCGCGGGCAGGGATAAAAAGCCAGGTGTCCCATTCAAGACGGCCAGTTGCTCGCTTCCTGTTCTTCTTTGGTTTGGGTGGTTGTTTTTACCCGTTCATAGTCATCCACCCAAAAAACGGGGGGGGGGGGCGGCGTCTTTTTTGAACTCCATTGGGAGCCAGTGGGTCCTTTGTGGATGGCCTTCGGCTAGGGCCCCATCGAGCGCCTGGGCGTGTCCGGCGGCAGCGCGGCCTTTTTCAAGCTGCGCCTGAAAGGATCTCGGCCCCCGGACTATTTCATCGGCAAGGACCGCGGCTCTCGGATCGTTCTCGCGTGTTTTTTTGGGGGGGCAGACGGCGGGGTGGGTGCTAGCGGGTCTTTTGTGGGGCAGCCTTGTTGGGGTTGGCTTAAAGGGCTTCCTGGAGTCTCCATGACCCTCTAAAAATGGGTCAATGACCCCATTATTTTGGGAAATGACCCCATTTTTTGCGGGTCATGGAGACTCCAGGTTTTTGGCTCGAGGCTCCAAGCCACCCGCTTTGGGAAGCTGATGCCGTTTCGCCCGCTTCGCTGCCCGCAGGACCTGAGCCACGCGGAGGACGAGGTGACCTTCTACGAGGAGGCGCTGAGTCTACGGCGGCGGCCGGGCTCCGCGGGGCTGGGCCAGCTGCTGGGCTACACCCTGGAGTACGCCGGCGTGCTCAGCTCCACCGAGGCCGTTTTTTTTTTTTCAGAAACCATATAGAAACCCCAAAATGGGCGGGTCCCAATTTGACGAAATGAACAAATTGGTTTGAAGTGCAAATCTAGATTGAAATAATTGAAGAAACAATTTCTAATTGCAAATTATGGATAAATGTGAATTGCAAATCTAAATATCTAATTGAACTCATTGTGACAGTGAGTCCGGGATTCAGGGGGGCTGGGTGCCGAGTGGGTGGTGGTTGCTCTTTGTCCACTGGAGGGTCCTTGTTTGCGCTGGCTTGGTTTTGTTTTGGGGGGGACCAAGGGAATGAAAAGAACAGAATCAACGCCCGGGTAGACGAAGGTTAGTAAGGGACGATCCCAACCAAAATTAGGTCCGGCCGCCTTCTTTGTTCTTTGCATGGTTCTGGGTAGACCATGTTAGTAGTTACCGGGTTTGATTATGACTCAGGTGTCCGTCTGGTCCACTCCGTTTCGCGGAAATCGGAAACGCCGACACGGGGCGGGTAGGGAACAGGCGACGGTTGGGTCCCGAGTGGCATGTTTCCCATTTATTGATTTGTTTTTTTGGGGGGGAACCATCGGAATGAAAGAACAGGAGAACGTGAAAGTACGATGTATGTTCTCTTTTGAGGGTCCACCCCAAATGGGCCGGTTTCCCAAATTGGCTTTCCTTTGCAACAACCAACAAGGTATCCCTCTTTCGGATGCCTCAAAAGAGAAGCACAAGGGAACAGTTGCCGAGATTGGGGGTCCGATTCCTGTGAGAATCTCCTTGACGTCCTTCTTTTGGGTGCCACTAGATTTGTTCGATATTTTGGGTTGTGAGAAACCAAGGTTGAAGCCAGTGTCCTTTTTTCGCAAAATCCAAGAGGGACGCCCATTTTGTGAGCTTTAACGGGAAATCCCACCACGCTCCAGGCAAGAGAGTTTTGTCGAGTCCTTGTGGACTTTAGTCACCTGAACCATTGACTCTCCCTCCCTTTTCACATGGAACCTGACGTTTGGGGGGTCCTGGTTTGGACCATTTTCCCTGTCAAGGGACCGGGTTCCATACTTTCCTTCATGTTCCTTTTCAAGGGACCGGGTCCCGAAGGTCAGGTTCCATGTGTTAATTGGTGGGAGGGTAATTCTGGGGGAGGGGTGGTAGGGTTCCCCCGAGCCTCTAGCGACATTGCGCCTTGGAGCCCTGCGAGGAAACGCCGTCGGGCGAGAAGAAGACGGAGTTGCTGGTCATGCGAAACCTGCGATCGGGCTGTGCCAAGCTCAGATTGCTGGACATCAAGATTGGCCAGAAGACAGCGCAGGCGCGGGGCGTTTGTGTTCTTTCTGTTTCCCGGGGTCTTCAAAATGTTGTTTGATTTTAGGGGCTAAATATGAAGCAACATCTGGAAGCCCTTATTTGCGTGTACACCGCCCACCATTGATTTGCCCACTGGCCAACTTTCGGGCGGGGGGGGGGCTTCCTTAATTAAATTAGGTTTCAGGGTCGCAGGGAGCGATCCCTCCCGGTCCAAAAGCAGAATGGGTCTTGCCTGGGTGTTTTCGCCAACGGGATGCTCTCCAAAAGGAAAGTTTGTGTGTGTGTGGCCAATAGTGCAAATTTAATTTAAGGCTCCTCTTGGACGACTGGTTTGCGTTGGAACGGGTTCTTTTTGGCACTTCCATATCAGTCGGGAGAGGGCACCGACTTGTGGCATTCTACCAAGTTGGTTGAAACGGGGAGGGGGGGGGGCGTCTGTGTTTTTGTTGAGTTGGTACTCTTTCTTGGGTTTTAAAGGGAAACCAAAAAAAAATCACGGTTTGGGAGCGGGCCGCCTAAAAAAAAAGACTCACACAGGTATTCATCATTTTGAACCGCCAATCATTGCCAGGGGCGCTACGGATGATGGGCTAGGAAAATCGTGATTTCACCATTTTGCTCAACCCGCATGAATCCTGGTTTCATGTTTCAACGTTGCTTTAATCAACTTGTTCACCCGTTTAGCCGCCTGGACCCTCAAACTACTCATAGTTTTTTGGAATTTCCCAACATTATAGGGTATGTTTCCATTTTCTGAGGGTAGCTTGAGGGTCCGTGCACCCTTTTGGGGCAGACTCGTTCTTTCGAGCGGGCTCGCCCCCATCGAGCCGCTTGCGAGTCTCGCAGTCTAGCGCCAGACGCGTCAGGCTGGGTGGCAGGGCAAGAGTCGGGCTGCAGCGCTTCGACAAAGCGTGGTGGATGGGGTCACCAACTCTTCCTGCGAAGGGTTCCGCTTGGAGGCGGGTAAGCGGCTGAATCGGTAGGCACTGAATCCTTGCCACCAAGATCCAGAAAAGTAGAACCCGTCCAAATTAATAGCAGGAGTGGCCCCTCCAAAAGTGACGAAGCCCCTCTAAAGGGGGACCCCCTCTTTTCATCAACCAGGGATTGCGCCAGGGTTCCCATTAGTAGCCCCAAATAAAGAGGGTTAGGGTAAATCCCACCGAAAAGGGACTTGCTTAAGTCTTTAAGTGGCATGATGCTTCGACCATACTGCCCCACCATGGGTTCTGCCTTGACCTGAACCTCGTTCGTTGCTCCCTTGCAACTTCACCCGGACTCCCAACCCCCCATCGGCTGCATGCACATGCGTACTGTCCAGAAAACAGTCGCTGGTATTTTAACAATGAAGGTCATTTTACGGCGCGCTTATGTCCTTGCTTCTGAATTGTGGTATTTCGCCCAGATTTGAGGATCCTTTTGGGGGACCTCCTCATCACTGAGTTCTTGGATGTCCCCAAGTTTCAGGTAACCCATAGTTGGTGATTTGGATTTGGATTCGATCCCGGACCCCTGGTTCGTGTAGAGTGTAAAATGGGAAACCACCCCGGAAGACCAACAGATCTTTGGATATATTTTATGATCTCTTCTTTCTTTGGGGGGGGGTCTATGTTTTGACGGTGCCCTTGGGGTTTTAAAGGGGAACCTCACGGGAAACCCGTTGTTTTGCAAATTGTCGGACGCCCCCCCCCCAACAACTCCCCCACGCCTCGACTCCGACTCCAGCGAGCCAGCAGCACGCCAGGGCTTCGACGGGCGCCCGCCGGCGCTGGAGTCCATGGACCCTCTGCTGGACCTGGGCATGACCGGCAACGCCAAGATGGCCAAGAAGGACAGGGACCGACGCACCGAAACCCACTGAAACCCACCGAAACCGAAACCGAAACCGACCGAAACCGAAACCGAAACGCGAAGTGAAAACGACCGAAACCGACGATTCCCGAAGCGAAGCCGAGGGGTGTCCAAAGGAAACTTCTTACTGGGACGCGCCGACCGACCGAAACCGACCGAAACGCACCGGAAGCGACCGAAACGCGCAGCAACCGGTGGTCCTTTAAGTGAGCTCACTCAACCTGAGGTCCGTTTTGGACTTGAGTCACGTTTGTCGGGTTTGGCTACAATTTTAGTGGTAGAAACAGAAAGTGTTTGTTTGGCCCACTCAGGAAGTGAGAAACCTAAGGGAGTGTGGTTGTTTAGTTTTTTGGCCCCACTTGGAAGTGAGAAACTTAAGACGCGAACCGTTTTTGTTTGGCCTCACTCAGGAAGTGAGAAACCTAAGGGGCGAACCGTTTTGTTTGGCCTCACTGAGGAAGTGAGAAACCTAAGGGAGTGTGGCTCAGGAAGTGAGAACGGTCGCGAGTTGCTGGGGTAATGAAAAGGAACGGGTTATGGATGGATAAAATTGGATTTGTTTCCCAATCAACAGGGACTGTCTAACCTGCAAAAACGTCCTGTGGCTCCCCTTCAGAAGTAGGCAAAGTCTATACATATACCCTCCCACCAATAAACATGGAACCTGACAGTGGTCCCGGAAGACCATGTTCCTTTGCAAGGGACCGGGTCGCGAACGTCAGGTTCCATGTGAAAAGGGTGGGACCGGTCTTCAACTCAGATTCATCATTGCTTGGGTGCATTTTGCTTGGATGTTAGGACTTTGACTTTTTGCCAACGAAGTAAGCCACTAAAAAGTAATTGAACTTTTGGCAGGGCAGCAAAAAGCAACCGAGAGAAGGTTGATGATCCTTCCCCTTGAATTTACCAGGGTTCCCTGTTGGGCGCGTATTTTTGACCCACGGACTCAGATTCATTGAGGCGCTGCGTGTCATGCTCCAGCGGATGACGGCGGCAGAGATGCTGCTCCACTGGCTGGACGTGCACCAAGAGCCGCGCCTCGGCCACCGACGCCACCAGTGGAACGAGCCGCGCTCGGAGAAGCCGCGCGACGGTGGGAGCTGGTTTTCTGGGCGGTTCGGTTGCGAATCGTCCGGTTCCTGCGGCTTTTTTCCCCAGCTGGAAGCTTTGGGGTCTCAGCCCAGATAGGCTCCGGGGTCCGGGACGGCCCTGAGGTAAGGTTCCACAAGGGTTCCACCACAGTTCCACCACGGTTCCACGAGGTTCTGCGAGGGCTGCGGGGTGGTGCGAGCACTAACACGAGCACCGCATGCTGTTGGGGATATCACCTGAGCTTATTTTTTGTTTTTTCGTTGGTTTAGTGGTAGTTTCCATTTGAGCCACTCAAAGTGAAACTTTTAGCGGTGGATCTGAGGACAGCCCAGTTTTCTTTTCTGAGGGGGTATATGACAGCATAGGGCCAGAGACTTCAGGCGACCGAGGACTCTTTGGCCCAAGTGGAGGTGTTCTCTAGTGCCGAACTTGTCAGGCGAAAGGACGGGACCCGAAGACGCCAATGGAACAAACATCCTTATTCTAGAGGATCTAGACATCCTGATGGACATACCTGGCCCAGTGCTTCCAGTTACCTCCATGTGGGGAACCAGCTTGGTTACCTGCCATCTTGGTAACTGACCGCTGGTTCCAGGAACCACAAAAAAGGGCCCGAAACCGTAAAATTGGGGACAGTGAAAAAGTTAAAAGAGGCCCGGAACCGTGAAAAAGAGGCCCGGAACCGTTAAAACCGTTAGACAGGAATCTGGTTCCCACTTTTTTGGGAACCAAGCCTGGTTCCCAAAAAAACAGTCGCGAACGGCCAGTTACTAGCTATACAGGTTACTAGGAGTCGCTGGGTGGGTGTGAAAGGCATTGCCTTTTTGCTCAAGCAAGCAACATAAGCTTGGTGCCATGTGGAATTGGTACCCTTTTGGGGGGGTGTTCAAAAGAGTAGTCGAAGGAACATCGGCACCTGTTTCAGGAATCGGTCGCTTTGTGGCCCGCCCCAGCTGCCCTCATGAGAGTCGGGAAAGCCCTCACGGAGTGGTGGTTTGGACAGTTGAAATCACGGCTTTTAACTGGGTAAACAGCCCTTACCCTCGAAACCACCAATCAAAATCACCAATTGGGGGCTTATTTGAACAAGGTTTTTTTTGGGTTTCCCTGGTTTCCTTGTTGGTTTGGGTTTTCCTTGGGTTTCCCCCGAAACAGTGTGGGGTAAGATGTGCCGCGCATAGGCCCTCTGCCCACCCAAAGGGGCACCGTACCTAGTAAGAGGGTAAAAACCAGAGTTTGGGTCCCCCAGCGCCCTTTTACCCTTTCTTTTTTTGGGGGAGGGTTCGGGACCCTACTAAAATAGACGACAGAAAAAAAGTTGGTACCCTTATTCTAACCTTTCTACTGGAGGACCTAGTAGTTATAAATCACAAGAGCCATGGTCACAAGTCTCCTATGTGTTCTACAACCAGGCTTACTACGTCCTAAGTACACCTCCCCTGCCTAGCAGAAAGCCCGGGCGCCGCCTCCCCCGCCTCCCCCGCCTCCCCCGCCTCCCCCGCCTCCCCGCCGACGAGCGCCGCCGAACGCCTGCGCCGACGGTCGCCGAGGGCTGACATCGAAGATGGGCAGCTGACCTCGAGGATCTGCACTGCGGAGCTGGCAGAGCTGGCCTGCCATGAGGCTCTGGAAAAAAAAAAACGAAAAAACGATGCCCGGAGCCTGCTTGGTGCCCTTGGTGCATCTATGTGTGTTCGATCCTGTCGAGAAAACCTTTTTTTTGTTCTGTTTATCCTTTTTTCTTTTTTCGATATTGTCGAGACAAGCCGTTGTCGGAGTTTTGGGGTGGCATGGAGTTTTGGGGTGGCACAGCATTTGCCCAGAGTTCGACATTTTTTTGGGAGGTCCGTGGGTGGAGTGCCTCTTGGACGGCGGAAAGAACCCGGAACAAAGGCGGAAACAAATGGGAGGAAACAATCGGACATCTTAGATGAGAAGGTCCAACCACTTGTCTTTTTGTCCGAACAACGACCAACATTTGGTGCTTTATGCTGGAAGACGGTTTTTTTCGGACACATGGGCTTCGCAGACCGCTGAAAGCTATAGGGTCTTTACCGGGCGGCAGGTTTCGGAGGGTTCTGGAAAGTTCCGGGGCGCTTATTTGTGGTGGGGGGAGGTTGAACGGTTGGGTTGGCTTGGGGTTCTTCTATATTTGTTGGGTCCTTGGGTTGGTTTTTGGTGTTTTGGGGGTTGGAGCATTGTGGTAGGGGGTTTTGGGGTTTGGGGGGTTTTGGGGTTTTGGGTTGGGTTCCACATGTTTCCCCTGTTGGCAGTTTCGAACGTTCATCACCGGTTGGACGCCAGCTGAAAGAAAGTTTGCTTTTGGCAGGGTGATGCTTTTAAGTTGGAAGTGTTGAGAACCCTGATAGCTCTCAGCTGGGAACGGACGGCAATGCCTTTTCAGAAATTCCCTGAGGCGACCCCCCCACCGACCCCCGAATTCAACGTGACCCATGCCCTGGGGCCAAGCCGGAAGGCTGTCCGGCAGCTTTGTGGTCTGGCCGTGGCGTGCCGACGATCCCCGGTTCCACAGAAGTGGCCAGCGCCCCAGTGCGAAGAGGCACGCGGTGAGCTCGACGGGTGTTTTCTTGGCTCCCGGCCATCCGGTTCCGTAGCTTTTCAGCTTTTTAAGGTTTCTTAGGCCTTTTTTTTGGTGGTTTCTTAGGCTTCTTTTTAGTTTTTTAGTGTTTAGTGGTAGTTTCCGTTAACCTATTTCAGCAGGGGATCTGACGGCAGCCCAGTTTTCTCCAAAAGGGGTGGCTCGTCGGTCCTTTTTTGTTCTTTTGGGTGTGGGTTTCGAGCGGAACCAAACAGAAACCACCAGTTTGTGTTGGGTCCCCGACAGAATTTCCTGCAATGTGGTCCATTTAGGAGGGATACAGAGGAACTCAGTAGATTTTGTGAACAAAACACAAACAGTGGACTCACCAATCAAATTAACCCATGTCTTTTAGGGTGAACAAGTCATTTGACCATGGCTCATTAAGCAACCCTCAAAATTGAGTGTTTTCCCTTGGGTGCAAACTTCTGCAAGAGGAGTCGTAAATAATTACTTGTTCATTTGGATTTGAGAACGAGAGCCACATTTGCGTAATGAATCTTCAAGTGCCCTCCAACATACCTTGAACATCCATTCTCCAGCCCTTGTATGACTTGCCAGTTCTCAGAAGGGAATGCGGGAATGCCATTGTAAACCCATACAGTTTCCAGTGAGGGGATCCATTGGTTCATTGATTCCCAGAACGGATGTTGATTCCTTACCTATCGAACCATCAAGATGAGGATTCCTTTATTTGGCTTCCGTGGTATGCTCAAACGCTATCGTTGAAGTGTTCTTGGAGAAGCATTGCACCAGACACCCATTGGTGCCCTTTTCTTCTTTTCTTCTTTCTTGTGTAAAAGAAGACAAACAAAAGGTCGATCTTTCCCCATGTGTTACGTTTTGGGACGCCACGATAGACTTATATAATGCGGTGCTTATGTTCCAGCCAAAAGGGCAACCCCTGGGTTTAAAATCTACCTGTGACACGGATTGGCATGAACCCAGGTCCTTTCCCCAAACTGAGATGCTTATGGACAAAGTTGGTGGCTGGTTTAGTTTTACTTTTTCCTGCCTCTAGTCTACCCTAACTTGTGTATCGTTATTCTGGTATTCTTTCCGGCATTTCCTAATGGGTTCCCTTGAAACACAAGTACGAACAGGGGGCCTTCTTAATTTCAGGACACCAGGACACCCCTTTGAGACGTCAGCCTGGACCCTCAAACTACCCCTAAAAATGGGATATCACCCCATAACCTTGGGGGTCAAACCCATTTTTTACGGGATTTTTTGCGGCTTCAGGAGGTTCCTTTGCCAAAAAAAAGAAAAACACGTCAGGCTCGCCGCGCGCCGCGTTCGCCGCGCGTTTCGCGCGCGCCGCGGGGTTCGCGTCGCCCGAGGATCGGGAGCTCCGTGGGCCTGAGCTTCGACGCCAGCCTGCCGAAGCGCAGCACCGCCCAGGAGGCTCGGTCGATCGGTCGGTCGCGGTGCGGATGGCGCGGCGCGGGACGTCGCGCGGCCGAAGAGAGCCGTAGACCTTTGGAAGAGAAGGTTCACCCGGGATAAACCAGGGGTCTGAACCAAATGGAGGCTTGGTGAATCGAAGACAGGAAACATTTTTTTTTGCAGGAGGCAAAAAGGCAACTGGGTGTGGTTCTCAAAATGAAACGATCGGAGGGGTTAATTCCGCAGGTTTTGGCAACCATGTTTCCACTTTACCAGGGGTGAGTTTCGAGCCACAGCCATATACCTTTTGAACATCATGTTCACCCAGGATATGTAAACCCTTGGTTGATTAGCTTGGGGGGGTGTGCCCTTGTGATTGGAGGGGATGGGGGAGCACCCCCTAATATCCAAGTCTGATTCGGAGCCGACTCACAAGGGGAGCCATGGGAAATTCATGACCACCCACGCTCTACCTGGAGCCCCGAAACGCCGCGTTTTTTCGGTCAAAAGGCATATTTGGCCTGTTTTTACCCGAAAGGTTTTTTTTCTTCTTCTTTTTTGTCCGGTCATTTGCCTTAGTTGCCCGTATTTGGCCGTACAAAACCCGTATTTTGTCGATAAATTATTGAACAAAAAGCGAAGGAACACGTATTTGGCCGTATGACCACTGTTTTCGGGCAAAGCCTTTTGACCAAAAAAAGCCAGTGTTTTGGGACCCCAGGTAGTCACCACTGGGCTGTGGCTCTCCCTGTCATGGATGAAGCATGTGACAGGAATCCTCCAGATTGAATCCGGGGTCGACTTTGTACACCCCAGGGGCGGGGTGCTTGGGGAACGGTTGGGATGCTCAAAATGTAGCGGCGTGTTCTTGGAACACTCAGAGAATCTGTGTTTCTTCTCGTATTTGTCTTTTCGCTGCGGTTTCCCGCCTTTCAAACCACCCGTTTTGCGGGCACCAAATGCTTTCCTGCGGCCAGGAAGTTCGCAAGTCCACGCTGGTGTGCACCTTTGACTGGGGTCGTTCCGAGCTCAACACCATAGACAAGTGCCTCGGGTGGAAGCAATTGCTCACTTGGGAGTGGCTCAAAATTATACAGGAGGGGCAAACCGCAGGTTTTGATCCATGGTTCCACTTTACCAGGGTTCCATTTTGGAATTCCGGTTTTTTGAGCCACAGCCACTTCCTGAGTTCCTGGACCTCGAACTTTTTGGGAAGACCATTTTGGTGGTGAATAGAAAGTTCTGACTTTTTTTGGCGAATCCACTCAGGAAGTGAGATTACCCCCCCAAACACGCCACCCACCGCGCTGACATGTGTGCCCAAACTCCGTGCTTAACCTTGAGTAAACATGTCTTTGGACCCTGGTTGTTTCCGTGCACGGCAAATGACAATGACAGTAAAGATTGACCCTTGCTCATGCAAGAAGTTCACTCAAGGGCGCCAAGCCCGACATTTATCACCCAAACGGCGCCAGCTTGGTTAGAGCGCCCTTCCAATGACCGTGAACCTGCAACTGTTTCAGCTCGGCTTTGTCTCAAGCAAACCAACAAACCAGCTGGCTTTTGGGCGGCCCCCAAACACACCAGCCCCCCAACCACACTCACTCCCTTCGGGAAATCTCACATAAAACTGGAGCAGTGTGATTTGTGCGGGTGGTGAGGTTCGGGGGTGGTAGTTTGATGATTTCCACCTCTTCCAAAAGGACGATTTACATAAGCCTGCCATGGACTGGCTCCGGTTTTCTTCACCTGGGGGAAGTCTGACTTAGTTCGGTCAGACCTCGGGGCCTTGTTTTGGACTTTGGCTCATAGTCGACACTTCTCATTGGTCTCCCAGGGTTGGGCCAACCCCCTGTTACATGTTTAAGCACCTTTTTAACCAACCTTCTGTTGCTTCCCCTTTAGGGCCCATAGTCTGGTTGCTTAAAGAATGTGCTCCGCATCCCCGTTACTCAAGGAGTGGCCCTCAGGTCCCCCAACCCACACCGGGGTAGAAGTAGTTGGCATTCCTTATGTGGGCAAAAGGGAATGACGAAGCAAGAAAAGGAGAAAGTTGTGCCATCCACTTTCACCCAGGCACATGCTGATGAGTGAGAAGGACCAGCTGGATCGGGGCGAGTTTTGGCGCTACTACATGGGCCGCCTGGCAGGGCGATTTCGGTCTATCCATCGCGACCTTTCCACCATGTTTGGTCTATGTTTAGAAAGGAGTCTATGGTTGCGCTATGTTTTGGTAGCCCCCATGACAAAAAGACAAGACAAAAGGCCCATAATGTATGAGCCACAATCAAAACCCGTAGATGAAGCTTAGTAAAGAATTGGAACAAGATGCATGTTCAAGTACCGAGTAGATGAACCTCCAAACGATGATTGAACATCACGCCCACGCCCATGCTGTTTTCGAGTGCAGAGTAGCTGCCTTTGCCACATCTGTTTCGGCCAGATTCTTAATGTTCAACTTTTGGCGGAATGCTAAACGAACCCAGTGCTTCCAAAGCCCTTTGGGTTCGTTTGTGTTTTTTGAGGGTGCCCTTTCACCTTGATCAGGGAAACGAGAAGGATTCGTCACGAAGCCATTTCTGGACTCCAAGTTCCTATTTTGACACACCTGAAGGATCGAATGATGTTCCTTTCATATAGAACCATTTGTTTGGGGTAAACCACTTCTTTTTGGTTTGGCATCATGTTTTTGGGTTCAACCATTTTTTGGAAATTCCAAGCACGTTTTGGGGATACCGGACATATTTTGTCTATGTTTGTCAACACTAGGACCCTGTTCAGGTTTCCACTCAGAACCACCCAGACCACCCACAAAAGCCAGGGGACCATGTCCTGGTTGGTGTCCTTTTTGGTGTCCACTTAGAACCACCCAGGCAGAGGACCTCCTGTTATCTTGACGTCCAAGGCGGCATCGACCGCCTTGCTTGGGAAGCTGCCAGAGCTTACCGGCATCGCTTCAGCTGCAAGAAATGGTCGTTGCTGACCTTCAAGGTTTGCGTTGGGCAAAATGTGGAGAGCCTGTCGCTGAGATCCAGTCATGGGTTGGTTAACATAGCTGTTTCAACAACGTTAAACACAAATCGATGAATTCGATGTTCATTTCCCTGCGGAATCTGGCTGTCGGTTGGTCCTGTTCCCCGCAAGGTAGGGGGCAGCCAGTCACAGGTATTGTTGAAATCGGCCAGTTTGTAAAAAAAAAAAAAAAACGATGGGATAGATGTTTATAGGAAATGTGATTCCTCAGTTCTTTATCGGCTGTGCGCCCAAAGCTACAAACCAACGGCGCCCTGAAGGTCTGCGACTTTGACTCCATGTCAGAGCGCCTGGCCTGACAAATTCGGCCTTCTTTTGGGAGGGTGTGTGTCTGCTCAGTGGTTCCCAGCCATCCGGTTGCTTAGCTTGGATTTCCATTTAAGCTGCTAAAAGTTTATCACTTTTAGCGGGGGATCTGAGTTCAGCCAAGTCTGTGCAAGGAATATGTTGGAGGGTACCAGGGTACTCTGGTTTGGGGTTGATCTATGGGGGATCCAAAGGCAAACCACCCATTTCAGGGTGTCAAGACACCAGATCCTTGCGGATTCAGCTTCGGGATCCAACCAAACCAGGGCTTTAAGCAGACCCGTTCCCAAAATTTCCGGCATGCCGGTGCCGTGGTTTGGGTTGTCCTTTGGCCCTTTTCGGATCCGCAAGTTGGGCCGTCTCGGATCCGCCACGAGGGAAATGCTGCGCGGAAGTCCCGGCCATCGGAAGACATGCCGGGAAAATTTGTTTGGTCTCGATGTGCTGAGCGTACGGATGCCCTTGGTATATTGTGGTATTTCACAGACCCAACTTCTTCTTCCTCCTCTTCTTCTTCTTCCTCTTCTTCTTCTTCTATTTCGGCATTTCCTGGTTCTTTTGAATAGGATCTACTTGGGCTTCGTAATGTGGGTCCTGCAGGTTGTTTCACTGACCATTTTTTGGGTTTACGGTTGCTTTGGGGAGGACATGGGGGTACAGCCCGAATTCCCCGCAACCAGGGAATCCCCCATGTCCGTTTTGGGAAAGCAAGCATGGTAACTTTGTCGAGGGCTCATACGAGCCAGGGTCAAACCCCCTTGACTCTGGCTTGGTAGGGACCGTCGTCCCCTTTTTCATCGCGATTGTAGAATACCATAGAAGGATTCCTTTTTAGAGAACCATTGTGGCACACACAAGGAGTTTTCACCGTGGCATATGGGTGTGTCTCAGAATAGGGGTCCCCGTTAAAACCAAACAACAACAAGTGCTTTTGGCTTTTGGTTTCTTCTTCAACCCCGAAAAACGGGCTACCCCCCCCAAAAAAAAAAATGGAACCACCCCCCCCTGGCTCTCATGCGCCGACGGGTTTCCCGGAGGAACGACTTCATCGGCCGCCTCACGGTGCCGGTGGAGGAGACGCCCGAGCGGACCGCAGATCTCACCTCGAAGGACCCGGCAGGGCAAGCCGAGAGAATTTTCCTTTTGTTTCTTCGAAACAGGGCTCCTCAAAAGATCAGGTGGGTATGGGTCAAAATGTTTCACCACCAGGAATCGGACCGCAGGTTTTAGTCCTTGGCTACCCATTTAGCAAGATTCCATTTTGGCGACCCATTTTTGACCCACAGCCAGGTGTATAATGTAAGGATCCCTGTTTGGGTTGGTAGTTGGGTTGGCATGTTTCGGGCAATACTTAGTTTGCTGGGTTCAGGGAACCCCTACATTATTTGGCAGGGCTCCTTAAAAGATCTCCATTGTGCGAAAGCATTTGAAACATGAATGGCTTTTTCAACACCAAAATAAAGTTGCAAACCACCATTTACAAGTTGCAATGTTGAGGTGTATAATGCAAGGATGCCTGCGAAAGCAGGCCACGCCCATTTCTAGGTCCTTGTTAGGTTAATGTTTGATCAAACATAGATGGCACTGAGGACTGCTTTAGATGGGTTTCATTCCACTTGCCTTTGACCCTTCTTTTTTCGGGGGGGGGGGAGGGTTCCCCTACTAAAATAGACTACAGAAAAAAGTGTACCCTTATTCTAACCTCGCCACTGGAGGAGCTAGATTTTCTCCATGTTGAGCCCACATTTTCATAGGGGGGTGTCCCTGGGTTTTAGTGGGGATTCGTCACTTTTGGAGGGGAACACCCCGATATATTAGTCAACTGGGGTTGATGAACAAGGGGTCGACATTACCAATAGCCCATGCTGATTTATCACTGGAGGTTTGCGCAGGACGAGCTGACCTAAGACCAACTAACGGCCTTTTCTTCCATTTGCTTAAGAGTATTTTGTTTATGTTCCCCTGTTGGCTTAGGAAATCTATCCCTACTGGAAGTAGTTTTACATTTTCCAGGTGGCAACAGCGCAAATGGAAGGCCGGCCTTGGCCCAGAAAGTCGGAGCCAGCGGATGATGAACCTATTAGCTGAGCCGACAGGGCTTCCCCGAGTCATCAACCCCTATGGGGGATGTCAGGTGGGTCCGATTTTCTGGGTGCGAGTTTGGTCCCATTGGGTTTAGTAAAACTGGATGTCGAATCATTCGACGGAGTCCCTTACAGCCCTTAAAGACTACAGACGGGGCAGCAGAAATAGAGTCAGACCCACTGAAAAGTGGATGGTGGTTGACCAAATCTCCACCGAAGTCTGATGTTCACGAAAGGATCCCCAATCAAACCTCATTCCCACCTTCCGGTCAGTTCAACCATCGCCCGTACCAGCCAGTTCGAGCCTTTTGCGGGGCTGTCCTTGTACAGGCGGTTGTGGGATGCACCCTTCAAGGAACTCTATTTAGCTGGCACTGCATTTCAAGCGGATCTGGAAATGATGAAATTACTTGTCGGGGCAGTTTCCTTTAAATGATTCAGAATCGGTGCCTTTGAGAATGTTGCTTCAATGCCGCAGTACAGGGTTCACTTTCATTCTCGTTTTTTTTTTTTTTTTCAAGGTTGCCTTGAACACCCTTGCAGCTGGAAAATGGCCCTGCAAGGGGTGGGCCAAATGCCCAACGAGACCACGCCACATGAGGTTCGGTCAAAATGTGTTTCCTTCGTCGTTCCCTCAGGGGAACCATGGTGTGTCTCAAAAAAACGCAGAACCACCCATGGGACGCTGTCCTTTTGGTTTGCCTTGAAAGCCACAAGGCTACTCGTTTCAAAAACAGCCACACGGCACAAGAAAATATAACAACTTGGTGAATATCCCAAAAGGCCATGACCTTTTTGGGACATTTCAACAAGAAAATATAACAACTTGGTGAATATCCCAAAAGGCCATGACCATGTTTTGGTTTGGTCAGGGTCCAACAAAACTTGGGGCCGGGGCGAGGACGGGAACCACGTGGTGGGGGAGAACGCCTGGCGCGGCTCGGCCTCGCTCACCTTCTCCATCACCTGGCGGAGGTACCCCAAGCCCTCGCGGCTGCTAGGCTGGTCAGCGGATCCGGGTGCTCGATTCGGCGGACCGGATGCCCTAGGTTGTTAAAAAAAGGGAACGCAGTTCACCCCCCTCCCCCGCAAAAGGAAAAGAAACAAAGTAGGTTCCCCAGTAGTGCCCTTTCTCACCCCCTTTTTCGGGGAGGGTTCCCCTACTAAAATAGACTACAGAAAAAAAAGGGCAAGTACCCTTATTCCAACCTCTCTACTGGAGGACCTAGAGAAGAAGAGCGGGTTTCAGGTGGAAGGACAGATTTTGGCCAAATTTTAAAGCCTCACCTCCAACTGGAAGGGTTTCTACGTGGTCTCGAGGTGCATACCGGCCCTGAAGAAACGAATGGCGAAGGACACCGATGCTCGAATTGGCCGGTGACTTGCGATGCCTTTGTGGTTGCAGCAAGGGCACAAAGCCACCCCCAAATAATTTTCTGTGAGTTCCCAGGGTTTTTTTTGGGCTCGCTTAAAACGTAACGCAGGGATTGGTAACCAAACCGTCAAGTGGTCGCAAGGAGTGGCCCAACTCAGTGGGTTTAATCGCTCAACACATGGTTCATTTCTTTGGTGCATTTTGCCAAGGGCTGTTAGGACTTTAACTGTTTGCCAACGAAATTGTGTTTTCCACTAAACCACTAAAAGTTAGTCACTTTTAGCAGGGGAGCAGAAAGCGACCGAGATTTGTTCCACCCTTCGGGTCACTGGTTCCCTTAAGAGTTGTTTGGTTTTTGCGTCAGATGTTCCACGCAAAGCACCTGTCTATTTGTCCAGCAACAATGACAGCAGAGGCGTGGATCTTGGGTGTGTGTATATAAGGAGAGAGAGAGAGAGAGAGGGAGAGAGGTGGGGTGAATTGGTACCTTGCAAGGGACACAAAACTGGGGGTAGCGTGCTTTGTGCACCAGGAGAGAGATTCCGGGCTTGTTTCCCGTTAACACGCGCACAAATGCCACCCTCACAAAAGAACCCATGTAGGAGATTGCCAACCAAAATGATGGGGTGCGATGATTCATTTGCAAGGGTAGTTTGAGAGTCCAGTGCCCTTTGTCCATCAATCCTGGCAGTGGGCGATCGGAGGGTTTTTGGAAGACAATCATCCTCTTGAACAGACCCCAACCGATCCTGCATGATTCTTGGAGCAGGGGTAATGTCAACCTCGGATTAATTCGGCGGTCCCCACTGGTCAGGGAAACACCTTAAAATCGATCATTTCCTTACTAAACGGGGACTCCTGTGTAGGGTCCTCCGGATTAATCCCCTACGGATAAATCCGAAGTTCACATCAAAAAGGTAGCCCATGGCAGCGATTCTTGGAACAGGGTAAAAGCCAGCACCCTCCAACCACTGCTTTTTGGTTCCCTCTCTTGGGTTTTTGAACATGAATCAGCTGGGGTGTGCTAGAGATGGACTCCACTGGTTTCAGATCGTTCTTGTTTTAACCATTCACCACAAAAAAAAAGAAAGCAAAAAAGACAACACATTTTTCTAACCAAAAGGCCACCTATCGCCCTGAACCCCTTTTTTCCCCAGGCTCTGTTCCGCTGGGTTGTTTGTTTGTGGGGGCCAGGGGCTTGGCGAGTGCAGCTGAAGCGGGCACAGCACCTGCCGCGGCAAGACAAGATGCAGCTCAGGACGGCGCTTTGGGCTCCGGCGGGGGGTGGGTGGTGGTGGGGGTGGGGGGGGGCCGCACCCGCCACCCCTCACCCCCGACCACCCAACCACCACTGGCAGACGTTGTTCTTAAAGTTGAAAGGGGCCATTTCTCAAGTGCTTGAAGTTTCAAATTGAACGTGCTAATGTGCACGAAATTCGGAAGTTCACTCATACTCGTAGCCTTTGTGTGTGTGTGTGTGCACCCCAGTGGTTCTAAGACGACCCCGTGCGAGAGAATCTCACGCCAGGACCACCTCGGATCCCATGTGCGAGATCACCGCCTGTGCGGAGGATCCGAATGGTTTGTTGTGCCTACGCCAGGCCCGGGAAAGTGATCGGACGTGGGAGAAAATGCTGAAAGGGCTTGGAGATGGGTTCCGTGTGTGCTTGTGTGCAGTATGTGTTTGCTTTTGCACTTCTCATCGCCAAAAGAGCTTGATGATGCCGCATACGTATTGCCGCGGGTGGTTTACTGGGTCCCTTAAAAGCCAAATTTTACAGGGACAGTTCCCAAAGAGAAAAGATGTGTGGCTTTGTTTGTCGTCGAGGCGTTGAATGCAATGGACACCCGAATCATTGAATCCCAAATCCTTGAGCCATTTGGAGTGGATGCAAGTGCTTGTGTTGTCTTGGGTGGACCCTGAACAACTGGCCTGGTCTCTTAAACAATATGAATACGATTAGGCTGCTCATCACATCACCGTGTGTTTCTGATCAAAGAGGAGTCCCTTGTAAAGCAGTTGGGTTTTGGATGTATCATTGGTGGCAAGGCTACTGATACCCAACATGGCCCATACAATGGCACTTCGGCACAAATGGACCACCCTTGGAAGGTGCTACTCAACGGGGCAGGGTACGTCAGGTAAGTGGGTAATAACCATGGCTACAACCAACCTACCATGGCTACAAGTCTCATAAGAGGCTTCTAACCCTAGGCTTACAAACCACTTCCGAAGTACCCTGCCCCTTAAGTAAGGAGATTTTGCCCATTCACAGCTAATCGATGGTATGTTATGCAGTATGGAGATGTAGTGAGGAGATCTTGCCCATTCACAGCTCGATGCCCCCGTTGCTTCAATGCTCCAGGTGAGCAGCGTGAAGGTCCGGCATTTGGATCCGGAGTGGAATGAGGTCTTCGACCTCCCCGTCCTCGAGGTGCGGAGCCCGGCGACACGGACGAGCCGAGAATGGGGTGGGCTCAACTAGGTCCCCCAGCGATCGGTGCCAACTTTAACCGTTTCTTTTGGTTTGGTTGGGAGGGTTCGGGACCCTACTAAAATGGACTACAGAAAAAATTGGTCAACCCTTATTCTAACCTCTCAAATCTGGAGGACCTGGTCAAAATGGGGGTTCCAAAATGTGTGGCCGCGGGTATTTTGGTGTTCCATTAAAAACCGCTGCCAATTGGGGGGTCACCACAAATGTAACAGCACCCAACCAGCCGCGGGTTCCCTCAAAATTCGAACCGCACCCAGGGAAACCACGCGAATTCTCGAGAAGGGTACTGAGCCTCAACAAAAGTACATTTGGGTGCTAGGCCCCTGTAGGATTCCCTTGGCATTTCGGGAATTCCCTTGAAGGGATGCCATGGGATACCATCCAACTCCCAATGTGGTAAAGTGGTCATGGTACTTACCCAATATTCTTTTCACAAGGTTGATTTTCCCCAATGCAAAGTATTTCAGGTTGTCACTTTCTGTGAGTGGCCAACGGGGGGGCCCTTTTTTAGGTGACTCATTGGGTCGCAAAGTGACGCAGTGTCGGAACTAAAAAAGCCTTGCCCGGGTCGTTTGTGCTACGCATTCACAACAAACACGAGTAGGTCAATTCCCCAAATATGGGCACACGTCGGGCCATTTGTGGACTCCCCAGCAGCCAGGGGCTCAATCCACTGGGTTCCGGGTCCGGGCGTTTGCCCCAAAGCTAAAACAGGGCTCCTTAAAAGATACATTTTGCCCATTTGAAACACGTTGCTTTTTCAACACCAAAATAAAGTTGGAAACCAGCATTTACAAGTTGCAATGTTCAGGTGTATAAGGCATCCGGATCCCTGTAAAAGGAGAGCGTGTTCATCAAACTGCTGTACTCTTCAAGGGATCCAGTTCGGTGAGCTTCTGCAAAACAAATACGGCCGGCTTTTCAGGTTATGCCAGTTTGCCGGACTGTCATGTTCAAAGTGGATCTCCCTGGCTTCAGGAGGACTATTTGGAGCAAGCGCTCGAAGGCGGGGAAGAGAGAGGCGTGAAGCACCTGTGCGTTCAGGTGTGGCTGTGATTTTCGTGTGTTTTTTTGGGGGTCCCCTTTGGGTTTAGTTTCAAAAGAAGACGGAAGAAAACCAAGCACAAAGACCCATGTGCTGAATTTGGGACCGATGTCTTGTCTTCCAACCTCAAACTTCTTGTGTGACCTCCGTTTCGCTTGGGTTTATGGTCACAGTTTTGGGTTCGACACACAGGGCCCCCGACAAAAAACACATGCGGCGTGTCTAAGTTATCCCGGGGTTTGGTGGTTTGGGAATTTGAGAACTCGTGGTTCTGAGGGTAAATGGGAAACTCGCCTTAACGCCAAGCCGCCGCGCTCCAAACCGCCAATTCTCAGCCTTCCACTATTTGGTGGTTTGGATTGGTTGGAGTTCTAAATCATAGTTGGAGGGAAGCTGAAATTCGAGGGAAGCTGAGTGAAGGGCCCCAGCTTTTCCTTCGGCGCAGTTTTCCCCATGCCAGGATTCACATATCTCTCACCAGCTGTGAGACACACACTTTTAGACGTTGGAACCTGTGAAGAAGCTATGCTTGTGGGTCAAAGCCAATTGCCATTTTGGGGTAGTCGATTTTAGTGGGGATTGGGATGTTCACTGGGGGTACGATCGGGGTTTGACCCATGGCCATATTTTAGTTCCTTCGGTTTTCGCATCTTCCAGGCGCCGCCCCGGGGCTCGGACAAGATCTCCAGGGCCTTTTTCCCCCGGAGAAGATGCCCTCGTGGATGCGGGATCAGATGAATCCCCAGACCAGGCGCGGAAGTTTCAGCGGCGCTGTCGGTTTTTTGGCTCTAAACGGTTGCAAGTGAACCTCTAGGGGTTTGCTTTCCCCAGCATTTTCAACCATGAAAGAAGGATTCCTGGAAAGAATGAGGAAGGTACCCCTAGAGAACCTGGAACAGATTTGAGACCAGTTGACAGGGATCTGTTTTGGGGGTGTGTCCAGTTTAGGGGACTCCCAAAATCATGGCAGGTTTCCTTTTGGTTCGCCTCCCAAAGCCAGCCAAAAACGAGCACCCTCCCAAAAAGGCCACGCCAATATGCCAATATGTTTTTCCCCGCAGATCGCTTCGAATGGGAGAGTGGGCGGGTCGATCCCCAGTACATCAACTGCGTGGCATGGAGGATTGCAATGGATTCGTCGTTTGGAAATTACTGCAGGCGGTTGTTTCCACTCTTTGGAGGGGAATAAGGAGGTTTATTGGTTCAATACAGGCCTTTAAGACATGAGGTCATGATCCCGATTTTTGATGTATGACTCTATCCTGAAAATGGGCATGGTCAAGCCATCTTTGGAAGGGGTTGAATCCTGTCTCTAAATTCAGGGGGGAATCCGCCAGGTGAGGCTCGGTCAAGTCTGTCGATTTGGGAGGACATGGTGACACTCATGAAAATTCAAACACAAAAGCCGGGAGACGGAGCATCCAAATTTCACATGTCCTTCGTGGGAACCGAACTTCAACGGCTTGCATTGTGTTAGCCCTGGAAGACCATGTTCCTCTACAGGGACCCTCTTTCAGGTGTTCAACACATTGGCGGCCAGGTGTTTCCTACGTGGGTGTGTCTTTGTTGAGGGTCCCCCTGTTTTTGAAGGGTCTATAGAAAAACCAACAATGGAATCCGCCCGCCGTCTGGCCGTCCCGATTTTTCTTTTGACTTGGTGGCTCCCAGCCATCCCCTTGGCTTGTTAGCCCTTTAGTGTTTAGTGGTAGTTTCCATTTAAACCACTAAAAGTTAAACTTTTAGCGGCGGATCTGAGTGCAGACCAGATATGTCCGATTAGTTGAAACATCATCCTCTCAGCCCATTCGGACCAAAGCGAGCGATTCCGCAAGCCCGGTACCGGGGGTCTCCTTCTGACCCGAATCAAACATGGGGCCCTCTTCTTTGGGGAATTCACCCCATTTGTGAAGGGTCAGGTAACTGTGTTGGACCTGGAATGGTGGGTTCTGGTGGGATGGAGGCCCACTTTAGTATCACAGCAAGCGGGCACTACAACCACGGCAGAGTGACGGGAAACAACCACTTTGACAAGTTTCACAGAAGTGTGTTGTGTTCTTTTCTCACCACGGGCAAGGTTCTTCCTACCCGGCAAATCATGCGAAAAGTACGTTTTGTTGTCCAGTGGCTGTGTCCACACCCCGTCCCTGTATTGGTTTGGGGATCAATCGACACCAAGGCCGAATGAATTCCAATGGCTGTGGGGGAGGGAACTAGATCTAGTCATGGGGTAAACCAGCAATGAGTTGGCTTATGAGCCTCTGGAAAGCGAAGAGAAGAGAGATCATACTCTGCAAACCAAGGAAGACCAAGGGAAACCGGAAACCCCCCCAAAACAACAAGAAGACCAAGGAAAACCAAGGAACCAAGGAAAATAAAGGGAAACCGAGGAAAATCAAGGCAAAAAAGGAAAACCAACGGAACCCAGGGCGAACCAGGAATCTCCGATATCCCCATTCGACGGTTCTGAGCGACAGGAGTCCGGGGCGTTCTTCCTCGTTCTCGCGGTCCAGCAACTCCGAAACGGAGGCGCGTGAAAGGGTGGGTGAAAGCGGTGGGTGAAAGGGGTGACCCACATATTCAGGGGCCTTGGACGGCTTTTGGTAAAGAATTCTCATACGCCCTTTTTGAGAAGCAACCCAACGTCCAGCGACATGTGCTGGCTGCTAGTAGGGAAACGGTGGAGGGAGCCTAGGAATGCCGTAGCAAACCAACCAGTTGGATGGTTGTTTGGGGTCAACTCATTCCAACAAGCTTCGCCAGAACCCTCCTAGTTCGAATTTTCCGATAACATGTCCTGTCTTCAAAGTGGTTTCCCACCCCAAAGACCTATGATGGAAGAACCCATGTGCACTTTTGGGGAGAGAGGCGTCTCGGTTGCAAGCAGCAAACCCAAAGCACAAAACTATTAGATATACTTGTTACCAGCCCTTGAGAGACTAGGTCCCTCAATAGTGCCCTTTTACCCCTTTTTGGGGGGAGGGTTCCCCTACTAAAATATACTACAGAAAAAAAGGGTACCCTTATTCTGTCCTCTCTACTCGAGGACCGAGTGGTGGTTTGGATTTGGCCCTGGTTCTTCTTGACGGCACATGGGGCTTCCCACACCCTAAGTTCCAAACCACCAATCGGTTCCACCGCTTAGAAGGAAGCTCAGAGAGTGAAGTTGGTGTCACTTTGAATACCAAAAAAAGTAAAAGGGAGCCTTTCCGTTTGGGGAAACCCACACGAAGAGTGCGTCGAACCTAGTTTCCCTTGCGCCATTTTGGTGGGTCCGACCCAAAAATCGACGAGCCCACCCAAATTGCGGAGAGCAGGGTCCAACCTACAAAGCGACGAGCCGCTCAAAATGCGGAGAGCTTTTCAGCGTCGCCAAAGCTTCCTCCCTCCCTCCCCTACCTGCTCGCCTGGCTTCCTTCCTTTCTGCCTCCCCTCCCTCCCTCCTTTTCCTCCGGCCAGGTCGTTAACCAGTTAACCTAAAAACAGACGAGTCACCCAACAGAGCTGTCAACCTAAAGAGCGCCAGTTTGGAGAGGGTCCAGCCAAAACCTCCAGCCACCAAAACGGCCAGGTCCTGGAGAGGGCCTTGGAGGGCTGGAAGACCCGCCTGGACGCCGCCAGCTCTACGGAGCTCACGCCCTCCGCCTCCGCCCGCAGCCCCACGCGCTCGGTGGGCAGCCCCACGCGCACGGCGGTTCCGGCCGGGGATCTCGGATTCGCCGGGCCAATGGGAACCCCGGGATCCGTTTTTTGTGTTTTCCTCATTTTTTTACGGGATTGAAGCTGTGATTCTTGTAGAGAGTGGATTGGGGTTAAGTTATCCAAACCACCCTTTTCGAGGCAAAGCGAATTGTGATTGTGTCTGTTTTATTTTAGAGGAGCCCCTTCTCCCAAAAAATAACAAGGGACGAGATTGCAAGGATCTCTATGGGAGTTCTAGGGTTTGACTCCCCATTCTTTTCAACCATCGTTCTTAAACCGAAAACCAGCCGTTTTCTCTGGGTTTCCGCATGGACAGAATGGGAAAGGTACCCCTAGTAGAGGAGTGTCTTTTTGTTTAGGGGAGCCCCCCCCCCAAAACAAAACAAAACAAATGAGACAAGATTGCAAGTGAACCTGGAACAGATCTCAGACCAAACCAGATAACAGGAGTTGTCGGTTTGTCTGATTTTTGAAGGCACCCTCCGCGAGGTTCCTTTTGGTTCACCGCCCTGGAAACAAGACAGAGTTGAAGTCCCGATTGATTTCGAGTGGGGGTGTCCAATTCCATAGTGCGGGATACACCCTTTACATAGGACAGGGTTATTAATCCAAGGTCACCCTTATTTGGGCGCGTCTTTTGCTGAGGGTGCCATCTTTTTCGTGGACTCCAAGGGAAGCTCGACGGAACACTGAATCTACTTTGGGATCCATGGAAGCATAGGTGGGCGTCTTCCTTGTGTAGCAGTCCCTAAGCTGAATGCCAGGAGCAGCAAGGAGTGAACCGAGAGACCACTGCTGCCACGGTGGCTACAGCAGCGACAACCGAACCAGGCGTGGACGGGAGTCGTAGGAAGGTCTTGGCCATATCACCTTAGTGCTTGAGGACACAACCCGTACACATATAGACATACTTTTTATATACATAATATATATATATATACAAATATATACATAGATACACACACACACAGGCACGCACGCAAGCATATATATATATATACATACATACATACATACATACATACATACATACATACATACATACATACATACATACATACACACAAATACCCACAACAATATACATGTACTATATATATATATATACACATTGTGTAAGCATGTATGCACCGTACATACTGATTATGCAAAAGATGACAGGTATTCCGAATGGGTACATATCATGAGTACCTAATGCAGGCGGAAAGGCTTGCGCCATAGGAGTGGCTAAGCAAAGCTTTGCCTTGGGGACGGTGTAAACATCTACCCTTTGCGGCCAGCTTAAAGGGGGTTCCTCTTGCGACATAATACCTGGAGTGCGCGTGACCCCCCAAAATGGGGGGGGGGAGCATTGAAGAAAAGAAAGTGGCCATGGCCTAATTTTTGATTCGGGAGACTCCAGGTGCCCCTACCTCGGGTAAGGTCCGGACCGGCAGATGAGATTCCATGCCTCTCCTTTTCAACTGCCCTCAGATATGGCCACCCGGAGAAAAATGGGCTTCGGCCTTTCACAAGTACCCGTCTCCTGCAAGGCGTGCGCCCTTTCAAGGTGTTGCTGGCCTCCTTTGATATTACTTACATGTTCGGGGTTTGCTAAACAAGTTTATGGACAAAAGCCGAGGGCGGCACGGTCCCTGGACCTAGTTGGCTTTTGATTATTATTATTTCCTTTAAGACACCAACCAAAGGGGGCTTTTCCATTTGGAGAAACTCCCAAATATTTGTTGGGACTCCATTGGGATTTTGGGGATAAGGAACGCTGCCATGGCGAACCGCTCCTTGAGAGACAAGTTCTTCGGGTGGGTTCAAACCGGGTTTTGGGCAAGCGAGCCATGGGCGAGCCGCGAGCCGAGGCGAAGCGGAACCTGACGACACCCGGTGGATCGTTCGGGTGATCCCAGAGGAGGCCCGCACAGGCGCGAGATCGCGAGATCGCGCGACGCTGACTTGGATGCGATGTTCTCAACAAAAATCAAATCGGATGAGGGTGGTTCAAACGAAGGATTCTGAAAGAATCCCCTTTGGATGCCTTTTTTTTAAGGGAATCCAAAAGGAAGCCAACTTGTTTAGAAGGCGCACGTCTTTTCTGGTTCCCTTTCTGGGGTTGGCTTGGGAGTTTTTGGGAGTTTCCCTTTTGGACAAACCCAAATGTCCCATAGTTGTCAGGAACCCCTCCAAACAAAAACAGGATGAGCCTCCCAAGAAAAGGTACGCAAAAGGAGCCTGATTGGATTACTGACATGTTTGTTGTTACACGCAGTTCGCCATCCTTCGTCGATGCTTCTTCAGAGTGAGCGTGTGGTTGTTGCCAAACACTTCTGATATTTTTCTCCTTGTGTTTGCGATGAGCAGCTGAGACAAGAACGACCCAGGGAAGATTCGAGCCTCCAAGAGATGGCTTGAAAGACTCTCGTCTTTGGAAACAACGCCACTTCCAATGGGCAACTGGGTCAGCTGACTTATCCTCATATCTAATTCTGGGGAACAAAACAAATGGCTATGAGTCAAAAGTTTCGGTGAACTCTGCCTGGGTGTTTGATTCTGGATGCTAACCCTTGCATTTTCCTAAAAATCACAACAGTCCCAAGCCTCAAACAAAACCGAAAGCCCCCCAACGCATCCGTGGTTTCCTTTTGGTTCCCCCCCCCCCCACAAGTGCCGAGACCCCCGTGCCCGACTCTGCCTGGCCTGGAGTGTCCTCACTCCCTTTGGGTGGCAAAGGCTTGTGCCCCTCGTTTTCTGGGGTTAGTTTTAAATGGGCGCAACTGCCTTTGTTAGTTCTTTGCATGGTTCTGGGTAGACCATTTTAATGCCGCGTTCTGAGTATGACTCACGTGACACCATTTTAGCGTCACGGAGACTTCAGGCTGTTGTTTTGCTTTCGAAAATCCCTCAAGCCACCCCTGTTATTTGTTTTATGTTGTTGTTCTTTTTTGTTTAAGGGATTCCAAAAGGACAACAACCATTTTTGGGGGCTCAAATCCTACAAAGAGGCACCCAAATGCCTCACCATTCCAAAGCCGGGGCCGACAGCGTGCAGCCGTCTCGCGACAGGCCACAGGGAGATCCCCGCGCTGCGCCGGATAGGCGCGAAAGATCCAGTTCACCCCCAACGCCTAGGTTTGCCAGTAGTGCCATGTGAATTGGTCGGCGGACTGAACCCATTTGGGTGTCTCAAAACACCAAAACCCCCAAGAATGACTTGTTTCCGTTGAAGCTCTCTCCCTTTTAAAAAGGACACCCTTTCTGCTTGGGTGTTCGGAGCGAGTAAGTTGTTAGCAGGTTATAACCCGCTTACAAAAAGCAGGTGGCAAACCACTTCTAGGTGCCCCAAAAGTGCCCTTTGATCCTTTTTGGGGGGGAGGGCTTCCCCCTGCTAAAATCGACTACAGAAGAAAAAGTTGGTACCCTTATTCTACCCTCTCTACTGGAAGACCTAGACGGCGGTTGGATTGTTACGTGGCCTCTGGGATATGTTGGGCCGCCGTTTGCCCGCAATCCTTGGGTTGTGATTGATTTCATTTACCTGCTTTGTACTTGGGTACTCAGTAGGTAACCAAAGGAACCACTCTTCGGGAAAAAAAAAAAAACGGAACGAATGGCCAGCAACTGCCAGAAGCTGGGATCCTTGGACCAAAGCGTGTGTGATATTTGTTCTCCCTGTGTTTGCAAGGTAGCCGAGACAAGAACGACCCAGGGAGGAGTCGGGCCTCCGAAAGTTAGCGGATTGCTGGGCAGAGGAGCCACGCCAGTTCTAATGGGCAACTGGGTCAGTTGACTGCAAGTGAACACCTCAAACCTACACCAAACAATTTTAGGGGTTGATGAACAGCGAAAACAAATCTGAAGAGTTTTGTGTCGTGTATCCTGGTTGTGCCAAAGAGAACAAGAGCAAGCAATGCACAAGCCACGGAGGAGGTCCAACTTTGAGCCAAGAAAGCGGGAATCGCGAATTCGTCCTTTGTGCTTCACTTGGGCTTGGATGGTCAGCGACCCGCTTTTAGAAACGAGACGACTTTTCGAAAGATTCATCCTGAGAACCCATGAACATGACTGTGAAAGATGATCAAAACACTTTTTGCTTGGGGTTGGTGAGGATGCTCATAGATTCATAACTTCCATTTGGTTAAGGCCCCAGGGAAAACTAAAAATATGTCCAGTAGTGCTGAATTCCTTTTCAAACCAACAAGGGAAAATAAACAATTGTCATTTCAGCAAATGGAGGATAATCACCGAGTGTTGCTCATGGCTCAGGTGACTCTGAAGCTAGGGAAGAGGACGACGGACCTGCGCATGAAGCTGGCATAGTGACTGCAGCTCGGAAAACACAGCGAGATGGAGAGAAACAGGCTAGGTCCTCCAGTAGTGTAGTCTCTTTTAGTAGGGGAACCCTCCCCCAAAAAAGAAGCGGTCAAAGGGCACCTAGCTGGGGGACCTAGCCTGTTTCTCTCTGCTTCTCTCCTAGGTCCTCCAGTAGAGAGGTTAGAATACGGGTACCAACTTCTTCTGTAGTCTCTTTTAGTAGGGAACCCTCCCCCAAAAAAGAAGCGGTCAAAGGGCACCTAGCTGGGGGACCTAGGAGAGAAGCAGAGACATAATCAGGAGAACGACGCACAAGCCACTTGTTATTGTAGGCTCTTCAGTTGGACACCCTGTGCTGGCATCCATTTTCCGAGTCTTTGCTGCACGGTGAGGTTTGCGAATCCAGCCATTAGGAAACACTTTGGATTTCTCTGTAGAGTTCATATATTGTCAAAACTCCAAATCTGGCCACAATGGTTTTTTGGTGTCAGTCCCTAAGTTCCTGGACTGTTTTTGGCTCGATCATCCATCGCTCCAAGCAAAAGGGTCCTTCCCCTTGTTCCAAACTCTTCTTGAACACTGCTTCTGTTTGGCCCTAAGTCCGTAGCCTACAGATGGTTCCCAAACCGCCATTTTCCAATCAGGCAGTCCATGTTTTTCAGGATGGGCAGCTCTCTCTTGGCCGCCTTTCGGTTGAATCAACCATTAACGTTTCGCACATGTGGCTTTCTAGCACTAAGCTTTTTCGAGGGCAAGGCCAAACAGAGGGAAATCAGCTTGCAAATGGGTCCCAAACTGCCATTCTCCCATGCAGGTCTCAAGGAAAACATTGCATGGGAACTTCGCAAATAGGTTTGCGCTTTGGAGGGTACCATTTTGGCCAGTTTGGCTGAAGGGAAAACAAAAGGAAGCTACCCATTTTCGGGTTCCCCTATTTCGACACCTATCCAAATGGTTTCAGATTCGTTCGCTGGCTGGGCAGCTGCTCCCTCGCATGTCTTTTTTCTTGGACCTCGGCTGGTTGGACCGTTGGACCCATCTGATCCCTCATACAGGGAAACTGGGTCTGTGTTTCGAGTCGCTCACCTTTGCTGGGCTGGATTTTTAAGGGGGAAGAAAGGACAAGCCAAGCACTTTGTTTGAGAAGCCCCTGGTTTCAGCGCGAAGGCCAACTTTTGGTGCACTTATTTTTGTTAACACCGCCAAAGAATGGGTGGCCTTTTTCTTCGAAGGGACATGTCCACTTGAGGTCAGGTGCACTCCCTGAGTTATGGCGCTCACCTTATTTCATCATATGATCATTTCATCTTGAGTGGGAGGTGTGTAAAAAAGGGATGAGGAAGGGCGTCTCTTTTCTTACGTCAAGTCATCATCAAGTGGAACACTTTCCCCGCCCCCCCCTCCCCCCCCAAAGAAAAAAAAGGTTAAGATCATGCTGGGGCTGGCAAAAGTAGTTGGGCCTATTTAAGCCTGATTAAGCTAAATGAAGCCTAATGAAGCAATTTCAAATTTGCTTTATTAAGCTTAACGGTGGGCATTCTAAGCTGAGAGGGGTCGCCTGGAACACCCCCTCCCCAAAAATGAAGGCCATTTTAATAGCGAAATTAAGCCAACAGAGCGTAGTGCAACTTGCCCGCAGGCCTCACTACAGCTTCTGTGGCTAATTGCTAAGCCCTGGTATGGGTGCAATGCTCTTTTTGAGCCCCCAGTTTGGCCTCGAATATGCTCCTAGTCAGAGATGGACGTATGTTGTTGTTGGGTGTTTTTTTTGGGGGGGAGGGGGGTAGAGTTTGGGGGGGGCTCTTCCACTCGGTGATATCATGGCCTTTGCAATCGCCTATCCCATGGCTTGGGTTGGGTACAGACAGGAATGAGAGAATACAATTGGCGGGAAGAGATAAGTGACACTGTCTTTCAAAACCATCGCCGGCATCTAGAGACGGAGAGCCGGGAAAGGAATGGAGTTTACGGAAGTGAGTCTCTGTGAAGTAAGTCTCTGTGAGTCCTTTATTCTCAGGTGAGTTCTCGGGAGCCCACATCCCACTCGCTTCCTTACTTATTGTTTGTCAGCGAGTGGGGGAGAAAGGAATGGGGAGAAGGACAGACCCAGCGTGTTTCTGGGAAAGGGCGTCCTTGTTGGGGAAGGCCATTTACATGAACCAAATCTTGGGACCTTTCTTTGGCCGATCCGCTGGATCTGAACTCAGTCATTGGGCCATACCACCATGGAGGGTGTGATTTTCTTAGCACTCTAAGGGCTGCTACAGCTTGCAAATGGCCGTCCCTATGTTTTTCAGCAGCCTTTACCTCGTTTTATAGCCAACCTTTCCAGGCTCTCCTGCAGAATAGTCGTCCCTGGTCTCCCCAAATTGATCGTGCTTTTAGCCTGAATGTGTCTTATTTTCGGTGTACCCCAGATATGGCCATGGTTCAAAACCAATGGTACCAGTTGGGATAGGTGCACCACCCTTTTAGTCTATTTTAGTGGGGATTGGGATGTTCACTGGTGGTACGGGATTTTGACCCACGGCCATTTGAGTACTCCGAGGCTTGTAGAACGGACTATGAACCGGACGGGCCCCCGGCCATGACACCCATCCGCACCGTGGATGAGAGGGAGGCCCAACGCGCTATGTGCTGGGACTTCTCCTGCGCGTGCATGCCGACTTAAGACCTCAGGGTAAATCGGCGACGCTTCCCTCAAGGTGGCTTGGGATTGGTTTAATTTGGTTTGGAGTGATGAATTCTCTGGTTTGGATTGGCGAATTTGGTTTGGAGTCATCAGACTGGTGACATTGGGGATTTGGGATTGGTGTAATTTGGTTTGGAGTGATGCGATTGCTGGTTTTGGATTAGTCAATTTGGTTTGGAGTGATGAGATTGGTGATTTGGGTTTCGTGAATTTGGTTTGGCGTGATGACATTGGTGATTTGGGTTTATATAGTGAATTTGGTTTAGTGAATTTGGTTTGGAATGATGCAATTGGTAGTCTGGGATTCGTGAGGTAGATTTGGAGAAATTGGTGGTTTGGGATTGGTGGATTTGGAGTGGTGAGATTGGTGATTTGGGATTGGTGAATGTGGTTTGGAGTGATGAAATTGGCGTGTAGGGATTGCGAATTTGGCTCTGAGTGATGAACTTGGTGAATTGTTTGCAGTGATGATGTTTGGTTTCGAGTGACGAGATTGGTGGTTTTGGATTACTGAATTGGGTATAGAGTGATGAAGTGGGTGGTTTTGGGATTGTGAATGTGTGGCTTTGATTGGTTTGGGCTGGTTTCAGAGGCAAGCCAGCCAGACAAACACCTCAGCGGTGAGGTGGCCGGATAACCACCAGAATGGAAGCGGACCCGACGCGTTCGCTCGCGGAAAACAAACCTTTCAGCGGTGCAAACCACCAGAGAGTGGCACACGGCGTCAGATGCTCGTCAAGCACAGGGTTGCTGACCGATGAGCACAAAAACGTAGTTTGATGAAGCCCTTCAATATGGGGACCTGTTCGCCTTTTTTGACCAGCCTGATTTTGAATCCATAAACTAAAAGGTAAACGGAGGTCGCGAAATCGATTTCTGGTTTCCTTCATTTGCCCTCCTAACCGGCAAAGAGTCAACTTGTAGGGGGACTAAACAGCACAGATCAACGAACGCATGGGTTGGGGCACTCTTGTGCGAGAAATATTCAGAGCCTTTGCAAGTGAAGATAGGAAGTCCCAGCCACAAAAGTCGGTGCAGATATCAACCACATGGTTTTGGGTAAACCACTATGATACTTAAAGCGACAATCGGGTTTGTTATAACCCACCCAGTAGTGCCCTTTTGCCTTTTTGTTGGGGAGGGCTCCCTACTAAATAGACTGCAGAAGAAAGGGTACCCTTATTCTAACCATCTTTTACTGGAGGACCTAGCCTACAATCATGACACCCACAAAACCGGACCGAATGATTTCGGCCCTTGCGCTGCCCAGTTTCTACTGTTCTTTTCGCTGGTTTTTCGAGCAACCCGGTGAGAATTGAGTTCATGTCGGACACAGGGTGTGTCTCCGCATAGGGGCACCCCAAAATCGGGATTCGGAGTCCTCTTGACCTTTTAAGCACAAAGGGCCCTCTCAAACTTGGTGTTTCCCAGCCATCCCCTCAGTTTTTTAGCCTTTTAGTGTTTAGCGGGGATTTCCATTTAACCCACTAACAGTTAGTCACTTTTAGCGGGGGATCTGAGGACAGCCCAGCAAAGAGGCTCCTGTAACGTTTTTTTTTCTTTTTTTTCTCCGGCTTTTTGGGATGGTTCCTTCGGTTTCACGGAATTATTGCGACTCCGAAGCCCATTTTGGAGGGAGACGCCCACCTTGGGACACGGAAGCATGCGCCTTCTGAAGCGCTGGCCAGGGTGTTTTGGGAGCACAAGACTCCGGGCAGTCGACGGCCCAGGCTCCAAACCACAGCCTTGGGATACAACTGCATACACTCCTAGTTCTATCACGACTGTTCTTTTTCTTTTCCAGGAAACCTATGAAAATGGAGGTAAATGGCATATGGGAAGGGGGTTTGGTCGGTGTGCTGGGCAATTAAGAACCGCTTTTTTCTCGTTGGTTTGAGATTCGGATGGGCCATCCTGAGCTTGTGCCTTGACCGGAACTGTTCTGTGCGTGATTTATTTGACCCATGTCTTCGATCGAGGCGACCCCCCACTCAACCCAAGGCGTTTCCGTCAAAACCTTGGACAAATGTACCAGGCTCCCTCTTGGAGCCAAACCCAAGACTGGTGAAACTTTGCCAGAATCAAGTGATATTGCCCAGCCTCTCTTCGTTCGAATCCCCGAACCAGCGAAACACACATTCCCCCCCTTCTCTTCATTCCCCCAACCAGCGCACATACCCTCCTAACCCCACAAAGGAATCGTCATTACCCTTCAAGCAGAATACTCCCAACCAGCGAAACAAGCAACACACGATCAACACGATCAAGCGAAACAAGCATTCCCCCCCTTTTCCCCCCCTTCTCTTTATATTCCCCAAAACCAGCAAAGCAAAACACACAAACAATCGAGCACTTGCAACAAGTCGGATCCGTGTATGACGGATCCGAACACCCAAGGCCCAGGTCTCACCAAAGGAGCCGAAGCTGCGCGGAGATCGTCTGGCACCAGCGGCCTTTTTTGTCGTGGCAGGGGTGTTAGGAAGCTAGATCCCAGTAGTGCCCTTCTACCGTTTCTTTTTTGGGGGGAGGGTTCCCCCGCTAAAGTAGACTACGGAAAAAAAGAGGGTTGGTACCCTTCTTCTAACCAGTGATGCCTGAGCCTGGCTAAGCTGCCTTTAAAGTGGCCCCTTTTGTGCCGGTTTTTAGGATGTGATTCCTAAGCCTGGCGATTCTAACACACTGCTAGTTGGCGGTTTGGATTGGTGGATTGACAAGTTGAACCCTTTGTGTTTGTGGAGGGTAAATGGGAAACCACCCTGACCACCAAACCACCAATCCAGACCAGCAATCCAAACCACCAATTAGGGCTTACCAGAACCGGAGCCTCACCAGGGCTTTGGTGGGTTATAGCGGTTATAGCCATTGTTACTAACCACTTACTAGGCGCCCTGCTGCTTTAAGCAGGGGAAGCCACAACTCACCGTTGCGGGGAACACACACCCCAATAATCCAGTATCTCAACAAATCACCATGTTGTTTTTTTAGGGAAGCCCGGTTTCGTTGGTTGTAAAGGGATACCAACCGGAAAGCACAAAAATTACGGGTTGGCCTTTTTTGAGACCAGCCCATATTTCTCTTCTACCGAGGCAAACCTGCCAGGTTCGTTTCGAACATTCACATCGGCGCTGACTTCGGATCCTTGTCTTCTTGGCACAGGCACGATGCCCGGTGATTCCAATCACTCGGCATTGAACCCAAGTCCCCTCTAGGGGTCCTCACCCCTAGCGGCAACAAACAAGCCATACTGGGGAAGGGGGTGTTTCGGGGCTTGGGTAAAAGATCACCCTGGGCTGGTTAGGTTAGGCTGTGCGCAAATTGGAATCCGGCCCAAGACGCACAAAGCGTTCAGGGCAAGAAGTTCCACAACTCCCTTTATGGGATGTGCAGGTGCTGAATTTCATGCAGCATGAACCTGCCAGCGGCAGGGGAAGAGTCCGGAAGTTTGAAGCCCAAGTCGCACATAGGGGACTTTCGCACCAGTCTCTCCTGCAGAAAATCAAGCCATGTGAACCCCAAAGACAAATCCTACTTCTCCAGGGGACTTGTTGGGGGGAGGCCGTTTGGGTTCCTTCCATCAATCTGCGGACGGAGATTTTGACGCGACATTTTGACGCGATGTCGAGGGAGTTCCTCATTGGCTCAGCCGGGCTGAAGTTTCACCCGCGCGACTCGCCCAACTCGCTCAAAGGCATCGGGTGGAAAAGATGCCTGCCCGGCGAACCGGGAAGGGAGGGGTTTCACGTGGCCTACTTTGGGTAGATCCCATGGTATCACCAAGTAGGTCTGAACAAGTGGGTATCACATGTTTATGCCAGGCTTTGGATGTACCAAGTGGATCATGTTCCTGGTAGTCTGTCATACCGAGGGAAGCAAGTGGGCTGTTGGGTGGTGCCCTAGGTTTCCATGTGTCAGGCAAATGGTTGGCCTGCTCAACATCGCTACGCTTTGAGCGGAGACCTATGACCATGCCCTCCAGATTCGGAGTTTTGACCATGGCTCACAACAGGTACGCATGATGCATCAGATGTGAGCAAGAGGCACTGAATTACTAGGTCCCCCAGTAGTACCCCTTTACCCTTTTTGGGGGGAGGGTTCCCCTGCTAAAGTAGACTACAGAAAACAGGGTACCCTTATTCTTTCCTCTCTAGTGGAGGACCTAGATGAGGTGCAATAATTCTCCTGAAATGCCATGTCGCAGAAAATTCGCCGTTTCGCACTGAAGGTGCTCAAAGTTGGTGTAGCTCCCAAAGTGGAGGTGCACCCTTCAGAAGTGGAGTCCATTTCTCATGGGGCTTGCTGGATCCTTTGTCCAAGGCCAGTCATGCCAAGAGTAGGACAGTCATAGCAGAAATCTGACAGGCATAAGTGAGTCACAAGAGTCTGAAAGCAGAATGACCATAACTGGGTGACCATCAGTACTCCCACATTCACACAAGTCACAGTAAAAGGTAAAGCCAAGCGCTGGAATGGGCCGCCTTCCAAGATGGGAGCCAGCTTCTCGCCTTGCGTGGACAAGTGCCGGAAGCTCAGATGGAAACCCTTGGCTCGAGCCGGAAGGGGAAGAATTCCTGGCATTGCGGCCTGTGGGTTTGTTTTACACTGGCAGAACCTTACAATAGTGGTTTCCCTTTGGGATTTTTTGAACCACCCATACCACCGAGCCTCAAAAAACGGCCGGAGACATTAGGGCCTGCGGCACAAGTTTTCAGACCAAAGCGAAGGAGCCCGAACCTTTCCTGGGTGGCTGTGGTGGCCACACTTTTTCCAACTAACATGGGGGGGTTCGCGTCAAAAGGCGGCGGGCCCAGGGCTTCCCGTTGAAACAACCCGAGCAGCTAGACCCTAGACCCTAAACCCTAAACCCTAAACCCACCCTAGACCCTAAACTCTAAACCCACCCTAGACCCTAAACCCTAGACCCTCAAACTGGCGCGACAATTCTGGGAGTCGCCTCTCAAAGTGGGCGTCCCGGTCTCCGACCTGCGGGCTCACCTAAGCTGGCGCCAGGTGAGTGCGAGAAGCTCGGCCCAGTGGCCAGGGCCCCGGGGAAAAAAACTGGGGCTGAAGGTCCATATGGGTTGGGAGCGGCCACCTTCTCTTCCAGTTGCTGAGATGAATATTGATGATTTTCCCTTGTTGGTTTTAAAGGGACTCCATCACTAATGGAAATATGTGTTTTTCTTCCAGGGGGCTTGAGCAAATGGAAGTTCTCGGGTGGTTTTAAAGGGAAACCAAAAGGACCGCCATTTTGGGGGGGTTCCCCTAATCCCTTCCCCCTATTATTAAATCCACCCCTACCACCAGAGCCGGACGAGCCGGGGATTTCAACGGGGGAAGGTGCCCATAGGAAAGCATGGCGAGCTGCGCTCAGACACCCGCATTCTGTCATCCTGCCCGTTTCTTTGTTCGCCTTTTTCCAGCACGCCTCACGCGGTCCGAAGAGACACGCGGTCCGAAGAGACACGTGTGGGCCGCGGTTCCTTTAAAACTAGGCGTGCTCCCAAAGAATACTTTCCTTAGCTGGCTGATGTTCACCAAGATTTACTTGCAAGGCCAGTTTCTCGAAAGCTGAGAAAGCTGATCACATTCCTGGTCAACTGTACGGTCCCACCGAAAGTGCGCAAAGGCTTCACTTTCTTGGCGCTGCGAAACCGTGCGCGTTACCATTCCAATGCGTCGTGAAACTCCGCCAGCTCACAAAGTGCTGCGCCTGCCACGAAATCTCCGCACAAACATGTGGTTTTGAGGTCGACCAACCGAAATTGCGCAGAGCGTCCGCTTTTTCAAGATCCGGCATTTTCCAAATCGCAAAACTACAGCGCGTATTTTGAAGGTCAGCCAGCCAAACGTGCGCACAGGGTTGATGTGCCATGTTTTTGATCTAAGAGGCCTTTGCAGTGTTCTTGCTTTGCTACGTCTTTGCTCTGCTATGCCTTTGCTTGGCTATGCCTTTGCTAGCTCTCTACTTGGCCTTGTCCTTGCTTGGCTATCTCTTTAGTTGCTGGACTACTCTTTACTTTGTCATTTCCTGGCCTGTTTGATTTGAGTCATGCGAAACTCGGAGGTTTCCCATCTAAATTTTAATACACATTGTTTCACACAAAAGCACAAAGGCCATTCCGCTTTTACTTTCAATTGACCCAATACTGAACCAATCCTAAACATGGGTCAGCCTTCTTGACAGGGTACGTTCAGCAAACCTTGGGTGCAACTGCTATGCGCGTGAAAAACATGCAAGCACAAGGTCCAGAAAGACTCAATTTTGTAGTAAGAACATACGTATGCATATGTATGAAAAGTCAAGTTTCAATGAGGGCCTGCGTTTTGTGGGCTTTCCCATCCACAACCTGCCTGGTAATAGCTGTTCGTGTCCCTCTTTTGAGGAAAATCAAAAATAGGCCTGGAAGTGTATTAACAACCGTCTACAATTCAATGGTGAAAGCTGGTTGCATTTCTACTCCCCCAGTGGCCAGCTGGACATCTCTCTAAAGAAGAAGAGATCCCTGGGGCTGTTAATAAATGTGTTTGCCAAGGAATACAAATTATTAATAAGAGCAGTCCCGGGATTGAGTAATAGGGGATGCAATTTTGTGTGAGTCTTTCCTGTGGCTACCTTTTTTGGGCTGTCTTTTTAGGTTGAATCCAAAAGGAAAAGCCACCCATGCTATTGTGTGATCCCTATGTTCAGACCAGCTACGGCTTTTCGAAGATTCCTTGTAAAGGGGCTGATGCTCCAACCATGGGAGCTGCCTGAGATCTGGTAACTTCCGGCCCCATGGGAGCGGAACCACTGCCCTTGACCATAGGAAAGGACTTGAGTGTGGCTCGATGGGTAAGCGCCCACCCTTTGCCATTTTTAGTCGAAGTATTTGATTTCTGGCCGGCAAGGCCTTAGCCTGTATGACCACTCCCATAACAGTGGGGCTGGTTTGAACTACCCATCCAGACTAAGCGAAGTGGCAAGGCCTTAGCCTGTATGACCACTCCCATAACAGTGGGGCTGGTTTGAACTACCCATCCAGACTAAGCGAAGTGGCAAGGCCTTAGCCTGTATGACCACTCCCATAACAGTGGGGCTGGTTTGAACTACCATCCAGACTAAGCGAAGTGGCAAGGCCTTAGCCTGTATGTATACTCCACCAGCTCCCATAACAGTGGGGCTGGTTTGAACTACCCATCCAGACTAAGCGAAGTGGCCTTAGCCTGTATGACCACTCCCATAACAGTGGGGCGAACTACCCATCCAGACTAAGCGAAGGCAAGGCCTTAGCCTGTATGACCACTCCCATAACAGTGGGGCTGGTTTGAACTACCCATCCAGACTAAGCGAAGTGGCAAGGCCTTAGCCTGTATGACCACTCCCATAACAGTGGGGCTGGTTTGAACTACCCATCCAGACTAAGCGAAGTGGCAAGGCCTTAGCCTGTATGACCACTCCCATAACAGTGGGGCTGGTTTGAACTACCCATCCAGACTAAGCGAAGTGGCAAGGCCTTAGCCTGTATGACCACTCCCATAACAGTGGGGCTGGTTTGAACTACCCATCCAGACTAAGCGAAGTGGCAAGGCCTTAGCCTGTATGACCACTCCCATAACAGTGGGGCTGGTTTGAACTACCCATCCAGACTAAGCGAAGTGGCAAGGCCCCTGTATGACCACTCCCATAACAGTGGGGCTGGTTTGAACTACCCATCCAGACTAAGCGAAGTGGCAAGGCCTTAGCCTGTATGACCACTCCCATAACAGTGGGGCTGGTTTGAACTACCCATCCAGACTAAGCGAAGTGGCAAGGCCTTAGCCTGTATGACCACTCCCATAACAGTGGGGCTGGTTTGAACTACCCATCCAGACTAAGCGAAGTGGCAAGGCCTTAGCCTGTATGACCACTCCCATAACAGTGGGGCTGGTTTGAACTACCCATCCAGACTAAGCGAAGTGGCAAGGCCTTAGCCTGTATGACCACTCCCATAACAGTGGGGCTGGTTTGAACTACCCATCCAGACTAAGCGAAGTGGCAAGGCCTTAGCCTGTATGACCACTCCCATAACAGTGGGGCTGGTTTGAACTACCCATCCAGACTAAGCGAAGTGGCAAGGCCTTAGCCTGTATGACCACTCCCATAACAGTGGGGCTGGTTTGAACTACCCATCCAGACTAAGCGAAGTGGCAAGGCCTTAGCCTGTATGACCACTCCCATAACAGTGGGGCTGGTTTGAACTACCCATCCAGACTAAGCGAAGTGGCAAGGCCTTAGCCTGTATGACCACCCCCATAACAGTGGGGCTGGGTTAAACTACCCAGAACGAGAGGAAGCCAAGTCGTTACACCGGCACTAGCAGTTTAAGGTGTTCACAGGTTACCTCCTCGCTGGTAGCTTAAAGAAAAACAACCCTAGTTTCTGACGCTAACTACACATCATTGGCTCAAGTGCCGAAACCCTAAGAGGCGGATTCTCCTATGTGATTGTTTTTAGTGAAGAACAGCAGCCAAGCTGGGGTCCCCCGATGTTGGGACCTGCCCCAATATTCCGAGCAGTCGCATTCATGATGCTTCATGATCCATGTTGCTTGCGCAGCAAGGCAATGGCAATGGTGTAGAAAGGTTAAGATGATGGGGTTCTAGGTAGCCAGTCATTTGTCATTTCTCCACACGGAAACAAACCGGCGGTGTTTCTTCCCAGACCCCCTCCCCCCCACGCCCCTGATTAAATTCCGCACGACTTCCCAGCGTTTGCGATCTGTCAGATCAAGCCGCGACTTCGTGTGGGCTGCGCCATTGGCATTTCTGCGGCGCCGGTGCAATTTGCCATCGCTCCCATCTCAGTCGGAGTGTTGGCAGGGTTGTGGGATCAAGGGGTTTCTCCCCACTTCTGTGATACAAGGGAATCCCCCTTTATATGAAGAAAATAGTCTTTGGGAAGCCCTTTCTGTTGTATCACAGAAGTGGTCATTCCCCACAGCCCTGGAGTGTTGTAACCGGTTTGGCTGCCAGTGCATTTGCCCGGTAAACTTTCGCTCGCCCAGAAAGTTGCCAGTTTGGGGGAAATCGACTGGGTTGAAGTCTTTGAGGTCAACCAGTGGAACCCTGGATGCACTTTTTGTGGTTTACACTTTACACCTGTTCTTCCCCCTCTTTGGTACTCCTGCAGTGCTGCACTTCTTTTTTGTCGCCATGTCAGGGGCGGGTCAAACGGCACATCCGCTGCTTTGTGCTGCGTCTCAAAACTTTAGTTGTATGCCTCCAGTTGGGTTTTTCTCGTGGTTTTGCTTTGACGCCATCCCGATTTTGTGACATGTGGCTTGGAGTCATGCGCCTGGAGTCTCCACCCTTCGAACATGGCCATGGTTTCCGCACGTATGTTGGAAGGCATGATCCCATGCTTGTTTCAAAGGCTGAATGTGTACGTCCATACTTGGTATGCACCCCTAGTTATGGCTTACTTATGGGACATCAGCCACCAAAGTGTCCAAAAAGCCCACGGGTTCATGTATGGACCTACGCAATCATCCGTTGATTGTTCCGTTCCAAAGTCGATCCCCGGTCAGCCACATGCATCCATGTCGCCCGCCTTCCGCGGCATCTGTCTCTCGCGGATGTTAGCAGAAAGGGGAAAGAGATAGGAACGGGCGCCATGAGCGGCCCACCCCCTGCCCCAGGCAATGCCCCAGGCGAGAGTCGTCAGGGTTGTTCTTTTTTGGAAAATGAGGCCAGCAGATTTGGGTGTGGCTCAAAATTTAAATGAGGGGTTACGCAGGTTTTGGTCAATGTTCCACTTACCAGGGTTCCATTTTGGTACCGGTTTTTTGAGCCACAGCCATGTGGGAACAGAATCAGAGGCCAATTTTGTGCGAGCAAAATCGGGGGCAACTTTTTTGCGGGAGCAAAATCGGGGGCCTATTGTTCAAACTGCGAGTGCATTGCGAACATGGTCCTGTGGGGGCAATTGAATTTCAGCAAGCGATTTCAAGGCAACAAGACTGGCCCCGCCTCCAAAAGATTGCGAGGGGCCCTCCACTTTCACAGGACATGTGGCAAAAAGACAACCCTGAAATTGGCGTGTCAAGAAAGGGAGACCACCATTTGGGGCAGTTTGCCTCTTGGTTTCCCTTAGCTGCCTGAAAAGGGCAGCTCGCCCCCCACAGCCACCCTAGAAAGGTTCAAAGGTTCCACGAACCCCTCCAAGAAGCGAACCCCTCTAAGATTCTGCGAACCTTTTCTGCGGTAGACGGCAAATGACAAGACGGGGGTGGATCACCTGTGTGAGAACCTAGGTACAAGGTCCTCACACCTTTTGCCTCGATCAGAACCCTTCGATCAGAACTCTCTATAGGATTCCAGTGCGGTGGAGGGGGGGGGGGGACGTTTTTGTTCCCCCCAACCGGGAGGGGAGCATGTGATCGACGCAGGCGCTGCGCCAGCCTTGCCCATGCCGGGCATGGGCATGTGGCGGCCTTAATGTGCAACGCAACGGTTGCAGGTTCCGAGGCACTCGTGAGACACGGAGTTGTTACGTCATTTCAGATTGCAGGAGTTCTGGTCATTTCAGGCCCTCTATTGGTGGTTTGGATTTAATTTTGAGCCGGTTCTTGTAGACGGCAAAAAAGGCACAGCCGCCAAACCACCAATGATCCGATCAGTTCCTTTTTTGCCTCTTTGTGGAGGGGGTTCCCTCTGGATTCAACTACTTGTACCATAGGAAGTGCCTTGACTGAGCTTCAGGGCTGTCATTCCGAACTCGGGAACTTGGAGGGAACAAGACCTCCTCCGTGTGTTTTTGTGTTTTGGACCTAGCCGATGTGTCCCAAGAGGGCTTCATGAGAACTATCTCGATGGGGGACTGAAGAACGGTCGCAGGTTTGAGACATGAAAATCGAATCGCAGGGACACCTTGACCAGTGAACTTTCCACTTTCCGCCAAAGTAACATCTATGAGGCTTTCTGGGAAGTCCCACTTTCAGGGTTTTCAGTATAGACCGTTTATGAAGGGAGCCGCGGAAATCCTTCTTGCGTGTCCGAGGTCAGATGGCAGCGAGTCACACCCAAACTTCCAAACATGGACAGCTTGATTGGTCTATTTATTTTTCAACATAAAGACTTGACTCCCGCGAACGCCACGGTTTTACAGTACGCCACGCGGGGAAAGCCGCGCTGAGCGCATGACTTCTGTGCGGACCACACACATTTCACGTCATAGAGTCATCGTATTTCATAATTTCATCATTTCAACATCAGTCAATCTGCAGCATGTATCCAGCGGTCCATTTTGGGACAGCCTTGCAACTATCGATGCAGTTCTGGGCCTCCGCCCACGGGGCAAAGCGGGGGGGGGGGGGTGTCTCTTTTATCTCCTGGAAATCCACGGTTTGGGCCCAAAGGGTCACGAAAAAACCGAGATTCATTAAAAAAAAGTTCCCCAGGCGCCTGGTGTGGTGTTTTGGTTTCTTGAACGAGGCGAAATCGGAGTCTTGTTCAACCCTTGGCTCAGCTTCCGCTTCGAAGCTCTGCTTGGTCCTTTTGGCTTCCTCCCTCGCGGATTTCTTTACTTACACAAAGGACCAAGGACCCAAAGGGCAAAAGTCTTTTTTGGGTTGGATCCTCAAACTACCCATTCTCCAACATGTTCAATTTGATTTCCCAGTCAACCCCCGGTTGATGCATAGGAGGGTGTCGCTTTTAGTGGGGGTTCATTAATGTCCATTACTAGTAGTCATATGGCTGCTGAAAAAAGTGGTACTAATATATGTCACCTTGGTCAACGAAACCAAAGACTAAAACCCCGCGTTGTGCACCGGCTTTTCACTTCTGAGCCACTGGCCATGCTTCGGTCAACGTGAATCCTTCAGTTTGCCGAGGCCCGGCATGATGCCGATGTCCATGCCAGGAGGCCCGCGGTGAGTCAGCCGCACAAGGGAGCCTTGAACTTCCGGTGGATGGGTTCTAGGTCAAAAAACTGCCACGGGAAATCAGGCGGGTTGTTTTCTCTCCCATTTTTTGCGGGGGTTGCGACTGAAGAACCTGTAAAAACAAGGGTTGTGGGTTCCCTCCCATGGTTGAACATGAATTGCTTGGTTGGTTTTCTTGACACGACTGCAGAACATTTCGACTTTTGGAACATGACTCTTTCCTCGAACCAGCCAAAAGCTCATTGTAGATTTCATCAGTCTCATTGTGGCGACCCTGTCGTCCACTAGCATGCAGCGGATTTGATTTATATGAAGATTGGTGCAAACCAGGGGACACCAGCCAGGTTTCATGGCAACATGGACGGAAGGGTACTGATGTGTTTTGTTGTTGATGTTGTTTTTGTGATGTCGACATCCGGCTAACCGGATTCTGTGTTTAAAGCCCCTTTCGGGATAGCCGAAGTTGAAGTGGGGCTCAGGTCGAATGCTTGCTCGAGTCTCATTGATACCCGCCCAACATGCCATGAGCGTGTCTTTGGTTGAGGATATCTTCTTGGCACCCATGTTCAACACTTGGGTAATTTTTGGTGACCCTCACATCATTCAAGGGTCTGGGTGTCAAAATTGGGTGGGGTTTGGGGGGGGCCTTTGGTCCTGGAGACCTCCTGAAGAGGGTGCCCCCACAAAGGCACAACCCGAATTTCTCAGGAACACCCAACATCGATATGCATGTGAATTGGTCGGCAGCGGACTGAACCCATTTGGGTGTGTCTCAAAACAGCGGACCCCCAAGAATCACTTGTTTCCGTTGAAACTCTCCCTTTTAAAAAGGACACTCTTTCTGCTTGCGTGTTCGGCCAAGCCAGTAAGGTGTTGACAACCATGCTTATGACCCGCTTACAAAAAGCAGGTGGCTAGCCACTTACGAGCTTGGCCGAACATCCAAGTAGAAGTGCAAGCGGACAATAAACCCATAATCAGAGAATAGAGATTTGGGTCCTGTAAGTGGGCCACTTAGTCTACGGGACGGGTCTAGTGATAGAGATTTTGGTCTACGGGGCTACGGTCGCTCGACTTCGCGTTGAGAGCTGCGAGGCATGATGGGCATGCCCGGGTCGCAGCCACAGCCTGGCAGCGGGTCAGGCGCAGGCAGAGCGGCGGAGCGGATGGATCGATTTCTGGTGGCGGTTGTTTTGGGTGGGCAAGCCACCCAGTGCTTTCAGTTACCTCCATAGCAGCAAACCCAAAGCACAAAACTATTAAGTATACTCCTCACTAGCCCTTGAGAGACTAGGTCCCCCAGCTAGGTGCCCTTTCTCACCCACTTTTTTGGTTGGGAGGGTTCCCCTACTAAAATAGACTACAGAAAAAAATGGTACCCTTATTCTAACCTCTCTACTGGAGGACCTAGCAGTGCTTGCACTTACCCACTTAGCTCCATAGTATACTAGTAGGTAACCAGGTATGGCTACCTCTAAGTTTTACATCATGGTTTCCCTAGTTATAGTGGCTTGCCCGGAAGCACCGGGCCCGACACCCGAGTTGCGAGCCCTTGCGTTTTGGAGGGGGGGCAAACCCCTTGCCGAAACTGCCGACGCAAAAAATGGGTTGTCTACCAAAACAAGGCTGGAGCTGTTTTCCCCATCCACTATGGAGTAGACCTCTGGGACGTTCCGGGACTTGGCAAAGAGAGTAGCCCTAATTTGTAACCCTGATCAATATCCAGACACATGGCTTGGACGTGTTTTTTTGGGAAGATTTGACCTGTTCTTCCCCGGTCGGTTCTTTATATTTTTGGGTATTCTGTTGGAGCCACATCCAAGCCGGTTCTAGATACCATGGTTGTAAGTCCCTTGGGTTATTTGCCATCTATCTGCTGCTGACCATCTATCTGGCGGACTATCTATCTGTCGCCTGCTTAAATTTCCCGCGGAGTTGCCATGGAACATTCTGCTGTTTGAGTCAGAGGTCAACATGATGCCCTAAGAAAGGTTTGCATTTGGAGTAGGCAGTGGTTGATTTTGAGTGGCGGGGATCCCATTTGATAGAGGGGCGTTGTTCTTGGAAGCCTTTGGTTTTCATTCTAGTTTCTACCACCCAAAGATCCCCTCAAGACAAATACCCCCCAGCTATAAGGGGGGTGGTATTCATATTTTGAGAAGACCTTAGGAGGTGTTTTGAAGGGAAACCCAGTTTTGCGACCCCACACCCACTGTGAGTGTTCCCTTTCTTATGGGCGTCCCCCTTCTTTCCGCTCGGTTGGTTGGAATACAAACCCATGCCAAGTTGCCTTGCCCGACTGTTTCTGAGACATAAATTACCCATCAGTGCTTGCCGCTGTGGTGAGTTTCGAGCTCGCCTGAGAGTAAAACGAGCGAAAGCCATGACAAGGTCCTTCACTCTGGGAGTTCTTATTTCTGATTGTAGAATTATAGAGAAACAACAAATACCTGGACCCTCCAGCTACCCATGAAAAAGGGAGATCACCCCATCATTTTGGGGCAATACCCATTTTTATGAGAAGTTTGAGGGTCCAGGTACATAGAATGGGTTGACCCCTCACCCCAAACTGGCCGCACACATGGCTTTTCAAGCGCCCGGCAGGCCAGTCATCCGGCTGTCCACAGATGCCGGGGGGCTGCCCGTCCATGCCACTGGGCAGAAGATTTGGCCAATTGGGTTAAAGCCATTTGCAGATTGGCGGCTGCTGCTTTTTAAGTTCGAAGCTTGGTGACATTGCTTTTAGTGTGTCCAAAACAAAGCGGAACCTTTTAGGGCTCCCAAGTCAACCATACTGTAGCTTTGGACCTTTTCACCGGTGTGGATTTCATGGTCTTCCCAGCAACAAGCTCAACCCATTGGCATGGTCGGTAAACCCATCGGGCAACGCGCGCTTGGCCCGAGGCCCTCGATGCCGGGGATGATGCCGGGCATGGGCATGCCGGGCATGCCGCTCGGAGCAAAGGTGCGCTTGCCTCCATTTGCTGAAATGAATATTGTTATGATTTTCCCTTGTTGGTTTTCAGAGGAATTTATCACTACTGGACATATTTTATCATTTGTTTCAACGGTCTTAACCAAATGGGAGCTTGGAAGAAGATCTGGGGTCATTATTTCGACTACCACTTACTTGAGACTTTGATAATGGTACGATAGTGGCGCCGGTAAAGCAGGGCTTTCTTTTTTGAGCAAGGTTCTTGGACTCTCAGCAATTTTAAGGGAATTTGTTTCAACAATCCAATGTTTTCCGTGGGAACTGCCTCCTTTGAGTCAGGGGTTGACATTCTACGGGAAAAAAAAGGTGGGTATTGGGCAAGGGAGTACTGTCATGCACTGCAGCAAAGAGGATGACATTCGTCACACTCACCAAATTACCAGTAGGAAATGAATGTCAGCAGTGGACACGTTGACCGTGGCAAATTTGGTTTGTCTTAAAACAGGAGAGGCCCACAATGGTGGTGTTCTCTTTCGCGTCCCAGCCCAAACCGGTGCGCACAACAAAAAGATACACCCCAACTGTGGACGCAATCCATTTCGCACCGCAGAAGACGCCCTGAGATGATGCGATCAACTCTGAGGCCATGGGACCCCATGGTCTCAAAGCTGTTGCGACCGATTTCGGGAGAAGCATCCATAGTCTAGGTCCTCCAGCTAGGTGCCCTTCTTAACCCCTTTTTTGGTTGGGAGGATTCCCCCACTAAAACAGACTACAGAAAAAGGATACCCTTATTCTAACCTCTCTACTGGAGGACCTAGATTTGCTTTCCTGAAATGCGTGGCTTTCCCAATGTAGGTTTCCTCCGAAGAGTTGGGGCGGGGCACTTCGCCCCACAGCCAAGGATGCCTGGTATGATGCCAGGCGGGGCGGTACTGTCGCTCCCGATATCGACCAGGACACCTCTGCGGTTCGGCTCCTTTTTTCCCGGTCCTCTTAGCGGGTCTGTCTTTTTTTGAGGGTACCTGTTTTGGTGAGCTTTGAGGGCAAACCAGAAAGGATCACCGACATCCATTTTGGAGGGGTCCTCTCCAAGAAAGACACGCCCTTATGGGGATTATTCCGAATTTCCGAGACGCGCGCCTTGAGCCGAACCGCGCAAACCGCAGACGCGCTTCGCCAGGCATGAACCCGATGATGATGATGGCCTCTAAGCTTGCATCCGACCCAAACCCATCTCCTGGGGTAGTTGTCTTGCATTTTGGTGGTGTAGAGTACACCGCAAACCATAGGTGTCCTTTTTGGTTGCTTTGGCAAAATAATAGATTCTGCCCTGGTTTACCAGGTGGCTTACTCATCTACCAGGTTTCCCCAAAAGGCACAATCCCGCGGAGTGCCAGTTCCTTCTTCCCTGAAAAGTGGTTGGTGCACATGAGTCCCACACGATGTTCACCAAAGGGTCCCAAATTGAAATTTCACATTGCGGGTCAAAGGGCCGTTTATTGTTCTCCTTTCGGGGGCCAGTGTGTTTTTTCCAGGGGGGGGGGTTGAACGGATGGTTGATCATCGAGCTTCACGTAGCCAAGGCCATGATGCAGCAGCCGCTTGGATGCGCTTCTGGAGTTTCCTCCGGTTGGAAACCTAAAAAACACCGCAACCAGCGGGTCGTTTTTAGGTGACGAGCGTTTGTTTTTTGTTTCAATCTGTGTTTGTATTTCTTGATGGAGGGATTTGCAACCCTGGTTCTTGTATAGATTAAATGGGAAACCCCTTTGTTGTTTGTTTTGTTCAATCTGTGTCTGTATTTCTTGATGGGCCAATGGATCAGTCTTTTCGAAACCCAACCTCCGAGGGGAAATCAGCCCGAGCACGGTTTCTTGAGGCCCGGGAATTTGTGGAGGTTTGGACAGGTTTCGAAGTATTTGCAACCCTGGTTCTTGTAGAGGGTAAATGGGACACCCCCAACCTCCAAACCACGAATCGAGACCATCAAGAGGGAAGCTGATATAAACTTCAACTTCCCAAACAAGGTCACGTGAAACTGGCCACAAGTTGGCCTTCTCAGCAAGTTGCCTGGGAACTACGACATCTCTGCGAAGCTCACCTGGTAAAAGGGAGAGTCCTGAAGACTTGGGGATTCCCCGAACATGTCAGATTATGGAGCTTTACTTGAGCAATTGGGGCGTCAATTCTTTCTGGAATTCTTGTAGAAATCAAACACACTTCCTTTCAGCGCTGGGTGTTTTGTACGGGTACCATGCTGTGGCACGTGGCTGATACGCAAAACCTGAGATGAAAGGGCCTAGTGACTAGTCTTGGTTATTCCATCATTGTTCGAGCTAACTGGCATGAAACCCACCTTTGAGGGTTTGGAGGACGCGCAACAAGTCACCAAAGAGCCCCTCAATGATTTTCATACCCGAATGTTTCAAGTCAACGGCAAATGATGGGGTGTTCTGCCCAGAAGGTGCGGGGTGTCTTCTTTTAGGGCCACAATTTGAGTGTTTCCAGAGGTTGTCAAGGTCAGCCACGTACTTTGACAAGTTGAAGTCACGAACCAGTTCTTGGGCCGACAAGCGCCATGGGTTGTTTGTTTGCTTTTAGGCTAAATTCAAAGTGGAAGCCTTGAACTTTTTGGGGAGGGGTCGGCCTGTCGAGTTCTGGAGACCAGAGCCGTGTCGGTGGCGGATCGATGGATCAGGATGGCCGCGAAGATGGGAGCGGCTCAGCCGGCCCCCGCCTCGATGGTCATGGCCGCGGCAGAGGAGAAGAGGCGCGCGCGCAACGCGCGCAACGCGCGCAACGCGCGCCGGTGGTTGGTTCAAATGGCCGCGGGTCAACACCGTTTTGGGATCCCATTTTGGGGTAGGTGAGATCACCACCCATTTTAGTTTGTGTTAGTGGGGATTGGGATGCCGGGGGCTGGTGGAGGCCGAGGGAGGGCGAGGTTGGGCGAGGTTGGGAGCTGGGGCTGGGGGTAGGGTTCACGGTTGTTGTTGGGAAACAAATTTTCCCCCATTTTTGCTTATTGTGGCTTAGATTGTTGCTCCCCCTCCAACGTCAACCAAGAATGGGTGTGGCCCGTTTTTGGAGTTTTGGCACCGTGTTTTAGGTCGGTGTAAAGGAAACCCAGAAGGGAACCCCATCATTTTTGGGGTGGCCCGTTTGACACACACCCAAATTTGGGAGCCGTTTTTAGCTGGGTTCAAGGGGACCGAGTAGAAGCCATTTTGACCCGCCTTTTGAGTTCCCACCTAAAGGAGACGCTGTTTTTGCACTTGCATCGCACTGCGTTCGAGCCAAGATTTGTTCCAGGAAAGAGCCTGAGCCGTTCGACAACGATGAGATCGATCCGCAGATCCAAGAGCTCTGCGACTATTTCAACATCGAGGCGAGTTCTGGAAGATGCTCTTCCTTAAAAAGTGGAGTTCATTTTAGTTGGTGGGAGGGCAACAATGATGAGTTGGACCCTCCAACTGTGCCTAAAAATGGAATATTACCCCCAAGAAGGCGCTTTCAAGGTCCACAGCCAAATGAGAGATGAGATGAAGCATTTCGCATCATTTCCCATCGAACTGTTGCATGACTCTTCCAGGACCGATGGGTGAAGCGACTGAACGAGACCATGCGCAAGCGACAAGACACCAAGCAAGAGGCTGGGCGAAGCGGCCGAGACTTTTTTGAGTTGGCACCGTTGGTGGGGGTAAAAGGGGAAACCAGATAACATTGTTAAGGACGATGTTCTTAAAGGGGCCCCTTGAATTAAGGGACCCCTCAACATTAAGTTGAAGCCTTTTGTTTAATCAACATTTTGTTGGGGGAGGGCTTTTGGGTACATACATTAGTGGGGTTGCCTCCAGTTGGGATTTGGAGCCTGCTTCAAATCCATCGGTTTTTTCTGGAACACAACCCCAAAAATGATACCATACAACAGCACTCCATGTTAAGAAGAAACATTAGGGACCCCCCCCTAGTAAAGTTCAATATGAACCTTTGGATCAAAATGAAAGGTGTTAAAGGAACTCTATCAATATATGGATGTGTTTGTTTCGTGTTTTTTTGTTTGCAGGGCACCGAGCCAATGGAGGATGATCCCCTCAATGTAGCCTGGAGAAGTTAAATCACAACGAGCTCACCGATTTGGGGGTAGAACGTGCTCGCCCATGAAGGTACTTGGGGCATTCCTTCCTCTCAGTTGCCCAAAGCGAATCGACCTTTTGACCTTTTGTTTTTCCCGTTGTGGTCCATTTTTAGGTGCCAAAAGGTAACCTTTTATTGCTGGGTCCTTTGGGCAGTCCTTGTTTCCACTTGGAAATTGTTTGCCCGGGTAGCTCTTGGTCCCATCCCAAGAAGCTTCGCCCAAAAGCCTTGGGCAACTACGAATCAAAGGCCACCTGGGCTCTGGTTTTAAAGGGAATGGGATTCCCTGGGAATGTGGTTCTTATGTTTTCCTGCTGGTGTATGTTGTCCTGTTTTGGATTTTTTCCTGCACGTTGGTTTTAAAGGGAATCTATCACTGAGAATATGTGTTTTCCCTTCCAGGGGACCTATCCGCAAGAGCTTCACTTTTAGCCACGGAGCCCGTGCAATGCCGCCGCAGGACATTGAGAAGCTCTACGAGGCTCGGGCGAAGCGATCCGTCGACATCGGGTGCTGAGGTCGCGGGTTCACTTTGACAAGGGTCGGTAGTTGAGAGCATTCGGGCGCTAGGGTTTTGTAGGGTTCCCTAGGGTTCCCAAGGATTCTTTTGGGGTTTTCTAGGATTCCCTAAAGTTTTCTATTGTTTTTTAGGATTCCCTAGGATGCGCTAGGATTCCCTAGGGTTCCCTAGGATCCTACTTGGGTATTCGATTCGCGTGAGCAAGTCGTTGTATACCTAGCAAATCAACTGAGAATCGGGTAACCCACGTGGCCTTCACTGAACACATCCAAGGCCTTAGGTCTTTGGGTTTGTGTGGATAGCCCCTCGGCCCTCAAAGGGGATCGAAGGAACTGGGGTTTCAACTCCCCCAAAACACCAATCAAAACCATCAACGGGCAAGCTGACCACTGGGGTGTCTAAACAAGCACAAAAAAAAAGTCACACACACACAGAAAACACAAGGGTTTGCAAACCAACGGCTAAAATACCCAGACAGAAACACGGAAGCAGTCAACCGCAGAAAATGACAGCGATGCGTTAAACCCCAACAAAACACGGGACATATACCCAACAAATACCCTTTGGACAGGTCTGAGATTTTGACGCATTCCCCACAGGTCAGTTGAAACTAGATACCAAAAACATTGCAAGGGCCATTGAATGCCGTCCAAATCGCCTCTGCAGTTTACCGCAATTTATCAGGCTTGTGTGGTATGATGTGTTCGCCTGCATGTCTGCACATGTGAACCATAATTCCAGAGCCTGAAATCAGACATGGATCCACAAGTTGAGTCAAGGACCTGCATGGCTTTCCCTTTTCGTACCCCCCCGCCCCCAACCAGCTCGCCATCTGATATCAGTCTCAGGCTGTTGATGGTCCCACTGAGATCAAATGAAAAGACCAGGAAGCGCCAATCCGAACCAGCAATTGGCAACTACCCCTTTCCCTGAGTTTCTGAGCTTGATACGTTTTTTGGAAGACCATTCTAGCTGCAAATTAGAGGTTTCGACTAACTCCTCCTCTCAGCAAACGGGGAAGGTGAAGTGACCTCCCTAAGCCAAAAAACTGGGTGTGCGTGTGTGTTTTTTGAGAATCATATCCCCTTTCTTGGGGGAGAGGGTTGAGCGTGAAGGCAAAACAAACACCAATTTGGGCCGTCCAATCTTTAAGATTGCCACACCCAACTGGTGAGTGGTCGTGTTTTTCTTTCCCAGTGGTTGAATTTCCTTCCTGCGGATCTTTTTTTTCCGCTGACAGGTCCTGGAGCGGGCGCGCAGCCCAACAGGCCTCCTCACCGTGAAGATCGGAGAGATGGAGCCGCAAGCTGAGCTTAGCGCTCGATGCAGCGCTCGATGTCTCGGAGCTCCGAGCTGGTTTTGTGGTCCCCGTTTGGTTCACTGGGATCACTCGAATTTTATCCAACCACTGCGACTGGTTGTGGTCCCTGGTTGGTTCAGGGTTGTGGGATCACTCGAATTGTATCTAACTGCGATACAAGGGAACCCCCTCTTGAAATGGGGGGTATGGTCCCTGGTTGTGGTCCTTGTTTAGTGTGGACCTGACAAAAACACAGAGGTGTTTGAAATGAAGTTCGTTTGGTCCAGGGTTGTGGTTGATCACTCAGGGTTTCTCTAACCACTTCTGCGATACAAGGGACTCTTGAAATGGGGGGCGGTAGTCTTTGGGAGGCCCTTTTTGCTGTATCACAGAAGTGGCGACCGTTTCCCACAGCCCTTGTTCGGTTTGTGGCCTGTTTTAGCTTCCCTCTTTTTTGGAGCCCCTGGAAATGTAATTAGTGGGGGGTTGGAAAGACCTCTTCTACGGCTCTTAACCTTTTTCAGGAAAAAGGACAGCACAACCATGCAAATGAGGCCGTTCAAGCGAGCGAGCGAGACGGTCGGACTGTCGTTTGTTGTTTGCAGGTAAGCCTCAGTAGTTTGGATTGGTTCGGGGGTGCGAGCCCCTGCTTCTCGAAGGTAAGTGGGAAACCACCCCTCGAAACCATCAATCCAGCCCGACAAGAAGGTTCATGATTTTTGACCCTCCGCTTGAAGGACCACCTGTTGCAGCATTGCGCGCGCATACTTCACGTGCTTGCCCCATGGCTTCGCGCAAACAAACATGGAGTGCGAGGTGCGGTCGCTTTGTCGGCAAGATCAAGCCAGACAAGGACCGGTTGGGTCATTTTCTCGTTGCCACTCTTCCTCTTTTCATCTGGTGGCTTCCCTACAAATGGACCCACAAAAGACTTCCCTTTTTTTGAGGGGACTGAACTGGGGAAGCCTCCCGGTCGATTTGTCGGGGAATCGGACCCTCAAAATGGGCGGCTTTCCTGTTGTTTCCTTTTTGAAACCACCCGAAGAAGGGTATCCTCAACAAAGACAGGCCCACTTCCATGATGGTTGGGAAAGAGCGCGGACTACGTCATTCTAAAAATCCATGGCGCCTTCCCCAAACGTGGCAATGGTCCGCGTGGAGGTATGACGCCCGCACGACAGGCGCAGGTGCAGTGCGCGGCACAAGAGGGATAATTTGCCCCAGCGCGAAACCACAAGTGTGGATCACACACCAAGCTCTCTCTATATCTACGCTCTCGCAAGACACATGTGGGCGCCAAACTGTAACGGCAACAGCCCAGCTTCCAAGAAAGAACGATTGTGGAACTGCTACCGTTTCGGGTCACACCGTGTTTGCCCTGGGAAATTTCATGGCTTCCCCAAAAATCGGCCACCCCACAAAATGGGTTCCCTTTTTTCTGCCCGCCAGGTCTCCGGCTGCACCCGGGGGCTACATGCGGAATTCATATTTGCCAGGATCAAAAGACCCTTTTACTTGGGGTTGACAGGGACAGTTCTGGTAGGCCACTACAATGATTCTTTATCGGGAATCTGCGTTCCATGGCTGGCTCCCCCTATTCCTAAACTGGTTGGTTGATGAAAATCCGGGGTCACCATCGCCCCAGTCTGGTAAATTCCAACCCCCCTTTTAGTCGAGGGTTGACATGACGCCCTAAAAAAAGCGGCGGTTTTTGGAGGTAAGTGGGTCAAGACATTCGTCCAAACCAAGGGAGACTTCTGTCCATCGCTCAACTCGCAGGGGGACTTTTAAGCAGGTTCTAGAATAAGGCTAAGGTTACCAACAACTGAATTGGCCGAACACCCAAGTAGGAACCATTACCATAGGCCAAGGGGGACTTCGTAAAAGCACCTCCCCCTTTGAGTTTTTTTTTGGGGGGGGGTCAACACATCCGTCCAAACCCAACGTTTAGACGGCCAAAAAGCCCATCGCAGGACGGAGACCGGCCAAACCAAGAAAAACATGAGCCTGGTAACTTCCAACCCCCGCCCCCCCTTTTTAGTGGAGAGTCGACATGCTGCCCGCCTCAGAAATGACCTCGGTTTTCGGTCGGAGGACGTGGAGCGCCTGGCGCGGAAGTTCAAGCTGGACGAGCCGGTGGCCTCGCGGCTCACAGAGTTGGTGCACCGCCGCAAGCAGCAGCGCCTCGGCGTGGCGAGCGCGCGCGAGCGAGTCAAAAAAGAGAAGCCTCCCTAGGCACCCGGGCCACCGGTGGCCTGTTTTGGTTTTTTGGTTGTTTTGGGGGGGCACCTGTTGCTTGGGGGGCTTCCTGCCTGCTGTTTTGTGTTTTTTGTTGGGGGTCAACTAGTTGCTTGGAGGGGGTTTGGGGTTTCCATTCATAGTCAAAAGAGACCAGCAAAAAAACATGGCCTCTTTGGTCCATGGAAATCCACTGAAAGTCTGGGACTGAAGGGGTGACAATTTGGGAGGACAATCAGAGGTGCACCCAAGGGTTGTGATTTTTGCTGCAGAATTGTTGGTTGGTTGGGTGGGTGGGTGGGTGGGTGGGTGGGTGCGTTGGTTGGTTGGTTGGGTTGGGTTGGGTTGGGTTGGGTTGGGTTGGGTTGGGTTGGGTTAGGTTGGTTGGTTGGTGGTTGGGTGGGTGGGTGGGTAGGTGGGTCGGTCGGTCGGTCGGTTGGTTCAACAGTAATCTTCCCAAAATCATTAAACAAATGATAAGGGTCAATCCCAACCATAAATAGCTGCGGCCGCCTTCTAAATCCTTTACATGGTTCTGGGTTACGACCATGTTGATACCTGGCTTTCATTGTGACTCCCATGTTTCCTTCCGATTGGTTTCCCTTGACCTCCGCTCACAAAGTGGGGTTCCCTCCGCAAAGCCCAAAGCCCAAATCAAAGAAGCATGATCAACTCATCCGCGTTCGTGCGAGAAGCGCTCAGGGGCGAGCCGGACCGCGCGGCGAAGGACCTCGCGACCATCGAGCAGCACCTGCGCTACTGCAAGCGCACCTCTGCGCCTTGCCTTGGGTTTGCTACAAGAGCCTCACTTCCTGAGTTTATAGACTTTTTGGGAAGACCATGATAGTGGCAAACAAACAGTTTGGACTTTTTTGGACCCTCCACTCAGGAAGTGACAGGATTGATCACCGGTGGGTCCCTCTAAATGCTTCTTTCGTTCGGTAGGTTCGGGACCCGCTAGTGAAATTGAGTGCTTCTTTGAGATTGAGCTTTGTCAAGAGCTTTGAGGGAAGAGTGCACGTGCTTCTGTCTTCTGCTTTGTGGCGGAACAACTTCCCCTTGTTTCGGGTTTTGGGTCGCCTCCAATTGACGCAATTGAATCAAGCGTTTTGGCCGAGGCCATGGCGACGCTCCTGGCAGGCGCGGTGAATCTTCATTATGCCTGAAGAAAATCCTGCACAAGCTACAACACTGGAACTCTTGCGACCTGCATCTTTTTCCCTGTGCCCCCACCCCCTTGCTTTACCAGGCATTTGCTGAACTTGTAACCTTCCCCCCATGTTCCACCCGGGAAGTCTTAGGGTTCATGCACCCCATGTCATCCCCTACGGTTTTTCCAAGGGAGTATTGATTGCTCAGATGCGTGGAGCCTGCGAGCAAGAGTCGCTGAGAACCTCGCAATGGCTCTACAAAAAGGGTGTGCAAAGTCAGCTCCTGTGGGCTGCTTGGGGCCATGGCATTGGGAGGTTCCTGGTGTCCCTGTCCAATGTCATTTAAGCAGGGTTGTGGGATCAAGGGGGTTTATCCAACCGCTTCTGTGATACAAGGGAATCCAATCTTTATATGGGGGGGGTAGTCTTTGGGAGGCCTTGTTTGTTGTATCACAGAAGTGGATTCCATTTCCCACAGCCCCTGCTTTTCAGCATCGCAAGGTTTATTACTACGGGGTGTTCCCCTCCAAAAGTGGTCTGTTTCCCCACTAAACCCCGAATTGGACATCCCCCTCATCCCCCTACTACTCAACTGGTTGGTTGCTAAATCTGGGGTCACCACTCGAAGGCACCAAGGCGCGCGCGCGAAGCTGCGAGCGAAGCTCCGCAGGGAAGCTCCTGGAGGGCGACGTCGATGAACTCCCCGACCTCACGGATGCGGAGCACGTCATGGAGCCGCTGCCGCTTCCGCTTCTCTCGCGGGCGCTGAGCGGACGGCGTTGAGCTGAGCGGCGCCTTTGAGGGGCGCCAAGTGAACAAGAGGATTTGTTTCAAGAAGGATGAGAAATAGGTCTGTCTTTCTTTTGGGTTGGACCTGTGAAAATGGTGGTTTTTCTTGTGGTTTCCCTTGAAAAACCACGGAAAAAAGGGGGCCGCCAATAAAAAAGGAAAACACCCGAGGTCTGTTGATTTGGGTTTCTGGGCGAGAAGGGACAAGTTTCAGCCAGAGTAGCTTCCGTTTCGAGCGTGGCTCACATGGGGGATTCTCCCAATGGTGCTTCGACCCTCTTGCGGTTGGTAGGCGAGGGAAGTCAAAAGGAAACCGTTGCCATCTTAGGAAACCGATTCCTGTTTGAGAAGCACCCATACTGTGGATGATTTCAAAATCCACAAACCCACCAGTTGGGAGGGATAAAGTCCGACTTGCATACTGGTAAACAAACAGGCGCAATATTTTGTCCATCCACAGCATCAGCAACTGCAGTACAGGCGATAACACGATACCCACGAGCCCCTCCTCCCCAGCAGATAGCAGGAGATTAAGCTTAAATTATTTTTTTGAGTTGGGGACACCTGCTGAGGGTGGGTGTGTCAAAATACGGGCACCCGCAAAAGGGCGGTTGTCCTTTTGCTTTCCCTTGAAACCAACCCCAAAAAGGGTTCCCTGAAAAACAGATGCCTGACACCTCGCGAGGAGAAATATCGGCTCGACGAGGCTGGGAATGCGAGTGAGATAGGGGAAGCTTGGGAAAGGTCGAGCTGACAGTATCTAAGCGTGGAAGTGCATGCCTGCAGACATGGGGTCAATATACCCCAAATTCAGGGGCGACCCCATGGGGCGGGGGGATCACTTTGGTCGCAGTTTTTGGATCACTTTGGTCGCAGCTGAAATCCACTCACTTTGGTCGTAGTTTGAGCATTTGCGGATCACTTCTGTCGCAATTTTTGGATCACTTCAGGCGCAGTGGAAGATAGCTTTTTGAGCACTAACAACAGGACACACGCAAAGGGTGTTGCCTCTCAAACACCTAACAACAAGACATGCCGCGTGGGGTGGGGTCGACAAGGATGTTGCCTCTCAAACACCTAACAACAAGAACTGCCGGGTGGGGTGGGGTCGACAAGGATGTTGCCTCTCAAACACCTAACAGCAAGACATGCCGGGCGGGGTGGGGTCGACAAGGATGTTGCCTCTCAAACACCTAACAACAAGACATGCCGGGCGGGGTGGGGTCGACAAGGATGTTGCCTCTCAAACACCTAACAACAAGACATGCCGGGCGGGGTGGGGTCGACAAGGATGTTGCCTCTCAAACACCTAACAACAAGACATGCCGGGCGGGGTGGGGTCGACAAGGATGTTGCCTCTCAAACACCTAACAACAAGACATGCCGGGTGGGGTGGGGTCGACAAGGATGTTGCCTCTCAAACACCTAACAACAAGACATGCCGGGTGGGGTGGGGTCGACAAGGATGTTGCCTCTCAAACACCATAGTCAACGGCGAAGAAACTAGGACCGAAGCGAGATGAAAACTAGGACCGAAGCGAGCCAGCAACTAGGACCGAAGCGAACCCGCGACCACCCCATGGTCCCGTTTCCATGGCTCCTTCTCCGGTTGTCAACCCACACTTTCTTCTTCAGTCCGCCCGCTTGTTTATGCCCCGTGGAGTCTCCGGGTCATGTACCAAGAGGTTCTCACCATGAGTCGTTGGCCAATGTTTCCTCAGCTCGTGCGCGTCCAGCAGGTCTGGTAGCAGAAAATTGAGCTCACCCAGGGGTTGCTGCAAACGAGCCCACCCATGATGCAAGCCCCTTGCCTTGGCATTCCGTATCTCCAGTTGTGCCCCCTAGGTGGGAATGGTGGTGCCTCCTAGGTGGGAATGTGGTGCCCCTTAGGTGGGAATGTGGTAACTCCACACTTCTATGGGGTTTGAGGGTCCATGTAAGTGTCGCAACATGCTTTGACACAGGATCTTGGAGTGCATTGCGTGCTCCGCTCGAGATCGTATGGATTCCGGACAATTGAGAGTTGTTCAAGGGGGATACCGGTGACCCCCTCTGAAAGAAAAAATGCATGGGCGCCCCCTTTGCCCAAATTGGGACTCTTGCTTTTTGATTCGTAGTAAGAAACCACATTGAACATGTTTTCCCACACACCAGGAAGGGTTCTTGGAACTTGTTTTTCCTCAACGGCTGAAAGCTGTGGGGTCTCTGCGCAAATAGGCTCTGGGGTGGTTTGGGGCAGCTTTTACGGAGGGTTCGGAGGGTTCCGGGCTGTTGGGACACCACCATGTTTTTTGTGTTGTGTTGTTTCCGCGTTCTAAAGCAATGCCTTTTTCTTTATCGGGCCCCAGCGTTGGTGTTCCTTCGTTGGGGTTCGTCCCTGTTTAGGTTCCTTTTTGTGTTCTCAAATTCGGAGCAAATATGTTGCTACTCAAATCTGTTGGTACCCAAGGAGTCTGACTACACCCGATTGCGCCAAGCACTTTCACCAAGTGGTACTTTGCAGGAAAATAGATTGTTGAATCCCAAAGAGGGGGGGTCAAGGGTGGGGATCCTAAAAGCCCCTAAGGAACCATACCCTCCCACCAACCAACACGGAAGTGCAAAAAGGCCCTTTTCAAGAGCAAAGTAGTCTTTCTACAGGGGTCTGTGCAATTTTGATGTTAGCTGGTGGGAGGGTAGCGATCTCAACTACCCACCCCCTGGTCTCGTACCTCCCAGTCTGCCGTGCACGCGTGCACGGCAGGACGCCAAGTCCAAGCTTCGGGAGATCATTGAGAAGAGGGCGGTGGATGCTCCGCAGGCCATTCGTCTGACCGTTTCGATGGTACCCTTTTCGGGGGTTGCGGAGTTTTTTTGGTGTTTTTTTTGCCCCTCCCCCCCAGGTAGCTGAAAGCTATAGGGGTTCTAACTTGATTTGCGAGATTGATGGGCTGGTGCTAGGGGGCGTGCGGGGCGTGCTGGTGTAGGTGCTGATTGGGGTGTTGTTTGAGGTGCTGATGGCAGGGCGTGTGCATCTTTTCAAGATTGACGGTAGGGTGCTAGGGTGCATGCAGCTTAGGTGGTGGTTTGGGGATTCTATTTGGGGTGCTGGTTGATTTTCGCAAGATTGACGGCTGGGTGTCTTGGGGGGTGCTGTTTGGGGTGCTCTTCAGGGTGATGGTGCGGGCGCATTTTTGCTCAATTGACGGCCGGGTTTTGCTTGGGGCGTTGTTCGGGGGGGTGCTTTTGGAGCTGCTGGTGTGCAAGCGTGCTATCTGGGGCCTATGCTGGTTTATTAGAGGCCTGTTTTTGTTTCTTCTCAGAGGCCAAAGGCAAACCAGACATCCGCTTTTAGGATGTCGGCGTGTAGGGGTGTTGGCGTTGTAGGGGGTTCTTGGCACCCTTTTGAGGGGTACAATTTGCTTAATGAGACCAAAGGAAAACCTTCCATTTGGACCATTTTGACGCAGCAGTGTGACGCACGGAGTGCGCATGCCTTGATTTTGGGATCTCTGTTGAACTTGTTTTACCCAATCGCTCATGTTGCAGCGGAACCGCATTTTCGCCCTGAAGGGGTTGTGATGGGTTGTCCAAGTCCTTGGTGAAATGCTTCTACCGAAATGGGATACTTCACGGACCCAAGGCAAGCAACCAGTTTGGGTTCTCTCGCACCTCCCTGAAGGGGACCCCACACACAAACTCCCCCCAAACGCACCCCCATGGCAAAGACTAAACATGGACCATTCTCGAATCGGTCTGTCCCCAAACTCCCCCCCCCCCAACACGCACCCCTTGGGAAAGACTCAAAATCGATCATGTTGGGAGGTGTCTTTGTTAGGTCCCCCAGTAGTGCCCCTTTACCCATTTTTGGGGGAGGGTTTCCCTACTAAAATAGACTACAGCAAAAAGGGGGGGTACCCTAACCTCTAACCTCTCTTTTGGAGGACCCTTTTATTGGTTTTCAACCGGGACAAGTTTTCTCTCAGGTCCTCGCTCAGCGGCCAATCGCTCAATCGGAGGTGCTGCAGCAGATCAAGAAGCACCTGGACACCTCGGTGAACACCTCCTCCATGCTCTGCAAGATCGCCAGGCGCCGCCTCGACGACCGATCGAGCGAAACTCGAAAGCGGCGGTTGGGGGAAACCGGCGAAACCGGCGACCGTGTGGTGCGAGCCCCGCAAAAGTGGGAGGAAGCCAGAAAACAGAACCCCCCTTGCCCTTGCTGTTTGAAAGCTGCAAAGGGGAAACCCGAGAAAACGCGCCTGGCTGTTTCTTTCTTTTTTTGGGTGGGGGCATTGTCCTTTCTAGGGTTGATTTTAGCAAGGGAACCCCGGCCTCCTGCTTTTTGTGGGATTCACCGTTGGTTTTCCATCCTGCAGTTTTCCAGCCTCGGTTCTGGGGGGAAGACGAGCTGACCCAATGATGGTTCTTTGCTGGATATCTTGTTTTGAATGTGCGAATGAAGAATAATAGGTTCTTGGTTGATCAATGGGGGGGATGCAGCCCAGCTTGCAGATCTGGATTATTTGGGAGTTGCACCCAGGATTGATCCACCAACTTGGTTCATCCAGGGGCGACATTCAGAATCTCAATGCAAATGCGCACGCACCATGACGCCGCTGAAAGAAGGGCATGTAACCGGGACGATGTTTCCAGATCTGAACTTATTGCTCAGGGGTACCGGTTAAATCTCCACGGAAATCAACACAGAGCTTCTCCCATGGCAATCTAAACCTTGGGACGCTTCAGTTTGAGGCCCTTGATCGACAACGAGCACTTGCCAGACCCACCGGAGAGAGGGTCCAAAGGCAAGGGCAAAGGCGACGAGAAAGGCGGCCGGGCACTCAGGACTTTACAGGCGCCGCACTCAAAAAACTTTCAGCGAGCTGGAAGGAAGGCCGAAATTGGTCGGGGTTGGCGACAAAGAATCAACCAGAACCTGGTACCTTTTCAAGGGAAGACGAAAGGAGGAGGCTGAAACGATTCTGGTTTAAACGATCCAGATTTTGGACAGGTGGTTAGGCCAATACTGGCACAGTTGTTTTAAGCAAATGATCGAGGTTTGTCTCAGTTTGGTTCTGGTCCACGTTGGCTTCCGCTCGCACCTGGGAATTCGGTGAAGGTCATCTTGACTTCGGAATGCAGAGGTACCTATCAGAGGAATCCACCTAGATGCATCCACTGCCCCCTAAGCGGACAAAGAACCGTTTTCCGGTCCTTTGGATCAATCTGAAGTTGGAAATCCTTTGGGTGTTGGTAGCCCACGCAAGGTTCCTAAGAAACGCCCACAGATTCGCCGTTGTTTACCCTTGATGATGGTATGGACATGCTGCTTTTGGAGAGTACCCTTTGCAGGCTAGTTCAAAGGAGAACAAAAGGAACACGCAGCTTTAAAAGTGAACATTGTGTTGAACATGGCCTTCTGCAAACTATACTTCTAACGGCAATATGTTGTTCAACAAGCAAATCCATGTCGACTTGCACTTGAATCATTCGTTACCTTCTAATGATTCAACACCTAGAACTATGGGTATTTGTTTGTTTGAAGGTACCCTTTTCAGGTTGGTTTAAAGGGAACCAAGGAAAGATTGCAAGACAATTCGAGGGTCCCCCTATTTTTATTGAAAGACTTATATAGCTTACCTCTTCAACCTGCTTCCTTGGTATTTCATTTGTGTTTCCTGGCTCCCGATGTTTGCTGCTGCGTTTCCTTGCTGGTGCTCAGTAGGGAATGACCGTTCCGGATTTTGGGAATGAACCGGAATGGATTCCCTTAAAGGAAACCAACTCGGGGATTGTTATAGGGGTCATTGCCCTCATTCCCCGCTAAGCACCAGCAAGTGAAAGGGGCAAATTTGCTTAGGAAATGGTTAGTAAGCCTGGTTATAACCATGGTTATTGCCCACTTACTATGGTTCTTACCCACTTACTATAGGGCCTGATTAAAATTCCCGCCTATGGAACAAAACGAATTTTGAGACCGCGAGTGCTGAGGTGGCGACCGTGAGCGTGGCGGCGACCGCGACCGCGGGGACCGGGGGGACCGGGACCGGCGCAGGGATCGGAGCCGAGACCGAGACCGGGACCGAGACCGCGGGGCGCCCAGCGAGCGGGGAGCGAGTCCACAGGGTTTTCTGGGGATGGCCTTGCCTCATGAAAAACATATTTTGGGTAGGTTTAAAGGGGAACAAAAGGAACATGTTGGGTTTTAAGGGTTTAAAGTTGGGTTTAATGTTGGGTGGGTGGTTTAATGTTTGATGTTGGCCATGTTGGAACAAAAGGACAACTACCTCTGATGAAGTCGGCTTCGGCATACAAAGTCCCCAACCATCAAAGTGCACAGGAGAGCAGCTCCGTAGTCCACGGAGTGCTAGGCGAACCCGTCCCCATGTTGAGACAACCTTTTTGGCTGGTTGTTCCTCAAAAGAGAAAAGGCGATCCCCTCAACACACGGTAAAAGCCGTCTTGGTCCCCCAAAAAACGGTTAAAACCAGAAGTTGGGCTCCTTGTGGCTCACCTTCAAGACCATCCACTGGGTCCACTGCTTTGAGAAATGTTTTTGAGGGAAGGGAAGACAATTTCAGTGGTCGCAGAGTTTACCATCGCTCCCACGTAGCCATGGCACTTGACGGCTTCCCGGCATCTACCCTCCCACAGATGCGTGGAAGAAAGGTGTTTTTTTTTTCACGTGTTCCCCTTTTTTGTGCTCCCATTTCTGCTGGGGGCAAAATGTGTGTCCTTCATTCCTAGGAAAAGTGGATCATTTTGCCGCGGGTCCATTCCCAGCCAGTTCAAGCTGAGCAATCCCACCGAGTTTGAACCCCAGTGCCGCCCTTGATATCGAAGGCTCCGGCTTTTGACCCGTCTCCATTCTTCTCCTTTTCTGGTTCTTGGAAGCACTTGATGTTCGCTACAGGCAAGATATGTCAGAGTCCATTCCGCATCCATCGATTTTGTCCAGAACGCACACCTGAGAGCCGACTTGTCGTACATCCCAGAAGTCTGACACAGCGTAGTTTCCAAGTGGCTGGGTCCCTCGATTCCTCCCCCTGAAATTGAAACCAATGCCATGTAATGTTCGACCAAGTGTGCAGAAGGCAAACTATATCTCATATCAGGTGGCACGTTTTGGCATGCTCTTCAGTTCAGTATGGTTTCGACTTGGACTGTCCCCCAGCTCTAGATCGGCGCAAGGAAAGGGGGTTCCCACTGTTCCCACTGTTCCCTGTGCGCAGTTGTTGTTTGGATGGTTTGCGGGGAAATGGGTTTGAGGTTGGACCGCTTTTTCAACCCCAAACTTGTTCCGTGCTCTTCCATATTATCTTTGGTTCATGGACTGAAAAAAAAAACTAACGAAGGTTGGGGTTGATGGAATACACGGCCCGGCTTTACTCAATCCATGAGTTGTTGGAATTGAGTCACTTGCGTCCGTGCCATTTCAGTGGCAAACAAGCTGTTTTGATGTGGCTGAAAGAAGGATCCAGGCGACCGCCGATCTTGGCGTTCAATCTGGGAGTTGGCGGGCTGCCCGATTTTTCAGCCACAGCCCTGTTGGTTACTATGTTTTGACAACGGTCTCCACCCCAGCGGCTGTCAAATGGTTTGTCAAGTGACCTTCATTTGGCCAGTTTTGGGCGATTTGACGGAAATCCACTGGAAGGGTTAGTGTCCCTAAGGGTCCAAGTACCTTACAAGTACATTGCTTGGTGGCTCACAGCCATCCCCTGCTTGTTAGTGTTTAGTGGTAGTTTCCATTTAACCCGCTAACAGTTTATCACTTTTAGCCGGGGATCTGAAATCGGGCAGCCCGGGTTAGGCTGGTCAAAATGGGCCTCAGAACATGTGTTGCTTTTCCCTTGTTGGTTTTAAAAGGAATTTATCACTACTGGACATGTTTGTATTTTTTCCAGGGGTCTTCACCAGATGGAAGATTAGGCAGGTCAAAATGACTTCCTCAGAATGAGTTTCATGTCCCAGCTTAGGCCGCCACGGTAGCCGCAGCCGGAGCCGTGACCGACGCCGGGAGGACTAAGCGAAAGGCTGCCCAGATCCTTCGCCCAGTGGGGTTTTGGGTCGACTCCTTTTTGGGACACAGACAGGGGGGGCCTCTGTGACCGAACCAGACCTTTTGGAAACAACAAATTGGGGGTGTCCTTTGTTAGGGCAGCCGAAACTGGTTGGTTTTCGTATCGCTGCCCTTTGAAACCAACCGAAAAGGGGTACCATCAAAACAAGACACCCGCCAAAAAAACAGAGCCACAACTCAAATGGCGGCAGCCCCGTTTTGGATCCTTTACATGCGGATCCCTTATTTCAGATTTTGATTTGGGTGCAATGCTTCAAGAATGGTTGGTAGACTTGACCCCCCATACCAACAATGTCCGACAAGGGGTCCGCAATGAAGATGCCTGCCCACGTTGTTTGGTACCTTGTGTGTTTCAATCGCCTCGCCAGAATGAGAAGCCGAGTAATACAGTAAGTGCCGGGCTAAGACCGCAGCATTACCCATATCAGCAGAGGGTTTAGCAAGTTTGACCGCATGAACCTCTTACCAAAGAGGCCAAGTGGGTGCAGCCGAAGCGTTTTGGATCTCAGTGCCGTTCCAGCTGTGGCAGCAACCCGCACAACGCCTTGTGCGGCGGGCTGCTTTCCATGGCTGCGTTCCAAACACGGCGTTTCACGCTTCTGCGGATTGCCAGACTTTTGGCCCATTTTGCCATTAGGCCCATTTGGTTGTTCCTCACTTACCAGCAAGAAGGGCAGGCGCCTGAGGAAGCTGTCCCAACTTCTGATTTACCCGGGGTTTGGGGTAAGCAGGGGGGCATGATTCGGGTTTGTCTCAAAACGGGAAACCTTTTGGTTTCCTTTTGAGTTTTCCTTTCAACCAACCCAAAAAGGTTGCCCTCAAAAAGGACAGACTCAAATGACTCAAATGCGTTCTAGGATGCTGCATTCATAATTGTCCTTTGCAAGTTTGAAGCCATCTGAAAAGTGGTGGACATGAATCCCCACCTAAATGATGTCCACTAAAGGGTCCTCAGTTAATCTTCGCACCCATGGACAACATGTACCGGGATACTGACACTGACAGGTAGGATTGATAAGGCTTAATACTTAATACCCTATAGGATTGGTGGGATTATCACCTCATAGGGCCGCACCAATGAAAACCCGTAGGGGTGCGAACAGAGGGGTTCTGATCGCAGGAGAGTCATAATGTGTGCATCCGACCATCCATTTGGGTGTTCCTTTTCTTGAGTTGGTCACCCCTTTTGTTGGTTTGCAGGGAGCCCAAAATGGGCCCTTCTGAAAAGGCAATCAATAATTTTGAGGGGATGTCCCTATTTTACACAAACAACGTTTGTCAGAATCCATTGAAAGGGTCACCTCAGACTGACAAAACAACACTGAGCAGAACGAAACAAGACACGATTTTCCTTTTTGCATCCTGAGGCTTTCCACCCGTCGGATCTCTCAGCTTGTTTTCACATTTGAAGGCTGCGGCTGGAGGGGTCATTTATTAAAGTGTTTGCACATGTTTCCGAATTGTGATAATTGATTGTCAATACACATCTTGTTCAACTTTCAAGGCTAGAGGCTAAGGTACATTTGAACATTCACCAAAGATGGATCAGGATCAACCATACTATATGTTTTGGTTAGGGCAAAATCTGAGCTGCAGTGAACAGAGAAGTTTTATCGCCGACCTGACGTCTTGCGGAGCTAACTGCAAGCGTTGCATCCGCGGGAGTTGAGTCACCCCAGGCCTAAGCGCATGCACATCTCGAAGCGAATGGTCCATTGACTGAACCTTGTGCCCTGGTCAAGCAATCCACAGGGTCCTCAAGACACCCATTCACTTGGGGGTAATTATGGATGCTCGTAGCCAAAGGGAGTCCTAAGGGGAACCATGACAACGGACTCACGCAAATTCCTAAAATACTGATTTCGGGGGGACAAAGCCTAAGTTTACCCATGTCAATGAGGGTGACTGCAATTTGTGACGACTCAATTTCTTTTTTGGCAAAAGAGACGTGCAGAGTTATGTGACGTGCATTGACAGCGGCTCTCAGGCCCTCCGGTGGATAGTTTGGAAAGCCTGCAAGCCTGTGCTCGTTATATCAATCCCTTCCCATCAAACACACAGAAATGGCAGGCCGCTCCTGGAATTCCATTTATGGAAACCCTTTCTCCTCATTGGAACACTGGGTTGACTGGGACTGGCCATCACGTCGGTTTGGAAGTCATGGACAGAGCCTTTTCCTAAATCCCTGGTTCGGAAAGGAGCCACAGCCAACGGTGTATCTTGGTTGTTTGGTGTGATCGTTTAGCTCTCAACCTTTTGGACAATAGGATGTTTGATGTTTGAAGTTGGTATGCCTATCTGGCAATGGGGTTCAATGGGAAGCCAGCAGAGAAACGACGGGACACATACCCAAATGACTCAAATGACCATGTTACTGGCAACCAGCAACAAGTTGCTTGCACCTAATGGATCCCAACCGCCCAAAGCCGCGCTCGCAAGCAAGCACTCCATTGAAGCAAGCGCAAGCAAGCACACGGTGTGGTTTTCTTTGCCTGTCTATGACCAAGCCCTTCGCCCCTGCCAACGGCTTGGGGCAGGGGAGCAATCCAATTGAAGGGAAGCTGATCCCACCCAGTTATGTTGAAGGCTCGGTTTGAGAGCGCTGTGGGCTTTGCTCGGAGCTTCAGCAACCCGCGAGTGATATGAAAGGAAAAAGGCCCGCATGTCTCTTGATCGTGCATTGCTCTGCAGGGCTCCCTGTATTTCCCCACCTGGTGGTCTTAGACATGTCTTGCCTTTCGGGCCCATTTTGAAAGTGAGCTTCCTTTTGATGGTGTGATGTTTAAAGGGGACATGCTGTGGATGGACACAATCCTGCACGACTTTGAAACCAAACCATTGTTGGTTGGCATTTACAGAATCTGTGCAGGATTTTTGTCCAATCCCAGGATGGACCGCCCTGTGCGACTTACCATTTGCTTTCCTGTCGCAGTTGAACGCAATTGGGCAAACCCAAACGGGTTGCCAAGGCCGAATCAGGTTTCATCTCGTTTCCCAGCACTCCCCAACTCCAAACATGGGCCGCCCAATACAAGACTCCTGCATTTATAGCAGGTTTTGGGGAGGATTCCACGTGAATCAAAGACCTTCCCCAAGGAATTTTCAGCCAAGGCGCCCGGAAAGGGCAGTAAAGAGCTGGGGTTAGGTGGGTTTTAGTCTTTGGTTCCATGCACCAAGGTGCCATTTTGCTTGACTGCTCTTGGGCAACGGATCTTTAGACTCTAGCTTTTTGGTTGAAAAAACGGTGTTTTCCACTAAACCTCCCCAAAAGTGGTCGACTTTTTGCAGTCTGCTTTGTTTACCACTTTTTTTTGAGCCATTTCTCGCGCGCCATGGGACCCAAGGCGCAGCAGCTGAATGTGGACACCCTGCCTTTGCACCTGCACTGGGCGCCTTGCCTGAACTTCCATTGGCCGAAAAGACTCAGAAACACCGAAAGGTGGATGAACATGGCTAGGTCCCCCAGCGAAAGGGTGCCCTTTGACCAACTTTTTTTGGGGGAGGGTTCCCCTACTAAAACAGACTACAGAAAAAAGTTGGTCCCTTATTCTAACCTCTCTACCTAGACATGGAGTTCAAATGCTCCATGTCTCCAATGATTAGCTGGTTGGCAGGGAGCCAAGGATCCGGGTACCCAAATTTTGGACTTGAAGAGGGAGCCGGAAGGGAGCTATCAGAAGTACTGGTTAGGGACATGGTTTAGGAGTCTCCTGACACTCTTCGTGTTTTTTGTTGAGCGAGTTTGCAGAAAGTGCCCCAAGGTAGACACGACTCCGCCACGGGTTGCAAGTCCTTGGTTTGAGTTTGCCTTGAACCAAACAAACGCCGAAACCATGGTGGAAAATCAAATTTTCGGGCTGACAGTTTTTGTGAGCGCCCAAGGAAATGTCAGTCAAAGTGATAAAGCAGCCATGGGAATGGCCCATAACGGCCCGGTAGAACAGAGAGGGTGGTTTTCCACAATGGCTGGAACCCCTGTTTGGGCACAGCTTGCGCAGGTGAAGTGCCCGCCCGATGCGGATGCTGTCCTGGCAATGTTAGGCGGCTCCCGCCGTTTCTCAAAGAGCAGCAAACCACAAGTGGGTACTTGGGTGCTCGATTCGCCAAGATAGTGAGTTGTTACTTGGTGGCTCCCAGCCATCCCCTTAGCCTTTTAGCTTTTCAGTGTTTAGTGTTAGTTTCCATTTAACCCGCTAAAAGTTAGTCACTTTTCGCGGGGGATCTGAAATCGGGCAGCCAAGGTTAGTAGCCAAAGCTACAACCTACTTCTAAGTCCCCCCCGAAGTAGAGTTGACCTTGTTCCCACTTTCTAAGTTGGCCGAGCATGCGAGCAGAAGCGCGCAGCTTTCCAGCATCAGTTCAAATGCAAACTTCTACCCAAACTGCAACAGTCCGAGTGGTTACTTGTCAGGCGAACCGAACCCCCAAAGCAACATCCTCTTGGTTTTCCTTCTGAAAGACACCAGAGCAGGTGATGTCAAAGCATTTCAGCCGACCCTTTCCAAAACACATGTTGGTAGCATGGTTTTAAAGTTCACCCTCCCCCTGTCCAAACAAAGTCTCTTTGTTAACTGTTTGTTTCACAATCATGTTGCATTTTGGGGTGGACTAATTTTGACAGACTCAGGAGAGATGTGTTTCACCCTTTGTCTTGCTGGCGCGATAGGTAGGGAATGACCGTTCCGGGGTTTGGGAATGAAACAGGAATGGGTTCCCCTTTAAGGAAACCAAATCAGGGATGGTTGTTGTAGGGGTCATTCCAACTGGTTCCCTGAGAACCAGCAGAACCAGCAAGACACCAGGGAGTTGTGTACAGGTTTATTCCATTTCTCAGGGATGGCTATCGAACCAGCCAGTCATGGTTCTCCAGGCGCCGGCCTGCTGGATGTCGCCGTGCTGCACACAGAGGACTCTGTGACGAAGGGAATGGACCGATGGGGACGAAAGGCAAAGACGGAACGAACGGCCAGCTCCAAAACTGAAGGCTCAGCAGTTTTTGCAGGGTGATGTTTGGTGTAATGTTGACCCAGGAGTAATAAACCTGTCCCATTAGGGGGGGTGTTCCCTCCAAAAGTGATAAACCCCCCACTAAAAGGGGACACCCCCCTATTAATCAACCAGGGTTTTTTAATCCGGGGTTCACATTATGTTAAGAAGAACCAGGTTTTCCATTGTGAAAGGGAACTTAAAAAACTACAAGGAAGCGTTCCGTCTCATGCCCATCGGCATGTGACGGCCCCAGCACAGATGGGCTGGTTTTGAGGTAGCTGTCTTTTGTCTTTGGGGTCGACAGGAAAACCAAAGGGAAGCCGTTTGGCGTTTCAACTGAGTTCATCCAGGTGCTTCGTTTTGAAAAGACGAGATGGGATCGTAGGCTTTCAGAAGACTTGAGGTTTATTCCCTTGAGCTTCCTTTCAAACCTTTCCTCCATCAGCTTGCATATGATGACTCCGGCAACCCCGAAGAGGGTGCAGAGCCGCGGTTCACGTGTCCTCGATTGGGAACAACCTTTGCCGGAAGTGGCTTTGACCTTGGGCTTTCTCCCTGGCCACCTTTTTTTTCCAGTCTCAACCACGACGGGTCCCTGGTCTATGGCAACTGGAAGAAAATGCGGTAATGAGGGG